TCCTACAATGTCCCACTATACATTGATAAGTTGTGTGGGCCGTACTATTAAATAGTCTACAAATTTGCCTACTGACTCTTGGTATATTGTCTAGTAACGTTCAGCAAGTCAACAACACCCTATGATACTGGCTTCTAATATATCAGTTTGTAATGAGCTTACAATAGTGGGAAACGTTACCTGGCATCACTTTATAAGAACCTTCAGTAACCTTCAATAGTCTCTAGTAATCTCTTGTAAGTGCCCTAGTGAACATGTTTACAAGACCCTACAATAGTGAGATATGTCATCTAGTGTCACTTTGCGAGATGCTTACAATAGCCTACAAAGTGTTATATTGACTCCTAGTATGTCTAGTAGTGTTTAGTAATCCGGCTTCAACGCCTTATTATACCACTTTTTGAATTCTATTACACCCTCTAGTAATGGTTGGTAAGGCCTTACAATATTCTAATATGCCATGTAGTATGGATTTGTAAGGACTTTACAATGGCTTACAACATTGTCTAGTTACTTCTACAAGTCCACTATCATCAAAGGGCCATGCCATAATTTTTCTGGTATTTGTGCGATTTTTCTGCATTTTATTCTGCATGTTTATCTTCAGCCACAAGCATGTGCACATCACATGCCCTACAGGTCACGTTTTGCGCCGTATGAAACGTGACTCGGGTGGCACGTGACACTACCAGCTTCAAGCACTTGTTACCCCACTTGTATCCAAACTTGCCAGGCTTGTAGTTCACTCAATTCTGCTCGGATTTGGATAAACCCGGTAGCCATTCTGACCTGAGTTTCACGCTGAATCTGACGGTGTTACTCTTAGAACATCAGAATCACTTGCTGAAGCGCTACAATCTGTTTTCTAAGTTTTCTCTCACTTCTGCTTATTTCTTCAATGTGCACTGCATGTAAAAATAAGGCGCCCTATCTAGCATGTTTATGTGCATTGTAGAGTCATTCACAATTTTTTCTGGCATTTATACAATTTTTCTCCACTTTACACTGAGCATTCTAATCCAAAACTGAGATATCTCAGCCAGTTTTACTCAGATTTACCTGGTTCAAGAGAGCATTATGCTCCATTTCCTTCACAGATTCTAATGGTACTGCTTTTTATATGTTAAAATTAGTATGTGCTTCTATAATTTCACTGACTATGATGCATTGGTTCTCTGTGGCTGCTGTGGCACTTCTGTTGATTACTATTTGTGCAAGTCGCGTTGGTTTCTACTACAATCACTTTGAAAGACCGACTGTATGCAAGGTGTAGTACAGTAAGAACAGGCACTACAAAGTTTGTAGTTAAACCCTAGACCTAACCCAGGACTAGGTGCAGCCCATGCATACAAATTTGTATTGAAAAGTCGTTCTCATACATAGGGGCACTTGGACATGTCCCTCAAGATCTGGCGGAAGCCCTATCCCATAAAGAACGATTCCTTCATACCTCAGAAATCGTAATTGATGGATTTCACAATTGTGCAACAGCGCTATTAGACGGTGAAGACATTGAGCACTTAGAAATCTCTTCTAATGAGGTGGCAGATGAAGAGAGTTGGACCATGGAGGATGTGGAGGAGAACTCGGAAGATATTGAAGAGAAAGTGTTGCCAGAAAACATCACTCTCCTGCTTCCTTCCTCACTTGGCATTGATCAATGCAAGGCAGTGGGATGGAAGAGCATTGCACAGCAGGAGTTACATCTACAGGTTGGCCAAGCCAATAACTGTCTTGAAGACTTGCGACTCTTGTTGAGTCACAAGTCTTTGCTTTTCCAGACCAAATTCAGACATAATAAGTCTCAATGGCACAAAACCCGAAATGCAGCTAAGCTCAGAAGGATTGATCAGCAAGAGAGCAAAATCATTAGATGATACAAGTGTGCTCGGAAAGCCCTGATCTGTTTAGAAGCAAGTGAACAGTTGTTGACACAATATCTTGACATTCGGAAGACACAAAGATGCCCGAAGACATTGTGGAGGAGAATAGAGTTGGGCAGAGGAATGATAGATTGGCATAGTTTTGGAAACTTGAAGGTGAGAATGCTCGAAATGCATGGGTGGAAAGTGTGGACAATAATATGGAAGATGTCAGTCGAAATGCCATAAAGCCTAAGTGATGAAGGAGGGTGAGTGACTATCTGTTCATGCCTAGTCAAAATTATTCACAGATTGTAATTACCATGTCAGTTAATCGAGTTAACTGGCTGAGAGCAAAGGCAGAAGACACAAGATACAAGGAGGTGGTACCGAAGGTGTGATATGAAATGTTATGGACTGTCCTGTGATTTGAACGCAAGCAGCATGAGTGGCAGACCAGGGAGATGAAGGCAGTGAGTGCAGGTCTATGTGATCATGCATCCTATGCAGCAAAGCAAGGTGTAATGTGGAAGGACTTTGCACTTCAATCACAGCAGGCATTCAATGGTCAAATAATTGTCAGATAGTCTGCGAGTTGCAAAGGTAGGTATGCAAAGTAGTCAATAAATGTGTGTGACTGGCTATTTAAATTTGAATGAGTGTATCCTCCAGGACCTTAAAGAAGAAAGGTGTCAGCAAGACCATTAAGTTTGGATGCCTTAGCCTGAAGCCCCATTTGTGTAGAAAGTTATACGGCCATGGCCAGAGTGTGGAAAACTCTCTATAGAATGAAAATTTCTAGATCCTCGGCTGAGGCCACCATTTTCACAAACACTATATAGGGCATCCTTGGCCAATGCCAAAGTTCAGCAGACCTTATATAGAACAGAAATTCCAGGACGCTCGGCCGAGGCCACCATTTCCACAAGAACTATATAGGATATTTTTAGCCGAGGCCAAATTTCAGACAATCCTATATAGAATGCAAATTTCTTGACCCTTGTCCACAGGCATTATTTCCACAAAAATCTATATAGGATACCCTTGACCATGGCCAAATTTCAGGAGATGCTATATAGGATCGAAATTTCATGTGCCTTGGCCAAGTGGACCATTTACACAAAGATTCTATATAGGTCCACTTGGCCAAGCCCAACTGTCTGCAAACTCTATATAGGATTGGAATTTTATGACTCTTGGCCAATGGCACTATTTCAGCTGCAATCTATATAGAGAAATGGTGGCCAACCCCAAAATGCCCAACAATCTATATAGACTTTAAACTGCACCTCCCTTGGCTAACTCCTAAATACATGACTTAGCCTATATAGCTTACTTATCTTGGCCAACCCTATATCTCGATCCTATATTATATTCTTGGCCAACACTCGGTTTTATGGAAATTTACACAAAATATTCCACCTTGGTTATATGGACATTTGGGTATATATTGGCTGAATGGGCTCCATCATGCTGCAAGACACATTGATTAAGCTTCTCGAAGGTGAATAATATAATTGTCTGTTCCATTAAATGAACTACTGACAATTAACCAAAAGAGCTAGGATAGGAGACATGAATGGTTCTGCAATGATAGAGAGGAGGGAAAGTGGCACTGTTGTTGTAGATTATTTATGCAAGTCATGTTGGTTTCTACTACAATCATTTTGAAAGACCGACTGTATGCAGGGTGTAGTACAGTAACAACAGGCACTACAAAGTTTGTAGTTAAACCCTAGACCAAACCCAGGACTAGGTGCAGCCCATGCATACAAATTTGTATTGAAAAGTCATTCTCACGCATAGGGGCACTTGGACATGTCCCTCAGATTCTGGCGGAAGCCCTATCCCATAAAGAACGATTCCTGAGGTAAGAAGGAATCATAATTCATTCTAATTTCATTCTTTCATGCAAGAACTCAATGCCGAGTACGGCGTACACACCTGGACAATGTGTTCACGTTCCGAATGGGCCACTGATGAAATGCAACGTGTAATTGCCGAAGACAACATGCGCGGCATACCACTTCTAGCCTTCGATCTCCACACTGCATGTCCCATACACCCCAATGATTGCGAAATGACTTTGAAAGGTGCCCTCATCAAAATCACAATCAACCTCACCGCCAACGAACCTGGTCAACTGGTCGCACTGCCAACTCCTTCTTTGCCGACGTCGCCCAAATCACTGTTTTACTCCCTCCTGGATATGAAGACAAGGTCACTTCATCCACGAAATGATGCAGAATGAACCTACCGGACGATGTATTAGCCGCAAAGAAGCAAAAGAAGATATAACACATTAGCTCACTATTTTCGCCATTAGCTACACTTTTATCACTGCACGTATTACATAACCTAAAAAAAAACCGAAAAATACAAAATTCGACAAACTATGTTCATCGTCCTAATACCTTGTACCTAAACAAGCTTACTCCCGCGAGGTAAGGGCGAGCTCTAAAGCAAGCGCTTCTCGAGTAATTTACACCTACCTATTTCCCCGTGCACTAGTTGCCAGACCCCACAATCACCCGGAATCCGAGTGATGTTCACGTACACATGCAGACTATAAGCACTCACCTAATTGAGCTACAAGTACTTACACTTGAAGTAAGTAAAACAGACTATATAATCTTAAGATTAACAATGTTTACTATTGCATGTACAGGTGACTTTCACCATGCTGAAAATCACCAATGTTCAGTCTGGCATCCTCCTCACCAATGCCGACTTTACACTGTGGTATGTCAACAATGACAAGCCGCTACCGGTGCTGGGCATGCTTCCTCCGGAGCCTGACATCAACGAGCATGAATGCAGCCAGAGCAGTGACACTGAAGATGTAGTATCAATCTAGCTACTTGTAAAACATCCTGTATTCTATCTCACGACTGCCACAATCCACTCCCTATAACCTGAACCCAGGGCTTCATTCGGAGTCGGGGACTGGCGCTTGCGCCGCTACAATGCCATACTCTGTCCCTCGGAATAAAAGTGGCCACACTGCACCCGCCTATCATCACCACCTCCGTAGTGTTCACCTTTCGTGTGGTATATGCAAGACAAGGACAATAAATTGCTATCAAGCCAGTATCCTCCTCATACATAACTAAATTCTTCTTCTACCTAGAAGTGTGCTCAATCACCTTGTCTCTTCAAACCACTCAGATCCCTTGCGCCCCTGAACACAGTGTAGTTGAGCTAAGGCAGTGACGAGTTGCAGGAATCACCTACAAGACAGGAAAGCCGAAAACATCAATGGCGCCGATGCATGTGTGCTCATCATCTCCATGATTTGATTCTACGAAAATCTGGCAACAAGTGGACTTCAGTGTACTAGATAGTGATCGCATATGAAGCACGCACGTGGAGGCTGTTCACGGCTTGAAAGCGCACATAGCGTAGCGGCACCCGCTTGCCTTCGGACACTTGATCTTCTGAGAGTTCTATCTCCTGTGCAATCTTTGAAGCCCCTTCCTCGATGTTGTCGAATCCCAGAGATGGGGAGTTGATGTAAAGCTTCACTCTTCGAGGGGCTTGTACGACAGTTGGTGATTGTATGGCAACGGCGCGAATGCGCACAGTCTGATTGAACTGTGAAGAAAAGCTTCTGTTAGTGTCTCCAACTACCACAGAGAGAGACCCACGGTGATATTGATGAGTAACTGTTCGTCAACATCACTCTCCAGAAACGAAGATGTTGAATTCCGGACCTTGCTCGCAAGGATAGACTTGACATTGTGCTGTCCAGCTTCGTTCAGACATGTCAGCTGCGAAAGATCAAGGTACTCCAGCAAGGACGACTGTCACAGTCGTTTCAGTTGCGATTCGTCGAGCATAGAACGATCTCACTTCGCTTTCATCCATCGCGAGTCGTGGTATTAACAATGATACAGGTAATAAGATTAGATAAGACGGGATAGAGTGGCCGTCGGGAGAAAAACCCCGCTCCCTCAAGCTCCCTTCACCCAACGACGCATTCATCTTTGGCTTCCTGTCGGGTCGGACGCGCCATGTTTGTGCGTTTGTTACCCGAACGCTTCATCTCGGTCAAACGATTCATTGCTCTTTTGTTGCCTTGCGCTGAGAGAAAAGGATATCCATAAGTGCAGTTACCTGGCCGAAAAGGTTACGATCGAACTTGCCTGCAGCGCGCATATACCACCGTTTGGAGAACTCGATGTCTTGCTTTATTCCGATCCCAGTCTCGGCATAATACCCCACAGCGTATTCTGCCTTGCTCAAACCCTTGTTCGCTGCCCTTCGCGCCCACAGATAAGCCTCAGAGTCACTCTGCTTCAGCACACCCTCGCTTCCAGTCAGATACCAGCCGCTCAGAGCCAGTTCTGCTTCTGAATGGCCCTTTTCCGCGGCTTTGGTGTACCACGCAATAGACCGCCGAGGATCTACTGGACACGTTAAAACGCCAAATTCATAACATTGGCCGAGCTTGTACTGGGAATGGGTGTATCCGAGGTGTCCAGCACGAGTGTAGAGGTCTCTGGCGTATGCAGGATCATAAGGCACAATCTGCGAGTTAGATGCTTCGTGGAGGAGCGCCAATTCATGCAGCGCGTGCGGGTTTTCCTCGTCTGCTTGCTCAGCCGCACGCTTCAGCCACGCTACAGCCTCACGAGGACTAGGTTGTTCACCGAGGGAGCCACGAAGCTGTATGACACCTAACTTGTACATGGCAGCAGTGTCGCCTAGCGATGCGGCCTTGCGATAGAACGCCAACGCGCGCTGCGGCTCCCTACGCGTTCCAGCGCCGATTTCATTGCAGACGGCCACTCGATAACATGCAGCGGCGTGGTTTTGTTTCGCTGCCTGCAGATAGAGGTGGTATGCTCTTTCATGATCGACCTGAAGGCCCAACATGCCCGTCCCATGACAGTTCGCCAGAAAGAACTGCGCCTCGTCGTACGCTTGACCTTGGGTGGCTAGGCGTCTCATGACTTTGAGAGATTCTACGATCAAAGTATCTCGGTATTTCTTCATGCCTCGCTGGTCCTTTGCGTCAGCGCCGATCTTCTTCGCCGCATCAATTAGATATTTGGCATATAGGAAATGCACTTCTGGATCAGGGTCGTCCCTCACTCTCTGGCGGTATTGGTCGATATATTCCTTGGTGTAAGGAGGTGCACTCAGGTCCACTGCCTTAGTCTTCTGGGTCCGCAAGTTAACCGACGTTGTAGTACCTGAGCGCTGTAGGGATGGCCTAGGTTCAATCTCCACCTCGCTGTTAGGAGGTGGGGAAGCTACGGGTTGCCCGCGTGAAAGAGAAGACTGAGATGCACCGGTGTACATCGACGGAAAGGCTTGTTGATATGGACCAGCATACGGAACCGAAGAGCTCGGGGATAGGGAAGGAGAGGTAGTGCTTCGATACAGATGATTTTGAGCCGAATGGTTGGGTGGGGGTTGGAAATAGGTAGCTGCCGATGAATGACTTGCAACAGCGTGCTGTGCAACCGGAGGCGGAGCGCTGGGTGGCGGTCCCATCCCCAGAACATCGGACGCCGCAGCATAAAAAGAGTTGAAGTCTGTACGCCCGGGAGGCTGAGCGTAAGATTGCTGATCTTGCCAGTTCGCAGGAGTATAACTCCGGCCTGGTGGAAAGGCCCCGGTATCCTCGCGAGGAATATAACCGTCAGCAAGGGCACGATGGGAAGGATCATCGAATGAATATAAGCTTGTGCCATCTGTCTCCACGGAACGATCGTAGGGCGCATACTCAGGCGCGTCACTATATGCACTATTGTATGCGCTGCTTCCACTGCCTCCGGAATGAATGGAACTCCCGTCGAAACCGAGGGCTGGGTCGGTAGAGCGCCTCATACCAGCACGTTGTGCTGCTTGCTCGGGTGATATAGGAAGCGGAAGCGGCTGGTGACTGGCTAGACGCGGAGGCGACTGAGCAGAACGCACAGACATAGAAGTGCCTGCTCGTGGGAGCGGTTCTCCAGGATGAAATGAGGGTGCACTGTTACCGCGAACGGTCGGGTCGCCTATGCGCATGTTTTCGAAACCTTGTAGGATATCAGCGGAGTCATACGGCGGCGGTAGGGGAGAGACGGTGTCGTCCTGTTGATCAGGAGGCGACTGTGCGAGTGAGGGTGGAACGGGATAATCCTGGTGATACGGAGAATTGACAAACGCTAGCGACGACATTGCGAAATGGATTATAGATGGTCAGGGCGGTTATTTGTTCAGCGGTAGCTGGCGAACGGCAACTCACAATTCTTGGGTGGAACGGTCTGTGTATCATGATAGACAGAGTCGTCTTGGGTATGATAACGAAGTGGATGGGTATATGGGTCTGGGGGTTCGGCGTGACGACGAGATGCAGCTCCGACATGAGGATCAGACATTTGCAGAGAGAGCTCGAGAGAAGAGAGAAAAGAGAAAGATTAGGTGTAGAGCAAGTGCAGAGGAAGGCACGCGACAGCCGGAGAGAGTAGTGACTTGCGGTGAATAGTGTACAGAATAATGATAGATAACTCGATATATAATTTACATCGGTGCGCTCTCGGCAGGGGGCGGCGACCAGAGCCACTGCTCGACTATCCTCTCCACCCGCTGCCGCTCGAGCCCGCTCCCAGTCCTCCGCACTTTCATCACCACATCCCGTCGTCGGTCCACCACCACCTCTCCCTCAGCTCCCACCTCTTCCTCCTCCTTCCATTCCGCCCAGCCTTCTGGCCAACCGTCACCCCCATCGCCCGGTCGTCGCATCTTCATTACCCTCCTTTCCGTCTCTGTAGCTTGCTCTTCTACCCGTTCCCATTCTTTCCGCCTGAAATTCCTAAACAATTCCCCATTCTCCTCAGCCCCAGCGCTGCCACGCTTCCGCTTGCTGCCTAGCCCCAGTCCATCCGACCCGTCGACTTGCGTCCTGCGACGGTGGTGGCCTTCATCGTCGCTGCTGTACCCGGCTGCCAATCGGACTCTCCAGCGCAACTCTCTCGCCATGGCTGCTGCATCTTTTATCCGATCGCCTGGAACCTGCTCCTTGGTCTCTTTCTTTGCTTGTTCTGTCCCGTGTTCCATGCTGCGCGCCTCGGAAACGAGAAATTCCGCGAGAGCTTCTATAGATTCGAGCACCCGAGAGGAGAACTCCTCCTTCGCTTTGAGGTCGCGGAGATACTTCTCCCCCACGTACCAACACAGTCTGTAGTATTTTAACCGCAGCCAATCGAAATCCGCAATGGAGATACCCACCTTACGAAGAGAGGAAACGTAAATTTCTTCGGTACATGGGTCGCTATCTCAATTTCTCGGATCTTCAGCTCTGGTAAACATACTCATCAACAACAAACGAAAGAATTCGTAGAAAAAATATCCACTGACGCATCGCAACGTTGTACGAGTGCAAGAAGTTGCCTCCGAAAACCAACGTGTCAACGGGAGTGTACTGCGGTGTAGGTGTGAAAGGTCAGTAAGCAATTCAAGAAGACAAACTCTTACTACTGCATGAATCCAACCTGTCGGAATGAACATTGTATTGCCTCCGTGCAGTTCAACTTTGAATACCTCATCAACCAGATCACCTAACCATGAGTGATTTTGCATCTCTGTCCCTGACCATTGCTCATACGCCATGAGATTCGAAGGAGTAGGGCGAATGAAGTAGAAGACCTGGATAGCGCTTGGTCAATCTGGTGATCATTGTACAGGAAAAAGAGTATATTGCCTTTGATCCATGCAGAATGTGGTAGTAGACAGAAGAGCCAGCGAAATCAACGTGCCAATCCTTAGAGTACGTTAGAAACACCAGTTAGAAACACCAATAACCAGAAAGTCGGATATAAGTACCGTCCAAGCTCCGGCGACGCCCATGAGACAATAGAGCTGTACCTTGGGGTAGACGTGACCCCTTCCCTTCTTCGTACTTGGCCAGAATTTTTCCACCCAGTCTACTTCACGAACTAATCGTGGAGGTAATACTTTGTCCGCTAGGTTGGTCCCAGAGATTTCAAGAGATATGACATTGCGGATCTTGTCACGCGCAGATGGCTCGAGGTCGTAGTATTCCGCCCATTTTCCCATAGTCCACCCGGGAATATTTGATTGAGTAGCAACATCTGTAGGGCACACTCGTAAGCTCCGGGTCACGGTCACCATCGCCGGGGATAAACGATAGGTATGCTGCACCTATGACTTCCACGGACGTATCTTCGCCCACTAACTCTGCAACCTCATCCACACTGAGAGTGTCCGGAGGCATCTTCATGCCTAACCCTTCTGCAGACTCCACAACAACGGGCTCTCGCATTGCATTCTCGTCGCTCTCCAACCATTCCAGTCCTACATCGCTACCTTTCATGCGCTTGAAGAGGTCACCTTGAATGGTCTTCCCTTCTAGCATACGCAACCACCGGTCGGAACTGGCCTCCGTCCCTGAATTCAACCCTGCGTAGTCCCGTTGCGTGCGTTTGCGCGCGGATTTGCGGGCAGGCGGTTTCATGGTGATTGAGCGAGCAGGATCGACGGCCAGACATTCTTTACAATACCTACAGTGTGCACCCAAGGGATGGGCAGATATGAGTACGAGTTGACGTAGAGTACGCACACGGTGAGACGAAGCTAACCACTTATCCACTGCATCCAGGTCACCGCCGTCACCGGAGCACCTCCAGTGGTACCAAGTCTTGCAAGCGTCGCACCTCACCCAACTTTCTTTGTCCACTGCAGCCCAGTCCTCAGTCCCATCCCGTTTACAAGCCGGGCATGTATCATCCTGCTGCGAGTCAGGGGCATCAGCGCCCTCTAGTTGAGTGGTCGAATCCTCGGGAGCACCGGACTCTGGTGTTTTCGGGGCATGAGACCTGCCCGAACGACGCCGCGCGCGCGCCATCGCTCTCTGTGAAAGATGTGCTACCACTGCGCGTGGTACAATATATGACTGCACTTGAACTGCACGGTCAGTATACTGCAGGTGTGCCGTTACTAAGTAAAGTAAGTCGCTCAGTCAGATCAGCTTGCTTATGTAATAAGTCTGGGCTCTCTCGTGACCTATAGTATTTGTTTATTGTACACTTATGCTTCTATATTTCTTCTCGGTAAGATCTACCACTCCTACAGTGTGAATACGACATATGACAACTGCTTGCTTTGTGTCCGCTGTGACGTCCGACCTATGTTTGCTCACCGTTACTTCTCGCTCAGCTCCGCAACACCAGGAAGAGTCTCAAAAAGATATGTGAGCGTAGGAAGGGAGACAAATCCAGGGATCTCTCACCTTGCCCTCTAGAAGCTCCAAGCTGGCACCTCCACCCGTACTGACATGGCTCAGCTTTGCTTCCGCTCCGTACTGAGCAACAACCGTCGCGGTATCGCCACCGCCAACAATAACAGTAGCACCCTTCTGCGCTGCTTCTACGGTAGCATCAAGGAGCGCCTTGGAGCCTTCTGCGAAAGCAGGGAACTCAAACACTCCCGGGGGTCTACAAAGAAACTTCAGAAGCAAGAACAAAACTGCATGCGAACGTACCCACCCGTTCCAGAGGATCGTCTTGGCCTGGAGAACCGTCTCGCGGAATAATTCACGGCTTTTCAGCCCTGCATCAAGACCCATCCAGCCATCGGGAATGCCCTCGACGTCAGTCGCAGTGCCCGTCTTCGAGGTTAGGTCAGAAATTGTCACGGCATGTAAAGCATGGAACAAATCACTTTGGCATCCTTGTCGAACTTGTCCGCAGTAATGAAATCTACAGGGAATACGATCTTGATGTTGTTCTTCTTAGCTTTCTCGACAAGTGCGGTGACTTTCTCGGAGCCGGCGGCGTCGAACAACGACTGCCCAATCTGCACCATATGAGATATGTCGACGCTGTGCATCGCATTGGGGGTAAACAACTTACGGAGACGTTCTCGAGCGTCTTCTTGAATGTGAAAGCCATTCCTCCGCAGATAATAAGAGAGTTGACCTATCACACATGAGGCAACGCATTGGTTTCCTGACAGCGTTGACTTACCTTATCCAACATGTTCTCGATAAGCTGAATCTTGTCAGAGACTTTGGCGCCGCCAAGGATAGCGAGAAAGGGGCGCTCGGGACTCTCGAGAGCCTTTGCAAAGTAGTCAAGCTCCTTCTTCATGAGGAAACCAGCGGCCCTCTGAGACAGCTTGACCCCGACCATACTGGAATGTGCGCGGTGGGCAGTGCCGAACGCGTCGTTTACATAGACATCACCGAGTTTCGTCAAACCCTCCCGGAACGCAGCGACTTTGGCAGGATCCGCCTTGGTTTTTTTTCCTTCCTTGTCTTTACTTGATCCCTCTTCCTCGATATGGAATCGCAGGTTCTCGAGGAGGATCACGGATCCAGCGGGGGCCTCGCTGACGGCCTTCTCAACGTCGGGACCGACGGACTCGTGGACGAAAATGACGAATTTGCCGAGATGCTTCTCGACTTCCAAGGCCACTGGGGCAAGGGAGTACTTTGCAACGACTTTGCCGTCCGGGCGACCGAGGTGAGACATCAGGATGACCTTGGAAGCACCTGCGAGATGAATGAGCACCGATCACAATCACAAGGACGGGAAATACCACACCATTTTCCAACGCATACTTGATGGTGGGGAGAGCCGCTACGATGCGCTAGCATTCACGAGATGAATGTGCGTGTACGGCGAAAGTGGATGAAGGCGACGTACGGCCGGGTTGGTGACCTTGTTCCCGGACATGGGGACATTGAAGTCGACGCGGATGAGGACGCGCTTACCCTTGAGGTCGAGGTCGGTGATAGAGAGTTTCTTTGAGAGCGACATGATGGTAGAAAGCGAGGGTGACGAGGAGGGCAGAGAAGGGGCTAGCCAGTACTTATAATCGATCGAGTTACATGCATGTGGGCGGCAAGTGCCCGAAGAGTCTAGTCGCGACTCGGACTCGACACCTCCAGCTCTGCCAGTGACTACCACCTCCATCGTCCTTCATGGACACCACGGCCGAGCCTTCGTCCAATTCTTTAGGTCTCGAACTCGACGCTCTCCACATTCAGGATAACGCGGAACAGCTCGAATCCCCGAAATCAGTCCCTGTTGACACTGCGGATGCGACTGAATCCCCAAAGGCGTCTGAGCTCGCAGACGTGCCAAAAAGCAACGTAGACGAGAACGCCGCTGGCCGAGAGGCTCCTAAGTCCGAGGCTAAGAAACCCGATTCGAAGGAGAAAAAGAAACCGTATGTCAATCCCGAACGCGTCAAGACTGGCGGTGCTCAGCGAGTGTGTATCTCACTGGTATCTACACAACAATTAACGGTTCTCCAACGTGACTGCGGTTAGGATAAATTGAGTGAAGATGAGCTTGCAGAACGCATGGCACGCATTCGTGAACAAAATGAGAAGATAAAACAGAGACGGATGGTATGCTCGTGCACGGCTCCCCCGTCACAACTTGAAATTCATTTTTGTATATACTAGGATGTCCAAGCGGATGAGGATGCTTTTAGGAAAACGCAGGAAGCAGAGAGGATCAAAGTAGCAAAGACCAAGAAAGTGCAGGAGAACGTTGACCGCACTCGTGAGCAGAACGCACGCAGAAAGATGGAGAAGGTAAGACTTCTCATTCGTTCTTTTACTGAATGGTGAGACGTCGATTGCAACACAGATGCAGAACCGAGAGTGGGACTCCGGCAAACAGATACGGGACTGGAAGCCAGCGACAGCGGATGAAGGGGGGCATGATGCAGTAGACATGAAGAAGGCGCGAGCGCATATGGAGATTCGTAGCGCTGTCCGCGGCGCTGGAGAGCATGGTCGAGGTCGAGGAAAGCTGACTGAAGAGCACATTGATCTCAAACCAACAGCAGACGCGCCCACATCCTCGGTCCCAACAACTTCATGACCGTATTGTATGTTTGTAGAATCTCTGCCAGTTGTACTCCATATGTAACGAACTTTCTGGCAAAGCTGTACCTTTTGATCGCGGTCGAATATATATATGGAGCTTGCTCTATGAGAACTGTCGGGGACAATATTAATTTGAACCTGAAGGCGTATGTTTGGCGCTGTTGTGCAAAGGCTTCGTTCCTGAGTGCTGCTACACCCGATCTCTACTTTTCCCAGTCATGGGACGCGGTGTCCTCGTCACAGCAAACCTTCCACAGCTCCAGAACCTCATCAAACGAGATCCTCCTGCCTACAAGGAGGAGTTTCTTCAACAATGGAATCATTATAATAGCATCCGTCAAATATTTCAGATAAATCCGGACGAACAAGCTCAGCATTTCAGAGAGTTGATCGCATTTATCGCTCAAGTACTGTATTACCCTCCAAATCCAAGTGAACAGACTTCTCACCTCAATCAGGTAGCACAATGTTACGCAAGAGAGACTGCTGACTTTCCGTCTCACCTCTCTTCCATGTTGCTGGACCATTACGCGACACTTTCACCCGATACCAGGAAATGTCTTGTACAGAATCTCGTAATGCTCAGGAATAAAGGTGTTATTACATCTATAGCGTGCGTCGAATGTTCTCCCGCTTTCCCTCCTACGCTCAAAATCTACCGCTCGCAGGCTACTTAGAACCTTGTTCCCGTTGTTACCGCGCACCACCTCGTCTTCACTTCGTGCGCTCATTCGACGAACAATACTGTCCGATGTCCGCACCGCCAATCTTCGCACAAAGAACCACAAGCTCAATCGCGCCGTGCAAGCTATGCTGTTCGGAATGGTCGAGCGTGGGATGGACGCGGAAGTGGTGGGCGATAGAGGTAAGCTTCGAGCTGTGGCATGTCCAAGTTCCACAACGCAGAATGGGGGTGAAGCAATGTGGGCGGTCGTCCTGACGAAGGAGCTCTGGCGAAGGAGCATATGGCAAGTGATGTCCACTCGTGTTTATATCGTTTCCCTGATCCTGCTGCGTTAGGAATGATGCGAAATCAGTTTCCATCGTTGCGCTAGGATGTTTCCATCCAGTCGCCAAGGTCCAAAGTGCCTCCCTGCACTTCTTCCTCGGGGGCGAAGAGGAGCAGGAAGATAGCGATGAAGATGATGACAATGTGCGTATAGATCTTCCGATACCCGTTCGCTCATGCAACTCTTATTGAAGGAACCTGACGTTAAAGCACTGCAACATCGCCGAGAGATCAATAAGAAGACAAGGAGCGGTGACAAGAAGATACAAAAGACTATGAAATCCGTCAAATCTGTGCGAACGACCGTTTATTGCCCTTCCTTGGACTCATTCCCGTTCCCAGAAACAAAAACGGAAGGCTGAATCATCAACCACCAACTTCCCGGCCATCCAGCTACTTAACGACCCTCAGACGTTCGGCGAGAAGCTCTACGACAGCCTGAATCGCCACGACAAGCGATTCTCGCTCGATCACAAAATTCTCGTCATGCAGCTCCTTTCTCGCATCATGGGCGCGCACAAGCTGTGCATTCTCGGTTTCTACACCTACCTCATGAAGTATCTGACATACCACCAGCTGCGCATTCCCGCAATTTTGGTCGCACTGGCCCAGTCGGTGCACGACTTCACACCGCCTGATGCCCTCATGCCAGTTGTGCAAAAGCTTGCCCAAGAATTTGTGCACCCCGGAGTGGGGAGCGAGGTCATCGCCGCAGGCCTGAATGCGATACGCGAAGTGTGCCGGAGGCAGCCGTGGTCAATGGAGGAGGGCCTGCTGAGCGACTTAGTAGAGTACAGGAAGAGCAAGGACAAAGCGGTCACCGCAGCTGCGCGAGGTTTGTTGCAACTTTTTCGCGAGGTTAATCCTGGTCTGCTCAAGAGACGGCAGCGGGTAAGACGTTTCATACGGGAAATGCACGTAATACCTAACAATTATCCAGGGCAAGGAGGCTAGCATGGGTATGTCGAGTGGAGCTCAGCCTTTACCCTTCGGGCACACCGCAGTCGCAGCAGCAGATATCGAAGGACTTGTGGTAGGTGATGCTACTGCCTGTTATACTCAAAGTAAGGACTTAGCCGGCTTCAATAGCTTCTGGAAGAACATCTCGAAAAGTTGCGCCAGGAGAACGGGAAGGACGATTACCAAGAGGTGGACGACGAAGCAGGATGGGATGGATGGGATGTCGAGTCCGATTCCTCTTCAGAGGCATCTGATGATTCAGGAGGTTGGATTGACGTCGAATCTGAAGGTGAAGAAGACCTGGATATCAGTGACAGCGAAGATGAAGCAGATAAATTGGCCAAAATCAAGGGAAGAGACGATGGACACGAGCCAGCACAACAAATGACTTTCGAGGAGGACGCTGGGACACGGATATCTTCCCTCGCGACGACCAAGGTAATAAGTTATCCGATGCTTGAGTCCCCGTAGATGCTCATCGCAAGCTCATGCAGATCCTCACGCCGGCCGATTTTGTCCTGCTCAACGACCTGCGCATTCAATCGGCGTCGCAGGCTGTGGAAAGGGGCGGAGGCTCATCGGCCAAGCGGAAGTTGGCAACACTCGAGTCGAACAAGAAGGGACTCGCCAAGTCTGGAAACGCGGAGGACACTTTCATCTCGGAGAACGACATCTTGGGGCCGCGCAAGAAGGCTAAGGCGGACTATGCAGAGCGCATCGCGTCAATAGAGAAAGGGCGTGAAGGCCGCGAGAAGTTCGGCTCGCTGAAGGGGAAGAAGAAGAAGGGCGCGCCAAGCAGCTCGACGAACAGGGAGAAGGCACGCAACAAGCCGCTCATGATGGTAATTGCGAGCGGGGCAGTGCGGAGTAAGAAGAAGGCCTCGCTAAGGGAGAAGCAGCAGAAGTTGCGGGCGCATATCGAGAGAGCGAAGAAGGCGTATCATTAGCGGATTCGTACAGATTCGATATAGGACACGCTTGGGTGGTCATCTGCCGTCTATTTGCAGCCACATACTCCATCTCTGTCGCTGCTCCTCGTCGCCCTCAAACGTCCAGTTCACCTTTCTGATCTGCGTGAAGCCCTCATTCAGTTGTGGCTCTTCGTATTGGGCGCGAAAGCTTGTGAAGGCCGTGTACGGCACCAGATCCCGCTTCGGCTGGGTCGAGCGTGAATGACTATCAGGGCGATTTGTAGTGGTGCAGACGCACATTTTTCTCCACTAGGGAGGGAGGGAGATTGTATGCACGGTAGAGGTTGTTGTGCCATGCGAGCTCAATAGAGCCGTTGAAAACCACGCATCTGCATCTAGTCAGCTCCTGTCACCGTCGGTCAAGAGAAGGCAGTGACCTGATAGGCACATCAGACTTCTGTGCGAGATTAACAAAATGCTTCCTCGTCTGTGCATCCCTATTGGTATTGTCTTCATGGCCGTAGGTTAGGATCATCCGCAATGGGCGTATCCGATGGACGCACCGACGACACAGCTCTTTCCGTTCTGTACGGCCTCCAGGGCGGCTTTGACGCACTTGTCCCTGGTCCGTAGGGTGTCCTGATTGACATGGACGTAGCCAGCAGGCTCAAAATGGGTCCTGTAGAACGAAGATTTACCTAGTGCAGGGAAGCCGACGAAGAGGACAATCTCTGGAGCAGAGGGCGCAGGGAGTAGGGGAGTGGACGTGGGGGATATAAGTGGTACTGGGGACGACGTCAGCTCAAAGAACAGCGTACTCAGGGAGTTGTGTCACCGTCTTTCGGGATAGAAGACACATGGAAGCCCTGTAGGGTATATGATGCCGTGGGGAGTTTCAGGAAGTATTCCTGGACAACGTCAAGGAAAGATCCGGTGGTGGAGATGGGGAGCCTACCTCCGGCGTGAAGAAGGGTATATTGACATTAAGTGCCCATTTCCTGTCAGTACCTGCATGGTCACCCGCGCGGCCGGCGGCGTCTCCAACGAAGAAGGATTCCTGGAGGTCTGAGGTCGCATGGTCAGTATCCATGACAGCTCTTGGGCGACGTCGTGCACACCGATGCGGACACTGTCTTGAGCGAATATGCGCACGAGTTCGTACCACATGCCGGGCATAGGCTTGCGAAAGCCGTCGCGAGCAGTAGCAGCCAGAAGACGGAAGGGGACGTCGGGGAGCTTTGGAGACGTCAGCGTGGGGGTGCGTGGAGAGATAGTGAGGAGAGAACTTGCAGCGGCAGCTATGAACGGGACCTTCTTTCTCCAGTCGGCAAGGGCAGCACTGCGGAGAGCCTGGTTTGTGATGATAATTATGGAATAACTAGGGTTGCAAGAATGAGGAAAATATGAGAAGTGGAGAAATGGCACTCACCCTTGATCATGCAGCTCCTTCAGTTTGCCTGGCACGGATGGCCTCCACCAGTGGAATTGGGATGGCGGAATACCCTTCTTTGGGAAGCTGGACTGGATGATGCAGCCATCGAGGTCGAAGGCGGCAACCTTGGGAGAGCTCTTGGGAGATAAGTTGAGGCCATGAAGACAAGTACGGTTGGGACCTAAGGCGGGCGAGATCCAGCGGAAGGTGGCATCCTGATTGCGCTCAGGGCCCGAGGGCGGTTCACTGAAGATGGGGAAGACTGAGGAATACTAGGGTGAGCACTACGCGAACTGCGACAGGAGAGAGTGCGTACGTTTCTTTGGCTGTCTGACGGTGCTCGGCTCTCCGCCGCCGTCGAGGTCGTCCGCGGTCCGTTTCTTGGGCGACATGCGGTCGACGTGCAGGAGACTCACGCGTCGGTGGCTGAAGCGCCCTATCCTCTCCCACTGTCTTTCATCTCCAAAACGCGATTCACATCAACGTTTCTGCAGAAATTTTCTGATAACATGTGTCGTTCTGATAACATATGTCTGGATGCGTTGGGAAAGACGTAGCAACGGCGACAGCAGCTAGAAAGGGCGATGGCGGGTTGCCATCACGCTAGCCCGCTCGGTAAACTTTCCCCGCTCTTTCTAGACTTGGCCCACCGCCATTGCAGCGTCCTCCCGTCGCTCCTTATAACCTGCTCCGTTCTCGATTATTATTCATATATTCTGTGCTAGCAGTTCACTGTCTTTCAGCCGCGGTGGTCGGGTAATGCGCCATGTCCTCCCTCCACCAGTACACCACCAGTCCTCCTCCTTCTCCTTGGAGACTTCGAGCCGTCGAATTCTCTGCACGCCGCCGCCCTCTGCATTTCAGGCAGATCCTCTTCATCGTCGCATCCCTTACTCTCACCTTTTCCTACATCTTCTTCGTCCGCCAGTCCACACACTCCGAGCCAACCGCCACAGAATCTCTCCTAGCCATCCATAATGTACCACCACCTCCGTCAGAGCAAACGGCCTATATCCAGTATATTGATACCCATCTAGAAAACTCTGTCGACCCCTCCTCCGGCCCCATCGTATTTTCCTTCATCGTGTTCTCTGCTGATTCTGCCAACGAGGGCGCCATTCTCATGAAGGTCTGTCATAGAACCGCATATCCACTCTGTCTCATAACTCACTCCTTCATTCAGTCTATCCTCATGTACAGCTCTGTCCCAATAGAGTTCCATATAATCTGCGATCTGGCTGCCCAGGAATACCTTGAAAAGCGACTCAATCTGGTCACCCACCCCACGCACAATGTCCTCGTGCGTTTCTACCACATGACCATTGCAGGCATGCTGGCCCGCATCGAGCGCGAAGGCGCCATCACAACCGATCATTCCGCTGGCGTCCGTAAGTGCAGTCTGTCCTCACCCTTGCTCGTGTGCTCATCTCGTCCCCATAGCCGGTCTCATGAAGCTATTCATTCATGAGATCCTCCCAAATAACGTCAAACGCGCCATTTTCATCGACACTGATGCCTTCTTCATCACCGACCCTGCACTGCTCTGGGACTATTTCTTACACCTACGCCCTACAACTGCAATCTCGATGCCGACGCATCTGGAGCAGAATGCGGTCGAGTGGCACCACGCGAACCGCATCTGCTCCTGTATCATGCTACTCGACCTCGCACGCCTCCGCGAGCTGCGCCTTATGGACTCAGTCGCCTACCGCAATGACTCTTCTGGCCATTTTCCGCCCGCGCTCGCCCCGCCCGCGTTTGAGGCCATGTTTGGTCCGCCCGGCGCGAGCGGCCATTACGAAGGCGTCAAGCTCGGCGACCAGGGCTACTGGTGGGCTATCGTGAGCCACCGCCCCGACGTCTTCGAGCACCTCAGCTTCGAGTGGGAGGTCTCCAGCTGCCTCCTGGACATGTACTTCACCGGGCTGGGGAACGACAACGCCGACGTGCAAGACGAGCTCGCCGTGCAGATCCATACACTAGGTACACTACACCAGGGCGAGGCCATCCTCCCCAAAATGCTTCACTTGTGCGTACCCAGTCGTTCTCAAATGTGGGTGGCGAATAACTTTTTGCATAGCAACTGTCTGGACGGCACTTCTCGCTATTACGAGTGGGAGGGCTGGTCAGATCCGACTAACAGTCTCACGCGGAGATGGTATCCCGCAGTCCAGTACCACGTCGGCTTCAAGTGGCTATGGCTCAACCACCACCGGTCAGAATCCACGCTAAGGATAGAGACCGTAGAGAACGTAATCTTCGCCGACGAGCGGTTTGCAGCGGAACAGTCTGACTCGTAAAGTCACAGCATCGCGAGCGGGCACCAGAACGGAGAAGGTTCTAATTCACTGTATATTGATACACATCTTGCTCTGAGGGGTTCTAAACTGGTGATACAACCTCCCTGCTTATTCCGGATTAATGGTGGGGTAGGTATCTCGCCCGGTGTAACTGATACCGTTTCCCTCATACTTTGTCCGTGAAGTATTCTCTACCAGAAGTGGATCGCGGCCCTTGAACCTGAAATGTCGTCTTTGGTTTCGGTCTGTGGGTATCAACAGCACCAATAGGGAGTGTGTATCTAGAGGTCGTGTTAAAGAGTCGCTGCACGCTGCGACAAAGTGCTCACCTTTCTTCGTCACAACCATACGCCTTCGGTGTCAGTTTAATCACGGTATGCAGCGGGATCTTGATATAAGGAAGATCAGCCTGCGGCAGATTGTGGAAGTACGCGTATCTACGAAGCCAATCTGAGTAAGATGCGACGGAAGCCATCAGGATGCGCTCACAAGCAGCGAAGAATGGCCTGAAATCTCGCATATCAATTAAATGTTAGGATCGGTCGGTCATCGATGTCATTCGCACCTGATGGCCTATGATCAGGATGTTCTCCTGACGTTCAAGCTCCATGATGATCGGCTCGAGACGAACGACGACATCTCGATACGATTCGCCGCCTACAAAATATGCAGTGACCGACAGAACCAAAAACGCAGTACGACAAACCTCGGTATCGGTAATTGAACTTGTCCTCGTCGCGATTCGCAAAATCCTCCGGGTACGCTTGCTGGAGAGGCAGGAGATTCGTCAAAAAGCACACTAAAGACGCGACAAGAGCACGCACCTCAATTTCCTCGTAAGTCATCCCATCGCAGACACCAGCGTCCAGCTCATCGAGAGACTTCCAGGTCAGCTTGTTGTATGGCAGGTACTGCGCGGTTTGGATTGTTCTTTGGAGCGTAGACGTCCACACCTAGCGGACATGCCAATCCCCGTTAATCCCGAAGCGGCGTCAGTTCTGTCGACAAGGACCAACCGTGAGCGGCGCATCACCAATGTTGTCTGTGATCAGCGCAGGCAGAGCTCTTGCATACGCGAATCCTCGCTCTGACAACGGCGAATCGCCACCAATCTTGCCTTCTAGGTTAAACTGGCTCTCGCCATGCTGCAAGGCAATCAGTCACAGCAGCTGGGGAAGCAACCAAAGCTACACTCGCTCTTGAGAAAAATATGCTTCGGGGCTTCAGATGCAGGTTCATGAGATAGAATGCAATCCGGCTCTGGAGGTATCCGTGGATGCGACACATCGTCACCTGATCGCCGACATTGATGATCCTCAGGTACGAGAGATGGGGCTCGGTGATGGTCTCGTATACCGCCTCGTACTCGCGGATGCGCCGCAAGAAGTCCGCCTTAGCCTCCTCGCGTGACACATCCTTGTAGTCTGGGTCTCCGGAGCTCACTTTGAGCGCAACATTCGCAGCGATGACCGCCGGGTCGTCGCAGACGGACTCGAGAAAAATCACGACTATGCCCTTCTCCTTCGACACCCGCGCTTCAATCTTGGCTCTGAGAATAGATGAGTGAGGGTAGGCGAAGTATACTAGCAGCAGTACCTCCGATCGCGAGTGCTGTTTGTCGCGTCTCGACTGAGCATGAGAATCGATCACCATGCCACGAGTGGAAGCGACTTACCGTGTATACCAACGTTGCCGCCATCTTTGAGCCATTGGATGAGCATCTCGAGACTGTCTGTCGCAAGCTGGTCCCGCAGCTTGGTCGCTTCAACATTGACGTGGCTGAAGTATGAAGAAGTATGATCTTCGTGCTGACCACCCCTACCAATTGCCATTTTCAGGTGTAAAATCACATAGTAGATGCTTTGGCTCTCACTGTTGTGCTCTCTGTCGGGCCCGTGAGCGTCGCAATTGTCCCACATTGAAGACCTAAGTAATACAAAAAATGAACAACAGTAACGGACAGAACGGGAGATCACACCTTGACATCATACTCCAGCCACTACTGCTGCGGTCAGTCAGAGGGCAGAGGAAGTAAGGAAATGCCTGACTTTGAGGTAACGCATGAGCTTGTTACTGAGGTAAGACTTTCCCCGAGCTGGTAATCCAACCTGGAAAGGGGTTAAATTCAGACTGACACGATCAGATGCAGAGGAAGGACTGACCATCGCAACGACGATCTTCGCCTCAGAGTAGTCGGGCTTCGCGACTTGTGCAAGTCAGCGATGGTACAGCTCGGAAAGTGCGACAGGAGGGCATACCCTTGTTACCGATGCCTACGACAGAGCGTGGTGGGGTAGGAGCCAGGGACTGGAACTTAGCGAAAGCAGTAGAGCGGTCAAACTGCTTCAACCTGCAAGAACGGGTCGATTAGGCGGACGGGGGCGCATACAAGGACGTACATGGGACCGCCGGCGCCGAAGACGACGGGGGGAGTGCTGTAGGGGCGGGTGTTGTCGACGACGCGAAGGAGGCCATCTACGGCAGCGAGGTCGCGAGAGGAGAGGGGCGGAGCGGGCAGTGGGTGGAGAGGAGTGTTAGCGTCGGTCATCGTCGTCGTCGCGGAAGAGAGGAACGTGCACGTGCTCAGACGCGTCTTGCCGTGTGCTCCCAGCTACCCAAGGCTGCAGCAGCCTGAGCATGCACGCCTCGCTCTCCCAGCAAGGTTTTCACCTCTCCGCGAGGACGACGATCCCTGTCTCCTCGTCGCTGGTCCGACACTGCTCGCTGCACGTCCTCTATGTCCTCGTCCCCGACCTCTATGCCGACCAGCACGAACTCGCCCAGCGCACCGCCTACCGCGTCCAGCTCCACGGCTCCGACGATCTCGAGCTGCCTGTCGCCGCCGTAGCCTCCGCAGATTCTGTCCTGTTGCTCCATGCATTTCTCGCAGAGAATGCCATCTCTGATCTTACGCTAGAAGTTCCTCTGCATGCCCGCTACGGGAATCCTGTCCCCGCTTCGCAGTCACCGTACCACTCCATTTCCTTGCGTCCGCCTACCGCTTTCTGGGCTTGCCCGACTTCCGGTACGCCTGAATCAACCGCTCCGAAGCCTGTGCCTAACAATCTAGCAGCCGCGCATTCCATGCCCGACGACTTGGCGCCATACGTACCCCCCAAATTGTTTCCGTCCTCTCGTCTCTCCGTCATACCCTATGATGCATTTCCACACGACCTAGAGGTCACAATACCGGTGGGCGTATCCGACGACCTGCGCTACATCGACGTCGGCACTGCAGCCGTCATGCTCCTCATGTTTGCCTACCTCGTGTCTGTGTCTGTCAAGACTGCACGTCGCCTCTATCCGCGCCCCACGAAAGCAGAATGAGATGCGAGAAACCAAAAGGTCAGTACAATGTATAGCGTACAGCTCTACTGTAATGCTGATAGATCAAAAGCAAATGCGATGTGCAGGATAACTCAACGAATGCGCGTCCATCTGATCACCTCCCCGTCTTGCCATGCACCCCCCGTCACGTCACCACGCACCGCCGCTGCTTCACAATCTTCCCCCATCGCCCCCTCATACTCTCCCTCAGCGCGAGATGGAATACTTCTTGTACGTTCGTACCTGTCTTCGCTGAACACTCGATGTATTTCGCGCCGATCTCCCGCGCGACGCTCGCGCCCTGCTCCGACGACACGGGCGTCTGCCCTTGCGCGCTCAGCATCCGCCGTGTCTGTTCGTCTCTCCGCAGGTCGATCTTCGTCGCCACAAGTATAAGCGGCGTGTCCTCACAAAAATGAGCAACCTCCGGATACCACTACGCGCAGGAGGGTCGGTTCGACGCGCCAGGGCAATCTCGAGGAAAGGGACGCACCTTATCCTGGACGTTCGCGAGGCTGACGGGGAAATCGACGGAGAACACGACGAGGATGACGTCGCTTTCTGGGTAACTTAGTGGCCTTAGCCGGTCGTACTCTTCCTGTCCCGCTGTATCCCAGAGCGCAAGTTCGACGAGCTTGCCGTCGAATTGCACCTGAGTGACATAGTTCTCGAACACGGTCGGTATATATGCCTGTGGCGCGGAGTGGGTGGTGTCAGACGCGTAATGAAATGCATATAGTACGGGTGGAAGCACCTCGGGAAAGCGGTTCTCTGCATACACGATGAGGAGACATGTCTTGCCGCAGCCGCCTTGATGGTGAGAAATAGGAGTTCAAAAGGCACAAAAACGACGTGTGATGGACAAAAGACGCGTACCGTCACCGACAACGACGAGTTTCCTCTTGATGTCTGGGCGGCGTGGCGGCGCCGAAGGCTCTCCGGGGGGATAAGAGGATACGTTCGGCATTGCGTGCGCTAAGAGAGTGCATGAGCGAGAAAGATGGGTACAGGTCGCGTCGAGGTACTCACGATGTGAAGGGAGAGGGGAAAGCAAAGGAAGGTATCGTCGAAAGGAGGGTATGAGGACAAGTGAGAGTGCTATGTTCACTAGTCCTGCGTTCACGTGCCCGTCGCGCCTACACGAGCGATAGCACTAGCTAGCTCCGGAAACAAATTGTACAAAGTCTGACATTCCATCCTCCGCGGTAGACATGAAAGAAAAATCTAGTTGTGGATGCAACTACGCCGTGGTACAATATTAGCTTACGATGGATGCAGCAGAAACCGGGCAATTGACATGGCACCCGATATACAGTCCGTCCCCCGACGACCACATCATTGGTTCGCACACTGCACCCGGGGCTCCCCCTCATCCTCGTCCATCGGCTCTCCACCACTTGCCCGCACCCGTTGTCGCTGGTCCACCTGCATCAGCTCCACCTCCTCCTGCATCATGCTCTTCGGCAACTTCTCCATCGCCGCCCGCGGTGGCAGCACGCGTTCAAGCAACGGGATCACCTCTGGGTCAATGTGGTCGGGGAATTTGACGGTGAAGTGCACAAACATGTCGCCAGGCTCGTGGTGTCGCTGCGATGGCATCCCTTGTCCCTGAATCACCTTCAGGTCGTCTACAGAAAGTTTTCAACGACAGCTCGACACACGAGTCGCGAGAGAATATGCATACCGTGTTTGATGACTTCTCCAGGCGCGATCTTGACAATAAGTGCCCGATCGTCTAAATGCTTGATCGCAAACTGGCCGCCAGCCAATGCAGTCAACAAGTCCACCTCGTGCTCGTAGAACAGGTCGTTATCCTGCCGCTTGAACCGCTCATGTTGTTTCTCCTCAATCACAATGATGACATCGCCCGGGGTGATGCCCGGCGCCTGGTCACTCTCGCCTCTGAACGTGATAGTCTGGCCACCCTTCATGCCTTTGTCAATGTGCACCTCGAGCATCTTCTTCTCGGAGACGACCTTCTTCCCATTGCACGTCTTGCACTTGTCTTTCTGGTTGATCATCTCGCCCGTGCCGTTGCAGTTGTCGCACGATTGCTGGATCTGCTGGATCATCGGGCCCATCTGGCGGAGCGTGATCTTGACACCGTTGCCGTTACATGAAGTACACGTCTGCACGGCGCCTTCCTTTCCGCCTTTGCCGTTGCACTTGCTGCAGATCACGTTGCGAGTGAGCGCGAGCTTCGACGTCTTGCCCTTGTAGAGGTCCTCGAGCGTGACATGTACACGGTGCACAAGATCCTTCGTTTTGCGAGGACCGGGGTTTCGTGATGGCCCGCCACCGAAGAAACCGCCGCCGCCGAACAATTGGCTGAACAGATCCTGAAAAAACCCTCAAGTACAATGAAACGTGGAGTACGCAGAACCGGCCATACCTGTGGATCCATCCCGCCCATTCCTCCCGACTCCGACAAACCCGCCTCTCCCCGTGCATCATATATGCTTCGCTTCTGTGGATCTGCAAGAATTTCATATCTGCAGAGTAGAGGTGAACAGCGTCGCAAAGCGGTTATCATTTGAGGCGTACGCATGTGTCACTTCTTTGAAAAGCTCGGGATCCCCGCCCTTGTCGGGGTGCAAGCGCAAGGCCCTGTACAACACCAGATGAGCGATAGGACGGACCCACGACAGAAACTCGAAACACACTTTTTGCGATACGCCTTCTTCAAGTCGGCTTCTGAAGCACCTGAGGATGCGTCTAGCAGGTCGTAGTATTTGCTGTGGCGAGGCAGTATGATCAGTCTTCAGGGTCGCATAAAGCGCACGTGGCAGCTCACGTTTCCTTCACCATCGTCGGGTATGGGGTGAGTAGTGGAGATGAGAGTGAGTGGTAAGAAGGACAGAGATGAGTAAAGACCGAACGAAGGGAGGGAGGATTAAAACGGACGGGTCGAATGCGGTGGAACCTGCCAGAAATTTCGCCCACGAATAGGCGCTCGTCTTCCTGATCGGGCGTCATCTCCGTTATGTGAAATGCGAAACAAAAACATATGTATTTTCCACACTGTACATAACGTCGCAACATCGCGCAAGAGAATATCACAACCCCTCGCTCACATCGGGGTACACATCGAACCGCCTTTGAACCGTCACCGGGATCCCCGCCCGTGCTTCGTGGAATGGCAGTGGATCTGCAAACGGCGATTTGTCACTGTTACAAATATTCCGCCGCGTCGCAGGTCGCCGTACCTATGTGCACGTAGATAATCTCCTCCCCATCTTCCGCCTCTGCGAGAACATTGCCCCTGCAGATACCACATGTCAGACGCCATCTCGCTGGCCGCGATAAAATGCTCACATCGGATCGACAACCATCGAGTGACCCCACTGTCGAAGTACTGCTCAGCAGGATGGCCGACCACTTGATCGCAGCGCTCACCGCGTGGTATCCAGCAGTCAGATCCCGTGCAGGGCTACACATGGAGAAGTACACTTGGTTGTCGACGGCTCTGTGCGGCATAGTGATCAAACAAAGTTATCGTGGACATAGATTTCTCGTGCCAACCTCGCTCGCTGCAATAGCTCCCAATGTAATGGACCGGTGGTCATGTTGAATGCAGAGGGATAGATGATGATCTGGCAGCCTGGCGAAAGGCAAATCGAATGAGCATCGCGGAGATACGCACAGAATCCTGTAATGCACCTTTCCGTGCGCTGGTCATCGCGAGCTCGGGGAAACGTATATCGTAGCAGATGCCCAAACCGATACGGGCAAAGTCTGTGTTACGGTCTCAGCGGTGAGAGACACGGGAAGAGCGCACGGCTAGACCTGTGTCAAAGAAGTTCATGGTAGTGCCTCCCGTCAATGTCTCGCTTTCCTTGAGTTGCGCTTCAGCGAGCGAATCACGGATCCATGACCGGTACCTGCCTTAAAGGTGATCTTTCCGGGTATATCGATGTCAAACAGGTGAACTTTGCGATGCGTCGCGACTAGTTCACCTAAGAACGCAATGACGCGATAGCAAACGCGCGGAGGTCACTCAAACAGACCTCTAGGTGAGTAGACAGTTGCTGTATTGTAGATTTTAAAACCGTCAGTATCGCGCTCGGGTATCGATCCTATAGCCCAATTAGAACATAAACGAAGATTCATTGAGTATCAATCAAACACACCTCCGAGAAGCCAGACGCCGGCTTCCTTGGCTGTCGAGGAGAGCACCTTGACAGACTCGCTCACAGATGCTACTACATCATAGGGTTTGCCTGGTGTGTATCCGATAGTCTCTGCATACACCGGAAAATGTACGTGGCCGTAAGGGGAGTTGAAACATTCCTGGATGACTTGAGATGAGACGAGGCAAGGGTAGATCGAAACAATACTCACAGGAAGAACAACTAAGTCGGGCTTTGGCTTTGCCCCTCCGTCGCCGCCGGCCGCCTTGAGAATCATCTCCCGCGCATGCTTCAAGTTGGCTGTCCAGAGACTATTGATAGGTCCGGGGATCACCGTCGAACAGTAAGCTGGACGCACCAGCCTTGTCTGCAGTGACCTGGCCAAGCTGTATGAGTGCCAGATTGAAAGGCTTGAAGGCAGGAGGGGCACTTCCGGACGACATGGGGCGCGCTATGGACGAGGGCCTGAAGAGCAGACTGACGGAGGAGCGGAGAGCCTGCATGAGGGGACGAGAGATAAGATAAGATCTCCGAGAGTTTCATCCCCGATCGCGATAATCCAGATTCTACCCGGCGTCTCTCCAGTGTACTCAGGCTAATCACGATCCCGGTGCGTAACGAATATTAATATTGCTTTCTCCACAGCTCTCGCCTCATTCGCGAACAGAGAATACTGCAGCTGCTCATTTTGCATCGAATAATGCCCGTGTTCGTCATTTACAACCCGGTCTGCGGGGACGGCACCGCCAATGAGCTGTTTCAGGAGCACGTCCTGCCTCTCATCGAGAAGAGCTCAAAGGTTGTCGACAAGATCATCGTCACAGAAAGCCAAGGCCACGCTGCGTCCGCTCTCCGTGAATCATTTGCACAAGAAGATCCCATCACTGTCGTCCTCGGCGCCGGTGATGGCACTCTGCACGAGATCATCAACGCGCCAGACCCGAAGGCCGACGTCTCCTTCGCACTCGTGCCGTGTGGGACAGCAAATGCGCTGTATTCATCCATCTTCCCCCACACCGGCGAGGTGGATCACGCAGACTACAAGCTGAAATCGGTGCAGGCCTTCGTTAACGACAGGCCCACCATTCCTCTGACACTCGCCCTCACCGACCTCGACGCTCCAGACAAGCCGCGTCGGTCAGTAGCATCCGCGGTGGTAACGTCAACCGCTCTGCATGCCTCCATCCTGCACGACTCGGAGGCTTTGCGCTCCTCCGTGCCGGGCATCGAGCGCTTCAAGGTCGCGGCGCGCCAAAACATCACTCGCTGGTACCGCGCCACCGTCAGGCTGCACCCTGCCATGAACGCCGGCCGAGTACACATCTACGACCCAGCTGAGGGCAAGTTCGTGCCGCACCCGCAGAGCACGAAGGACGCGCCGCTGGTCCTCGAGGGCCCGTTTGCCTACTTCGTGTCCACAGTCAACGTGGACCGCCTGGAGCCCCAGTTCAGGATCACGCCGTTGCAGTCGGACTTCAAGCCCACAGAAGCATCGTTTGACCTTGTCGTCGTTCGTCCCTTCAGAGACCCCTCGATCTCAGTGGACTCGGAAGGCACGAGGGCGGCGTTTGCACCTAAACTCGGGTCTGTACTGCAAGCTGCGTACCGTAATGGCGCGCATGCGAGCATGCGGTATGCGAATGACGGTAGCACCGTTGATGAGGGGAACGGCCCGACGGTGGTCGAATATTTCCGATGCGGTGGATGGGAATGGAAGCCTGTGAGTGATCAGCAGTGCGTGTGACCTGCCTGTCAGGGACTAACGAGAGCATACAGGACGAGAGCGATGAGCCTGCTCACTTAGTCTGCGCTGACGGGGATATTCTTCGTATAGAGAACGGGGGCAAGGCGACCAGCTTTGCCAGATTCTCAAGGAATAAGTGCAGGTTCTTAGTTTTTGCATGACCTCGATAGGTTGGAAGATTGCAAGTGGAGGAAATCTTAGCGGAGACAGTGTCTTTGTCCAGAAGATTCTAATTATGTTGTAGCTGTCAAGAGTGGCGCTGTATCTAAGTAATCTCGTCGGTATCATTGTAACTGGCATGTTGTATGCAACAGATAGACGTTCAGACAGTGACGTTCTGCGTGAATTGTCCTGCGAAAAGCTGCTCAATAGTCGCTTTGGCCTTCTCGTGAACCCCCTCGATAGTCGTTGTGGAATCAATCTGACAATAGAGCGGTCAAATGGAATTTGCACAGCGAATCGCACCAAAACATACAGTTGAGACCTTGTTCTGCTTGCTGTAGTACTCGATGACAGGCATCGTTTGCTCCTTGTACGTCTCTGAAGTCGCGCCGTTCGTGAATATTCGGAGATGACATGGTGAAAGAGTAGACATACTGAAACGTTTCTTGATACTTTCTTCGTTGTCGTCTTCTCTACCGCTGGTCTTGCCTCTCTCCAGAAGACGTTTCGTCATTTCCTCTTCCGTGGTATCAAAGTACAGCACAAGCGAAGAAAGGCAAACCTGACCGAAGATGCATTCTAGCATCTGAGGAACGAGGTAAAACACAAACGCACATCTTCGTCAAACTTGACAGCCTGGTCCATCTTCCTGGGGAAACCATCGATGAGGAAGCGGCCCTTGCCACCTTCCCAGCCGCTGCCTTCGCGCTTCTCCTCCAGCACAGCACGCATTGCGTTCTCCAGTAACTTGATCGTAACTTCCATGGGAACAACCTGGCCTTCCCTGATGTATGTGCGGATCATCTCACCGTGTTCGGAGCCTTCACGGTTCTGTTCTGCACGCAGAAGATCTCCCGCTGTACGGCCTGTTCAGAAAGCAACACAACAAGTGCGCGGGCAAGCCCACCTGACAAATGGCGGAAGCCAAAATCCGCGACGAGATTGGCGCATTGTGTGCCCTTACCTGAAGGAGAATCGTTGGCGTCAATGAACGACGTCGTATTGATCTACACGGTGTATGACCTCACCGGCTCCGGGTCCACCAAGAACGAAGATGACAGAAACTTTGCTATCATCAAAAACCGGAGTCTTAGTGGTACTAGCACTAGTAGCAGGAACATCCAGAGCGTTATCCGCATTGGGAGTGCTGTGCGCTGCTGATGCCGTTGGAGCACTGGAGCCAGCGTCATCCTCTGGGGCCTTCGCAGTAGTAACACCCTCTTCAACATGGTGTTTCTTAAGGTGCAATGCCCCAGCAATTTTGTCAATGAAAGCAGGCATGGTATACGTGTCCGACAAGCCGCCGCTTTTAGATCAATCCGAGTCCTTGCGGCGTGGTGGAACGAGCGGATGGTCCTGATGTCTAGGCTGTTTTGATGCGGGATGAGCGGCCTCTCTATACTTGATGAGGCCGTAGAAAGAGACGAAGGAGAGGACGGAAATGCCGAGAAAGAGAAACGGATTTGGGGCCTTGGTTGGCATGGACAGAAAGAGCAGGTGGGTATTTGGCCTTGTTGTCCAGCGCCTTGCGTTTCTAACATCCCAAAACAACACTGTGGCTGCAAATACCGACTTTCTTCCAATACCGCCATGGACGTTCGACACGCTCACGGAACAGATGTACACGTCGTCCGCGCGTGCTACCACGAGGATGGCACAGACTTAGTCGCTGTGGGCGGCAATCACACAGTGGAAGTCCTCTTGACCGTATGAACGCGTCTCTTGAACCTCCCTTGGCGCGCTGAACTTCTCCAGACAGACACCCACCACCTGCGAGGTCATCGCTAGTTTCCACATCGGCACGCGTATTACCGCGTTGGCATGGTCATCGAACGTGACTTCACCCTCAGTATCCGACGAGTGGTCGTTTGAGTACGTTCCGCCACACTTGCCCTATTTTCGTGCACTTATTGAGGAGCGCAGACTGGCAGCTGCTGGTGCCGATTTTGGCTTATTCCTTCTCTCAAAAACTGTTGGATCTGAAGAGGACGTGTTTCCTTTCGGTGGTGGCTTGAGTGGACACCATGGGAAAGTGAACGACATGGCGTTCTGCGGAGGGCGAACCGAAGACAGTTCTAGATACGTCGCGACTGTGTCAGGTACGCTTGTTGCGTCCAGCATGATAGATCTTCTAAAATGGTGCTCAGATGATAAGATGCTCATGGTCTGGGACCTCGACCCAAGCATTGTCATTGCGTCTCCACCTTTGCCCGAGGTGGACGAGCAATCCGGCTTGCTAAACAGGCCACAACCCACTGCCTATGTTGTGGCGTTCCCGCACCCCCTCACAACCGTAAATTCTCATCCCACCACAAGCAAAGAGTTCCTTGTCTCGGACTGCCGTGGCTCTATTTTCCTCACAGATTGGCGATCCGACCCTGACGAAGGCGAACAGGGCGGCTGGCGCTCGAGCGTCCTCGAGCTTGTGGAGCCAAGAGCGTTATCCGATTCTGTCACCGGCCTCGCCACGAAATGGTCAGGGTCTGTTTCTTGGCGGAGAGACTCGGCTGACGTGTGAGCACGCGTTTCTTCGTTCGTTTCTCGCTCTATTGACCTCTCTGTGGCACCTGCGTACAGAGTGGGCGCTGCTTACGGGTCCAAGTTTGCCATATGGGATATGGCGAACCTTCAAGGCGGAAAGCCCAGCGTCTCAGGAGCGAGCTTTACAGAAGGTGGTAACCACTTCAGGTACGTTGAAACCTATATTGTGACGACCACCCGCATACCACTTTCTGATGCACCACTGAATTACTGACCAACGTGTCTTCCTAGATGGTGTCCAACCTATCACGAATACTTTGCAATATCAGCTGCCCCCCCAACGAAGGGTGCAGTCATTCACCTGTACAACACAGGTTACATCCAAGCGCAGCCGACCGTGTATAACATTGGATCACGTCCACTCTATGTGCGGACATTTGACTTCATGGCGGATCGTGGGATTCCAAGGATTGTGGCAGGGGTGGGACGTGAAGTCGTCATCTTCTACATCGGAGATGATTCATAAGATAATGCTTGGCCTTGCCAACGCTGGCTGGCTCTGTGGACTGGTGAAGTCTGAGCATGAGTAATGCCTACCTGGAATGGCATTGCGATGGTGCACTTTCAGTCGTGTTTTTTGTACATTTTTTTTCCGGCTAGTCCATATATATGTGGTCTTCGGAGTCGATGACCCGTAAAGTTAAACTGCTAAAGTCAAGGGTCGGCCAAATATTACGTGATCCGGATGTTACCGAGCGGCTCCCGGCAGTGGCCCGGCCTTCAATCTTGGGTGAATCGGGCACCGAGCAAGATGCCCATGCTTCCCCTCCGGCGAGCTCGATTAAAATGCGGAGTACGGTCGCCGGACACTCTATCTGATCAGAACAGCCAGGCAAACAGACCAAACAGCGGCCCATACAGTTCGCAAACAAAGACCGAGACAATCGGGGACCAATATGTTTTACACAGGGTACCAAGACAGCACTAGGCGACGATATGCTCTATGATATGGAACGGGTGACTCAACGACGACAGCACAAATAGGACAGCGACAACGCAGATGAAACAGGCAAAAGGAAAGGAAGAAGCAGCTATGTACATTGGAAACAACATTTGGAGTGAAATCAACGACCATTGAACGTGGTCGGCGCAGGGTATCCGTTCATCATCGGGTACTGCTGGTATTGCGGGTGCGCATAACCGTGGTGAGGCTCGCGGTACGATGGGGTGGATGGAGCATACCCGCTAGCCATGGAAACAGGGGCGCTGCCGTCGTTCACGCCGTAACTCGGGTACCCCGCCATATACGCCGAGTCCGCGCCATCGCTCATGCCAGCCTCCCTGAACATTTGGTGCCAATACACTAGCTCGGAAAAGGATGTTGGCTGGGCGGGGTGCTGGGCGTAGGCTGTCGACGGAGGCACCGAGGGACCGGAGTAGCCGTAGTTGCTGGGCGCCCCGCTGCGCCCTGCGGACTCCGGCGAAGTGGACGCGTATTCGGGTTCGCGAGCGTATGAGTATGGCTGCGAGGGGATTGAAGTTGACGATGCAGGCGAAGGCCCTTGCCCCACGAGAGGTGGCGTCGGAACGTTGGGGGACGGTGAGTAGTGGTAATTCTGTGGATGCCGGTCCATCTGTGGATGACGATCGACTGGGACCGACAATGGTACCGTCACTGGAGGATACATCTGCACCGGCGAGTAGTTTTGCGTTGGCTGAGCTGCCGGGCCGAACGAAGCTAAAAACAGGTGAGTTTAAGGCGTCGATGTGAAACGGCGATCAGGTTACCTTGCGGGCGATGTCCAGGAGGCGGTAAGCCCTGTTTGTGTTTCTCCTGTTCGGCCTGCTGCAGCTGTCTCTGCTTGTAAGTATCGTTGGTAACCAAGCTGCGCAGGAAGCGCGAGTGATACGCTGCGGAGCTGGAGGCCGGCGACAGCGCAGCCGCCTCCTGGTACGCATCTGCCGTCTTGGTGATCATGCCGTAAATCTCATCCTGTGCGTTGTCCTTCAATTCCTCAAGCCTATTGGCACTGCGGAGAAGCTGAAACGTTTAAGTATAGAAACATGCATGCCGTTATAACATACATACCTTTAGCAGGAAAATTGCGGAGTATGCCGTCATCACAGTGATAGAGTCTTGGCCGTAGCGCTGAAACCAAGACGATGTCAGAGAAGAATAATGTGTCGGATAACCACCAAGAACTACCAGAACGCTCATGGAGGCGAAATCTTTCGCGACTGCCTGGAGGTTGTCCATAGCACTGGCGTAGCATGTATTGAGCGCTCGCACATCGCTAAAAGCACTGCTCGGCTGGTAAAGTCGTTTAGTGACAAATTCAACAAAAGAAGCACGCTACGCACAGGAGTCGGTGACGTGTTGACGCCGAAACTGTTAAGAAACACGCGGACATACTGCTGGAAGCACCTCAGAAAGGAGAAATGAAATGTCTCCCCATGAGCTACACAACGATATAAGAAATACGTCGACAGAATTCGAGCGATAATATCATACCTCTCTGCATCTCGTTCTGCCAATGCTGCACCCACTGGTCCAATTTCGAATTAAGGGTCTTCAGGTGCATGTCGGTCTCAGTGTCTCCTTGGTGCGAGCCGGGAACACTTTGGCGCATCTGGAAGATGTCGATAATCTCGCCCGCGATACGTCTGAGATGCACGAACGCGGCGAGAATGACGTCCTCCGGGCGGATCTGCGAGCCCCCCTCTTCATGCCAAGTGCCCGCATGTTTGACGAGATTGCACTCGGGCAGCATCCACTGCTTGCCGGTCTGCATGCACAGGCTGCGGTCGTGCACGAAAAGCACGAGGTACGTGCGCTCCTTGTTGCGGCGCTCACGCATCTCGTAATCGCTCTCGTACGTCGTGCGCTTGCCGACATAGCGGTTAAGCCCGAGCTCGACGGACATCCTGCACGCGTAGCCGATGTAGGTCCAGGTGCGGGTGTCCTCCGGTTCGCGCCAGTATGTCATGCACGCGAATGCCTGCACCACTTCCACACGTTTCCAGTTCTCTGCAAACGCACGCACCGCGAACTCGTGTGCGAGTCGCAGCATAGGCATGTACAATTCCGGTTTGAAAAATTTGCAGGCCCCCATAATTATCGCGGTGAAGAGGAACGGGCAGCGCGAGCGCACATACTCCACAGAGTGCAGGGCGGGGTCGAACAAATTGATGAACTGGTTAAGCCGGATGAAGAACATGTCGAAAAGATCATGGGCAGTCTTATCGTCAATCATACCGGCCGCAATGGGGTCCTTGAGCGGAGGGTTGCTGTTGTAGAAGGGAGATGATTCGTTGGCAAGCCGACTGTTCGCGGGAGGTGACTGTGTGTTAGCCTGGGAGTAACTACGGTCTGAACCGCCTGGACGGGCAGGCTCAACTTCTGGATTGAGAATGGTCTTGAAGAAAGAATGGCGCTGGTTCTCCTTTTTTATGAGCCTGGCGGGATACATTCCACCCTCGGTGCGGCCTGCGTCTTCGTCATCTTCATCGACGTCAGATTCGGACTCTTGACCGTCTCGAGGGGAGCCTTCCTGGAAGTGAGGGGGAAGGTTAAGAGGGGGAAGCTCATTGTTCGGAAAACGAGAACCGCTTGCAAGGTCGAAGTGAAACCGGCCGTCTGCGGAAGCACCGGCAATAGACGGGAGGGAAACGGAGTCCTTTGTCGACTTCTGTTTGGCGTTATTCAAACCTTTTTCTAAGCGACGCAGCATTTTGGAGGCTTCGGATAGCCTGCGAATATGCACAATTCACATACGGCGGAAGAGAATAAGTTACGGAGAGGATAATACCTGGAGCCAGGCTTGCGACCCCTGCGGTGTTTCTCAAATATACAACTGTGAACGACAGTTAATATTGAATGATGGACGTAATATTTGATGCTCACTCTAAGCCTGCGCGCTTGCAGCGTTGACATGGGATGTTGTTAGCGTCGTCGGCGCCGACACATTTCATCTAGTTGACACGGAATGAATGGAAGTGCACGAGGTGGAGGGGATAAGGAATAGTATTTACTTTTGCCTGCCTGCAGACCGTGCATGCTCTGGCACCTCTGACAACTGGGGCTTTGCCACTGATGCGAGAATATCGGTGATCAGAACGGGGGAGAAGCACGATGGAAAACAGGGAGAGATGGAAACATACGTTGGTTTGGAGTGGTCGGAGGGGTCATCCTGTTGGAGCTGAGGTTGCTGTGCTGGCTGTTCTTGGTCCATTGCTGGTTGGATAAGAGAAAGAGGGAGCGCGGACTACGGTGATCAAGAAGGGCCGCCGGCTGGCTAACGAGGGCCGGGAACGAAGATTGGGCGATCGAGGGGAACAGCGCGGGGTGGGTCGAGGAGAGAAAAGGAGAGGGGAGATGGTGGTGGGGAGAAGGAAGGGGGGCAGGCGGGGGACGGTGGTCAGATGGAGAGGCGCCGGTTAAGGTGAACGGCGGACCCCGATCGGCTCGTTTCCGGCAACTATGCTGTCGTATATATCCTTGGCTTTATTATCCTCTCGTATAGATATCCACTTTAAACTGCAGCCTGCGCGAGCTAGAACCGGGGCCTGAGCGAAGTAGCTCTGCAGCTGCTGAGAGCGGAATCGCCTATCAAAGACGCGCTCTCTCAGCTGTCCTCCCATGTACGTCCGCCTGCTTGAAGTCTACTGTCATGAGACTCCCTCCCATCTTCCCAGCCATGCACACACGCTCGTCGTGTCCCCAATATAATATATACACCCTCGGTCATCATCCGACCATTAGCACCCGGTATCCGGCAAATACCCTCCCTAGCCTTCGGCCTTCCGGACTCCTTCCGGCTCGTCTTTGCTTCCCGTGAACCCGTCTTTTGGCGGCACAACCGCCGGCGAACCTGCGCTCACCACCGCTACATTCGATTGCCGTCCGAGGCTCTCGTCTCGGTCAACAACGGCAACCTTGTGCAACGGCGCCCAACGACGTACCCATGGGTCAAGCGGCAATCCAGCCAACACCAATCGATGGCACCGGCGATATGGACAACCTTGAAAGATCACCTTCTCCCCAAATTTAAGTCGGACCGGAAGTTGAATACAGTATGTTGGCTCCGCTTCCCCATGAACTCTCCCCCATGAGCTTTGCGCAGGACGTCCGCACAGAATAACGGCACACTTAGGTTCAATTCCGGTGCTGGTTCTGGTCCAGCCTTTGCCTGAGTCGCATGCTACGAAGACACCGAAGCCAGAAACCTCTCTCTACTGCAGTGCGTGATCTGTTTCAACATCAACCCTGGAGCGACGCGATGGATGAGGAAAGGTGTTCCCGATCCATCAATATGAATGCACCATCTCAGCTCGGGTGAGCCGCATTGTGAATCGTTTTGTGTGCCTGCAGCTTGAAGGAATCCTGGTACCGAGCCTGAAATTGTCAATTTCCTACGGCGTCAGGCGGATGTCACTCTCCTTGCAAGAGCCAGACGAGATCAACATCCGTTAATTTTCCATGCCATTCGATACCACCATCCGACAAGAGCGCAAGTTTACAGCCCACCATTCAAAAAATTCGGAGCAGGAAGGACACGCAGGGTCTGCCAAAATTAGGGTACAACCACTGATCATCACTTCCTCAATATCATGCAACGGCGACAATCACAGTAGTCAAAACGCATAGACCCCCGGTGCATGGACCACCGTGATCGAGCTGATGAGAGAGACGCCCCCATTAAATTGATTCGTGTATGTAAATTCAACACCCATGTTTCCGCGAGTGTACGGCCGCGACGGAGGCAAGTTCCGTCTTTCACCATGGAAGCGTCGAAGAACGCTGCGGAGACGACGGCATGATCATGGAGCGCTGCGACCTCATGTCCAGAAGTTAGGTCTGAATTCGACCTGTATGTACATCACAATAAACTTGCTGAGCCTTGACTGTGCATCCGACAAGCTGTTGCAATTGATTTGTTTCACCGTTGTGCTTGCAGCATAAGAGGGTCTGAAACGTCCGGCGTCAAGTGTCGCACGATGCGACCACTTGTACGGGAAGAGAAAATTTTGGCACCGATCCTTAGCTGGGATTCTCACGTAAAGTGCACCAATATACCGCACACGGCATTGTGTATTCTCTCGTCTCCGGAATTGAAACAGTACTTACTTGGAGTTTGAGGCCAACCAACTTGATCACCTTCCAAAAACGGAACGATGACCACCGCGGTGGCGCTTGCAATTCATCGACTTCCTCCTCATCTTTTCCATCCAAGTTGTGCAGTGAAGGTATCTGGAATCATGCAAATCCACTACATATATTTTCACAATTTTCAGTGCAGCGGAATGGCTCGAGATCGCGAAATTGCACAACTAGGCCTGATTGCAATACCGGGGTAACGATAGTATGGTCCACGTCATCGGCAGAGTGGCAAGAACCAGTGGTACGCAACCACAACCTGAGTTAAGTCCCAGTGCGCTCACTACACACTTGACACCACAGGGCGCGCATATCCTCCGTCCTGGTCGGCAAGACCTAAGCAGTGCAAGGCACGCTGGTACGAGTGGCTCGATCCCTCACCCAAGAAAACAGAATGGCCGCACCAAACGAAGTCCATCGCTGCGAGAGATGTGCAGATCCAGTCACTCGGGGAGGCTAAGCCGATAAGGAGGCGACGGAAGCTGGTACCCCCTACAGCTCAGGTAGGGGAAGTATAGCTGGAGGATACCGTGAAGGTTGGCCAGGCCGGCGAAAACGCGAAAGCGCTCGTAAGTGGCAGCGACGCCAACGCGCGATTGCTGAGCGAGTACCAAGGCTTTGAGAGCTCGCATGACACAGACACCTCGGATTGCACCTCAAAGTGGGTGCACTTCTCAGTCGGAACATTAGTTGCTTATTCACGTCCCAGCGCACAGATGACAACGTAACGTCTGAGGCTCGCAATTCGCGGAACATGACCATTGCGCAAACGCCGTCACTCGATGGCGAGAATACACCGACCGCCCAGGTGGAACAGGCTTCGAGGGCGTTACTCCTCGACACCAGGGAGCTTTCACACCGAACTGTCTGGTGACTCCCCTCCCTATCGGAGCAGGTGACGCGCTACTAGGAGGAGTGACAAATTCAAGTCGCTCCTTGGTCGCCCATGCGAGACGCGGTCAGTATCAAACCCCAAGGGATACACTGCTGTCGGGGAAACGCCGCGCGATCAGCGCCTGCGTATGACTTCGGCGAAACGTGCACTGAAGGCTGGCTTTATGAGCCTCCCTAAGCCCGAGAACAACTTCGAGCTTCTTCCCCCTGGGGACGAGGCGGTCGGAGAAGTAGAGGGCGCCGTGGTGGAAGATGACTCTCAGACGATCGGAATGCTAGACTCAAACAGCTGCTCGAAGAGGAAGAACAGAAGGCATTGGCCCGGCGGACGCAAGTAGTGCAGCACGATGCATGTGGTTCGACTGTTGGAGGACCTTTCAATCATGGAAAGCGAGGAGGCCGTTGGTACCCGTGGAGAAGCTGGTGCACGCGGAGCTGGCCGACCTGCTGCAGCACGACTCAATTGTGCATCCTATTACTGGGAGCTCATGACCGGGCGGCACACTGTCGACCTACGTGGTCCCTACGGATGATAGCATCGCAGCGGCGAAGTCTGCGATGGACAGAGAGCTCGCGACACCGCTGGGCTACCTGAACGCGAGCTGAAACAGGGCGTTACGGTGCTGGCGGGCTTGGAGGAGGTGGACGAGACACTGTCGTGGGCGCACATCCGGCGGCAGCTGGTATTCGACGCGAGTTCGAGAACATGGGTTCAGCCGAGCTCGCTCCTAGAGGAAGATCGCAGGGATCAGTGCGCTACTGGACGAGCGCCGGGAGACGATGGCGAAGGAGGGGGGCAAGGCGGAGAAGAATCTGAGCGGATACGAGGCGCGATCGAAGGGGCTGTCGAAGCGGATCAAGGACGCGTCCTCGGAGATGCAGAAGGCGAAGGTGGACTACGAGAGCGTTGTGCGGCAGAGGACGAACGAGTCGGCGACGGGGCCCGCAGGGGTGGAGTCGGCGCTGGAGAGGTGGGAAAGCTGCAGGATGCCGAGGAGGCAGCGCTTGCAGAGGGTAGGAAGGCTAAGCGACATAGGAACGCTATTTGGCTTTGGATGACGCTTGTTGTGTCTTTGCGAGGCTGCTGGCGAATATATATCCTCGAGACTCGATCCAAGTCTCGAATATTGCTGCAGTCTGAGGGGGAGAGCAGGTGACCATTTACTTACACGAGGCGGAAGCAGCATGCACACTCTTGATCTTCCCCACCGTCCGCTAGTCCATTCATGCGCTTCCGTTCCTCCGGCATTTCTTCTCGTTATCCTCCACCGTCGCACAGCCCAGCATAGACTGCGCTACTCTCCCTCTCTCGAATGTCCGCCAATGCCTCCTCCACTTTCCCGCCAACCACCCCCTCTCCGCTCCAATCCGCCACTCCCACCTCCCAGAGGGTCATCACCACCACTATCACCAGCGGCTCTGCATCTCCCACACAGGCTGCCTCTTCCAAGTCCACCGTCCCCATAGCCCCTATCGTCGGTGGCGCAGTCGGCGGTGCCTTCCTCGCCGTCGCCGCCGTGCTCATCTGGAAGTGGTGGGGCTGGTGCATCAAGCGCCAGGGGGAGAAGGATCGCAAGGAAGCCGTCCGTGATCTCCCCTTGCATCGTCTATCATCAGTGCTCATCTCTCCCTCCAGCTTGAACGCAAGAAGTTGCGTCAAAACACACGCCGGAACACCTCCTCGGGCGCGTTCGCCGGCAACCAACCCCCGGCGGCGATGTCGCACACCGGCAAGAAAGTCTCCTTCATCTCGCGCACCCCTTCTCCGCGCCCTTCCAAGAAGGAGGCCAAGACGGCGGCCAGGGCTGCCGCCAAGAAGGCGGTTAAGACTCCTGGTATGTACCCACTATATGCCCCATCTTCTGTATCTCACCCGTCCAGCAGAAGCAGATGCCCTATCTCGCCCGCGCAGAGCCTCAGGTCCGCGTCCCATCCGCCCAAGTCCCCTCAGTCAATCCATATCCAAATCTCCGACGCCCTCTACTCCGTCATCGTCTTCTCCCATACCACCGTCACCCTCCCGTACCGCCAAGGCCGCTAAGCGAGAACTCGCCGAGCCAGACTCCCCCTCCGTGCGGCCGTTCCTCAGCCGCCCCCTCATGGCGCAGCGGCCGTCGACGATGACCTCGGATTCGGTCTACTCCACCGAGAGCGGCGAGGAGCACCAGAACCGCGTGTCGGCTAGCCTCATCATGGCTGCCTTGGAGCATCTCGATATCAGACGCTCCATAGCCAACTACCTCCCGCTGGGCTCTGGACGGAACAACGGGATGGCCCACAGCAGACTGTCCCACATGAGCACGGGCTCGGCTGATGAACAGGAGGACATCGACGAGCCGGAGGACGCGATAGGCGTCGCATATGGCGGCGAAGATCAGGGGCCGTCGGCCGACAACATGGTTTGACGCGCACACTTCTGACGATGTACTGCTTATCCCCCTATTTGCTAGACGGATCCTTTGCTCCTGACTTTTGCTGAATGCTTTTTGACTTACGGTATTTACGGACTTCACGACGTGGAAGATTACGCCCGGACCTTTATGAAAGTAGCATTAATACCTTGTACTTGCAGTCGATTGTTGTAGTAGCTGATTTTGCTCTCGCGTGCTCTGGGAATGGAATATAGGATGTCGACAGTCTAACACAGATACATCCCATGGAAACTATCGGAGAGAGTTCACATATTGCTGTGACAGCATTTAGTACGAGCGGAGAGCGGGTGCATGAGAAAACGCACCTGCTCCAGTCGTGAGACAGAGGTTTTGAACTCGCTAACTTGCCGCCAGCAGTCTAGCGGCGTGGAAGGATGTGACCTGGCGGGTGCGGTGAGGCGCCATACGTTAGAAGACAAGGAACGATGCTCACCTGTAGCACGAGACGACGCTCTCGCCCTTCTCCTGCACCGCAGCGTAGCCCTCGAGCTCCTGCCTGGCATGAAAGCGCTCGACCTTTTTGCGGACCTCCTCGAGGTCGCCCAAGAGCGCAGCGCCGCTCTTGACGGCGCCGACCGCGTCCGCGGCGGTCTCCTCGCCGGCCATCTCGCGCTCGCGGTCGAGGTTCTCCTTCTCGAGTGCGCGCTCGATCTCCGCCTTGACGGTCTGCTCCTCCTCGCGGAGGCGCTCGAGCTCGGCGTGCATGCGCGCGCGGACGTGGGCGTCGAGGGTGGACTGGCGCTGCGGGGACGTCTCCGGGGACGCGAGGTGGTCCGCGAGCTGGTTCACGACGTCCTGGGAGAACTGTGGGGGGAGAATGTGAGCGGCCTGTGTGCGTCGTCAGAGGGAGACATGCTCGCCTGGATGGGGGTCTCTGCGACGAAGACTTTCTCCTCATTGTGCGGCGTGGACTGGCTTGCGCCCATGGTCAGTACAGCAGTGAAAGCGGCGTGCAGCTTCCTCTCGGACGAGCACGGCTCGTTTTGGAAGCCGTCACCTGCACGCGTCCTGCCTTCTGCCGCCACCATGTCCGACCAGGCTGCGCGCTCGTACACCCACCGCGGCTCCAACCGCGCCAGACCCCGCGACAAACAGAACAGCAAGGTCGTCTACAAGAGCGTCGTCGACAATCCATTCCGCGTTGACTGGTGATGCCCATTTTTCTCAGCTGCGATCGCCGCTCACTCGCGTCGCGTCCAAGGCCGTCTGTCCCCGTGAACCTCCAGAACTCCATCCTCGCACGCGTCGTCGCCATGGCCGAAGGCGTCTCCGAGCTCCACCTCCATCGCGAAAAGCAGAGCCGGAAGAGGAAGCGCGCTGCCGCGGGACCTCGCGTGCCGAAACGACGGAAAGTCGACGGCTCCTCGGAGGGTGCTGTCGTCGCAGAAGCGACGGCAGATGCAGCCCATGACGATACCGGCGGAGCAAGCTCTGAGCCAGTGTTGGCATCGTCCAGCAAAGCCACCGCAATCCCCGAGCCGCCCATTCTCCAGCATCTCACGTTCGGCATCAACGAGGTCACAAAGCTGCTCGAGCAGCTCGCGCAGTCATCCCGCACGATCATCACTGCAGGGCAGGAGCCCTCCGAGCCAGACACGCAACAGCCCAGACGGTACCCGCGACTCATCCTCGTCTGCCGCGCCGACATCGACCCGCCCCTCCTCATCGCGCACATCCCCCACCTCGTCTCGGCGTGCAACTCTGCGCGCCGCCCGGATGACCTCTCGGGGCACATGTGCGACGACATCTGCCTCGTTCCGCTGCCGAAAGGTGCAGAATTCTCGCTGTCCGAGGCCATGGGCCTGCGGAGGGTATCGGTCATGGCCATAGACGTGAGCGCACGTGTCTCGCCAGAGACAGCCTATTAATATTTCTCGCAGAGCTCTGCACCAGAGTTGACGGAGATGGCCCCCCTGCTCGAGCAAATCCCGACGCTGCGCTCTTCGTGGCTGATTCCCCCGGCTGTGCACCAGGGCAAGCCACCGATACCCAAGCAGATTATACCCACACACATCAAGATGCTACGGACTACCGCGCCCAAGGACATGAAGGCCGCGAAGGAGGAGAGGGCGCGCGGGAGGGCTGCTGCCAAGAAACGGAGGAAGGCGTTGAAGGAAAAGGGCGCGATACCGAAGAAAGTGGTGGTAGGAGCGGCTAAGGGTTCATGAAGTTTTGCATAGGATTTCTGTCAGCCTGTACATATCCTCGCATAACTGAGTGCATCTAATGTGTACGGTCATGTCGTTCAAACTCTGCTAGACCCCACGGCGATACCGGTATTCACGCGAGAGCTCCTTTCGTTAGATCCCGAGCCTGGGGTGTATATACGTAAAGTGGCTGCACCGATGCTCAACAAGTTGTCGTTTCTCCACTCAGATTCGGATCTGACGACGCACAACACCGGCGGTGACAACGTGTTTGCAACTCACGCGACGAGTATGTCCCCGCACTGATCGAGATGAATGTTGACCCGGCTAACGAGATTGGCAAACTATGATAGCATGTTCATCGCGATTGTAGGAACGCGATCGGCTGGAAAGTCGACCGTGCAGGAGTACCTCGTTCAGACGAAAGGCTTCCAGCCCGTCCAGCTAGTGCAGGTGCGACGCGACCAATATTGGCTAATATTCTCACTTTTGACCTCTCACTCAACGCGCCTCTATGCGCGCAGAACGAGGATGATTCCAAGCAAAGCGAATCCTCCGATGCCAGCTCGACGACCAGCAGGGAGACCGACGACGTCCTGCTCGTCGACACAGCGGTCGCAGACGACAGTCTCATAGTACAGCGGCAGTCCTTTCTGAGCATGGCGTCCCCCATCTCATCGTCATTCCCGCCCTCTGCTGTGCCGTATCGCTCACACTTCCAACACAACCCCCCGCTGCAGTTCGCGTCGCTCGCGCAGATGCTCCACCACGTCACGCAGAACTGGCGCGCCAACTTCGTAACCGTCGACCTGAACACGCGGGACGCGCTGCAGACATTCGTCACGCGCCCGTTCTTCATGGTCGTCAGCGTCGACGGGCCCCTCCTCACGCGTTTCCAGCGCGCAACACGGTGAGCGGCTACGCGCCTTGTGCGGATCTTACGCGTGAGCAGCGCCCTGCAGGACACGGTATTCAACGCCATCTCTAGAGGAGTTCGTCCGAGAGCACGACGACCACTTCTACGGCATAGAGGCGGCCAGCGCGCAAACTCCTCCAGCGCTGGACGAATCTAGTGACACGCCCTCGCTACTCCGCGTAGAGCCCTTCGTGACCTTGCGCATCGTGAATTCATTCGACACCATACCCGCACTCTACGCCCACCTCGACGCATTGAACCTGTTGAACCCGCAACGCCTCCGGCCGGGATGGGACGCGTACTTCATGCAGCTTGCCGCGCTCGCGTCCCACCGCTCCAACTGTATGAAGCGTCGTGTCGGTGCCATCCTAGTCCGCAACAATCGGATCCTTGCCACCGGGTACGCCTTCACATCTCCTGCACATCGTGTGGTGGCACTGATCTCAGCTGGACAGATACAACGGCACGCCTCGCGGGCTCACAAACTGTAACGAGGGCGGATGCGCGCGGTGCAACAGTGGGAACGAGACGCCGGACGAGTGTCTCTGTCTCCACGCAGAGGAGAACGCGCTGCTGGAGGCAGGCAGAGAGCGTGTCGGAGATGGTGCGGTGCTCTACTGCAATACGTGCGTTTTCCTCGCCTAAGAGTAGCGCAGCGCACTAACCAACTTGCGCTCGTAGCTGCCCGTGTCTGAGGTGCACTATAAAGATCATCCAGACGGGGGTGAAGGAGGTCGTCTATAATCTGAGCTATAAAGTGTGCGTGCTCTTGTGTGTGTCGTCTTCCGACATCTCGCTGACACCCTTCGTCTTCAGAGACGACGCATCAGCCGCCTTGTTCAGCGCGGCAGATGTGATATTACGAAGACATGCTACCCATCTTTGAATTCCACGATACCCATGCTCTCAAAACATGCTGTCAGCAGCTGTGTCGCTAATCTTATGCTATGCATACCCGTCTCGCACGATCAGAACACCGCAAGTTTTCCTCGAGAGTACTCCATACAGCAGTGTCTGCTGCAGCCTAGTGTCTTTTGGCATCTCCAAATATCTCACTGCGCATTGTTGCGCTGTTAATCGCCATAATAAATCAATGACAACCCCAACCGTGATCACTGAGATGATACAGCGGCGCCAGTGCGTTTGTCATGGTACTTGTGGCCGTACTCCAGAAGCCTTTGAAGGAAAGAATTAGAGCGAGCTCACAAGGTAGCACCAGTATTCTGACATACCAGTCGGATTCTATCTCAGTCAGAATGCGGATTCTGGAGCGCGTCCGAGAGCTCAACACGAAATAAAATAGAACACAAGGCGAGTGACATACTGAGTTTTCTTCGTTTCTTCCATCTCATGGAAGACCACCCAGCCCGAACGCGGCTTCCTCGTGAACAGCACCGAGTTGGGATGTACGTGCAAAGTCTAAGTGACCAATCAGCACCACAGCTCGCAATATCAGCTGCAATAAGCTCACTGTGTTTCCTCTGACAGAGCGATAAGTACCATCTGCGACCCACCGCGCACCATTTCGCCAGTATCCACTGACGAGACATTTTCGGAGACGTTTCGCATCCCCTTCGCAGCTCTCCAGTGGGAGCCCGAATCGTTGCATGTACTTCTTTAGCTGTGATCTGATAGAGACGGCGCGAGACATGGCCCGGAACGATAGCGCGTGTGATTTGCACCAAGATGAGGAGCGACCATATCTTGTGAAAGCATTGTACGCTGATGGGAAGCATCGGGATTACTATGACTCCAAGACGAAGCGGAACAATTTACCATTCAACAAAGTAAGGTGGTCCTGTGGAGACAACATTAGCTGAGGTTACACTGTCGCATACATTGCACGCGCGACATACCCCTTCCTCAGCCGTGAATTTCCTGCGCTCCAACTCGGCTAGAGCGCCAGCTGCACCATCTGGTATTACGAAGACATCCTGATCACTGGACGTCAGATCGGAGGACAGGTGGTGCTAACAGTAAAATTCACCTGAACAGCTGTCATAGCGGCAATCGTCAGGATTTCTTCACCACAGTTGTAGTCTTTGGATGTGAACAACTGAACCGCTCGTCAACGTACGGTACCCGCACACGATACGGTTCGTTGCTACGTACCATTCGCGCGATGTTAACCTCGACCGGACACTCGGCGACTTTTTCTCCAGTCACGGTCAACCGGCCATCTTCACCTATCATTCCAGCGGCGACAAGCCCCTCCAGAGCTCGAAGGACACTCTTAGCAGGCGGAGCGGTGACCCATTCAAACTTCATGAGGTCATCGATGCCGAGGGATTTGAGTTGCAAGATGGGCGTTGTTAGATCTGTACGAGTGATTTCCGGCTGAGTGGTCAGAGGAATGCTGTCCAACGCGCTCTTGGGGTACAAGCGATAGCATATGCCTGAGGAAGTGCGCCCCGCTCGGCCGGCACGTTGTGTAGCTGACGCGGAGGAGATAGGAACAGTTGCTAAAGATGACAAAGAGGTCGTCGGATTGTACGTGCGAATCTAAACAAAGATATGAGTAAACGGAACATTCAGATAGCGCGTATCACTGACTTTGACAAAGCCAGAGTCCACCACAAACTTTATGCCGTCGATCGTGACGCTCGCCTGTTGCTATCCGTTAGTGACGTCGAGATACGCGATATACGAAGCGTCTTGCCTCGGCTATGTTGGTGGACACGATAACTTTGCGGCTGCCACGTTCAGATGGCTCAAAAACTCTCATTTGCTCATCGGTCGTGAGACCTGCATGCAACGCAAGCAACCTTAGCCTCATAGCGTTCTGAGGTAAGCTGTCATGTCAAAGCCATGAGTGGAGTCGAAGATCACGATCGACAATTGGAACACACCTCGGCAGCATCTCAGAGAGTTCTTCCAGACAATGATCTATCTCTTCCCGACCGGTAAGAAAAACGAGGATATCCCCAGAACCTTGCTATTTCCACGTCAGTGAAAGAGATCTCCACTTATAAACAGGTCATACCTGCATGTGAATATTCCATACGACCTCCGCAGCCTTACGCACATAGTCTGATACTGGTTCTTGCAGGTAGGCTACTTGCACGGGATACATGCGGCCCTCTAGACTCACAATGGTAGCCTCGCCTGGAGAATTTCCGGCTGCAAAATAATCCAAAAAAGAAGTAGCATCCAACGTCGCCGAAGAGACGATAAGTCTGAGCGAAGGCCTTTTCCGGCGTATCCTGTACAAGACGTGAGAGAAAGCCATAAGTCAATGGAAACAATACCGTACTTCTTCAGAATTCCCAGCATTAAATCTGTGTAGACACTTCGTTCGTGAGCTTCATCAATCTTTATGCATCTGTGTCAGGATGAGCCTCCAAGGTAGAGTGAATTCCAACCAAACAGACCATGATCACGCTATAACGGCTAAGTAACGGGTCGACCAACGTCTCCCGGAAGAGCATTCCATCTGTCATGTACAGTATTCGCGTCCGCTCTTTGTCGCTCACATCCTCAAAGCGAATGGTGTACCCCACCTACGAGTAATTTAGCAAAGACCGCGAGATCACACTGTCAAAACGTACCTCATCGCCGAGCAGAGTCCCAACTTCTGTTGCAACACGGCCTGCGACCGAAGTTGCAGCGACACGTCTGGGCTGTGTACATGCAATGATATTGCCATCTGTGGACCAGCCGACTTCGTGTAGATACTGTGGGAGTTCTGCATGTCATGGGCCACGGTCCCGGTTAATGAGCACGTATAAGACTGACGAGTTGTTTTCCCACAGCCGGTTTGTCCTACAACTATGACAGCACCATATTTCTCGACACAGTAGAGCAACTTCTCTCCTGTCACAAAGGTTAGTGAGCAGATATATATATATACATCCTGAGACACTAACTGTGTTTGAATATAGGTAGACGTTCACGAGCCCCTTGTATTGAGAGAGAAGAAGTAAATGGTGCAGATGGAACAACGTTTTCTTCGGCTTCGGTGGCTCTGTCAAGGGAGCTTCCAGGACCGACTGTGCCAGGTTTCCAGAACTGAAGAGTAGACATGACCAAATATGGGAAGGGCTGGGACGGTTGTTTGGATCAAAAGCTTTTGCATGCTAAACCAAGCACAGACAAATAAATGGGTGGCTTAGCGAGAGCCTGTGCTCATCGGACATCTACTTACCTCGTCCTTCCATCGTCCTCGCGGCCTGATTCTCTACCTCGCACTCGTCCATCATGTCTGAACGCAAAGGTTACTTGTTAATAATGCTTTCGTTTGCAGAAATATACTGACGCATATATATCTCCAGTTCTAAACAAGTACTTCCCTCCGGATTTCGATCCGGCTCTCATTCCTCGCCGGAAGCAGCCCAAGAACTCACAACAGGTGGTTCGTCTCATGGCTCCTTTCTCTATGTGCGCACAAGTTTGTCTGATCCACCTTGTCTTTGTCTAATCACGCGTTTCACAGGCGATGTAACACATGCGGTGAATACATTTACAAGGGAAAGAAGTTTAACGCCAGAAAGGAAACAGTCGATGGGGAAGACTACTATGGTATCAAAATCTTCCGTTTCTATATCAAGTGGTGAGTCTGTTTCTATGCTCTTGTCCCACACTCTCATGTGTGTCGCAGCACTCTATGTTCCGCGGAGATTACTTTCAAAACAGACCCTAAGAACACGGACTACTCCGCTGAACACGGGGCGTCGCGGAATTTCGAGCCATGGAGGGAGGAACAGGCTGTGGAGGAAGAGGACCGTTTGGCGAAACTGGAGGAGGAGGAAAACAACCCCATGAAGGTCCTGGAGAACAGAACGGTGGACTCAAAGCGAGAGATGGATATCTTGGATGCCCTTCAAGATATTCGTGCTCGCAATGCACGTAATGAACGTGTCGGCCAGTCAGTTGATTTGTCAGAAAAGCTCGACGTGGAGGAAATCGAGACGGAGGAAGACAGGGAGCGGAAGAGGCAGGATGAGGAGGATGAGAAGCTGGTGAGAGAAGTTTTCTCAAAGATCACAGTCCCAGCAGGTGTATCGGGCTCGCAGCCGTCCGAGAGCTCCAGTGGTTCAGAAGAAGCGGCCCCGACGGTGGTAACGTTGAAGCGCAAGGCAGATGGAGCGGAGCCAGATTTGAAGAGTTTGCTACCAGAGTCGACAAGGGCGCTCATTGCTCAGAAGTCCCTTGGGCAACCTCCAGTGAAGCGGAAGAAGCTTGACTTGAAAGGTTCCTTGGGCATCAAAATCAAAGGAAGAGCGGTGACCAAGACAGCGGTGTAACATGACTTTTGTACGCTATATATATCTTGTAACATGTATTTATTTCTACGCTCATCATACCTCTGGTTCTAGCGGGCTGACTGATGGACCTTCCTGATTTCGTCTCGTGTCCAAATTGCTCTCACTGGGACTGCCCTGTGTTGAAACCCTTCATCTTAGACGCCAAAGTCATATTGAATTTGATGTGGATGGAGAAAACAAAGCTTTTCGAAACTGATTGCTGTCATGTGTACGTTCAATTACGAAGTCCGTATCCAGTCTGTACATTTATCCCCATTTTGTCTCGATGCTGATATTTGCGCGGAGACGGAAGGCTATAAAATTGAGCATGCCAGATGCAATACTATTACCACGCCCATAATCACCACCTTGAAATTGACTACCTAGCGATGGTCGGATTGCAAACCGGAATCTCTCTTGCCGCAGTAGCTGCAGCTTTTTACTATTCCCCGCCGTGGTATTCCAATTTCTTCCTGAATAGCGCTCGTAAGGACATAGAAAGGTTTAGCTGCCATCCTTTCCTACCGAAGCTATTTGTGGAGACTCCACCTGCGGCCGACCATTCCGCAATCCAAGGTGCCTCCAACAATTTGAACAAGTTTCTTTCCAGCCGCTTTTCCGAGGGCGATATTGACAGCCCGTCGGTGGCCGTTGTGACATCGCAAGGTTCCGTCTTCGAGCATAACTATGGTGTCATCAGAGGCAACGAGTCAACTACTTCGCTCCATACTACGAGCGAAGCATCGTACAGAATAGCTTCGATCTCCAAGCTGTTCGCTGTTCTCGAGGGACATATTCTTGCGCAAAGGGGGTTGCTATCTTGGTATGTCCTGGCTCTGCAACATTATGCTCCGTTCTCTGTTCATGGTGCGGACTGGCAAGTACGCTCGTCTCGAATTCGCTGGCATATTCCGCTTAACCGCCACACTGTATCGAGCCAATCTTTCTGATACACGCATACATTGTGCTGTGCTAATATCCGGCTCGCTGACTGGTATGACTTTTCAGGGATGATCCTATTGAAAAATTCTTCCCTGACTTTAAATACCGCCTCGATGGATTTGATCCTAGCGTTCCTCCAGAGTCTCGCAGGGACACTCCTATTACTCTTTTCCAGCTTGCTAGTCATATGTCTGGCCTGGGCAGAGATTGGCCTTCGGGAATTGCGAGGAACTGGCCGCACGAAGTTTACGGTGGTGGACCCTCACTCGCCAATGGTTTGCCCTTCCCTGACCATAAGTCGTTCTTCAAGGCGATGGCAGAGCATCATCTCGTCTCGCAGCCATGAGTGTATCCTTCGTACTCTAATACAGGGACTGGTCTTCTCGGCCTTGCCCTTCTCGCTGCCAATCGTCTCGGCAGTGAGGATCCGTCGAAAGAGCCGGAAACATACGCCGAGCTCGTACAGCGAGATATCTTCGATCATATGGGCCTCAATGGCAGTCATTTTCTGACCACCGCCGCCAACAAGCACCAAGCTGTCGTACCGTCCCTGGCTCCAGAACTCGCTGTATGCGCATCGCTGCACTTCATCGGAGAGAAGAAAACTGACCAAATATTTCAGGACTACGATTTCCTTGATGCCATGAACCCTGCCGGTGGCCAATTCGCTTCGCTCACCGACCTCATCACGGTTATCCAGACGTTATTAAACCCGTTGCATTCCAAAAGTCTGCTCACACGATACTCCGTGGACAAATGGATGCAGCCTGTTCACGTCTTTGAGGAAGATGACTGGACGCAGATTGGCGTCATGTGGGAAATCCTCAAAGCACAAGACTCCAATAGTCGCCTGCGCAGAATATATTGAAAACGTGCGTCATATGACAATTATAGCCGCGATAGTAATAATTGAAATTGTTCGTCGCTCCAGTTGGTGCCCTAGCAGGATACAATTCAGTGGTTGCGATCCATCCAGGCGCGTCTTATGGAGTTGCAGTGCTCATGGCCGGGCAATACCAAGACGCATCTAAGCTTGCGTACACTGCGTTTGAAATCTTCCAGCCTGCAATGGACAACGTACTCGCCGAACAGGCGCGTGCGCTGTACGCAGGAACATGGACAAGTCAGGATGGGAAGAGCAAGGCGTCAATCGTGGTGGACAAGGGCACGTTATACATTGAGAATCTCCTGCTGGACGATACAGATATCCTGCTTATGTTCCATGCCTCGGAGAGACTCGCTCTTCGGTCGTCAGGAAGGAGAGATGAGCTCCGGTAAGCGAAAAGACTCTGGAGCGTTCTCTCGCGAAGTGTTGACGATATCATGGATAGGCTCGACACAGGCATCCCCGGATACAACGGCCTGAAGCATATGGGATGTTATCCATACTGGAATGGCCAGGATCTGTGGGGCGTTCGCAACAATGCACCCATAAACGTGATTTATTTCAGAGGTCCTAGTGCTAATCGCACCTTACATGTTCCTGCTGCCGACATCATCATGACTCGCGTTTGAATGAGGAAACGTCGAAACCGTGCGTCTTTACACTGTCGTACGGAGCGAGCAGGTAGCAAGTTGTCATGATAAGTCATTTGGGACTCAGTATTCCATTCGAGACCTATTTATGTAACGTTGTCAGTCTTCGAAAGCGAACTGATTATTGGCGAAATAGCCTGCGGTGGAACGAGCGCCTACCCATTGAGTAGTTGTCGACGCTCGGCATAAAATACATATTCAATACGAACAGATACAGGTTACACTCACGCGGCGTTTCTTATCCTACACTTCTTGACAGTTGCGGGATATCGTTCAAGTAGAACGAGCTCGAGGATCTTACCGTCTGACGGCCACATCGTGTCATCTCCGGCGTTCGCTGCAGTCTGGGAGGTGTGAATACGTCGCTGCCATGATGCACTAAATGTCACCCAGCATGCCCCTGGGACCGTCAATGGCCGTAGACATGATTGACTGTGATGACATTAGTATTTTCTGCGCTGGATGTGACCAGAACTTGAATTCACGGGCGAACCGCCGCGTTCGTCGAAGTCTGCATTCGACGTCGGACTAGCACCGTCTTCCGCGAGTTGTTTCTCCGGATTGAGGGACACCCTCGAAGTGACTCGTCGCCGTGAACTCATCGAGGAACGGCGTGGAGCGCGGGGTAGCTGGGACTGCGTGATGAAAGGCACGAGCCGGCGTCTAGCGACGACGACCTCCACAACGCTTCCGACCCGACGTCGACGACCCCTCTCGATAGACACACAACATCTTACAATGGCCAACTTGGCCTACGCTAACTCCATTTTCTCCACCCTTTTCCGTTTGGCCGCATATGTTTTCCTTGAAGTGGTTCGTTCCAGGGTCTGAATTCAACTCAGCATCCCTCGTTCTTACGCTCTGTGTAGATTCCCGCACGCCCCGGAAAAATTGCATTACCTGTCCTCTATGCCTTGTATCTTGCTACCTATTTCCTCGTACCTCCTCCCACCATATCAGCAGCTGTAGCCGAGCACGATGAACCAGAGGCGGAACCGAAACTGGTCGAAAAAGCAGACATTCCCGAACCAACGATTGAGCCTCCATCACCAGTGCGCCCAATATGCCCTTACACTCGTCTGTCCGCAGACTAACTTCCGATTAGCCACCTGGCCCATACTTAAGCATTCCGACGATCCTATTCTCCCTGCCGACCCCTCTCCGGGATCTGCGCATCCTTAATTTCATCATCAACCTGCTCCTCTTCCTTGCATCTATCGACCTCGTGCTCCATCCCTACTTTGACGATGCCTCCGGCGTTGTCTACACGCGCGTCGGCGCCGTCTACCCCGACGCAGCCAAGATTGTGGTCCGTTATCCTCGTACCGACAGCATACGCATCACATGGCGCCAGGTGTCCAACGCAAACCATTCAGATCCCGATTTATGGAGAGACGGACCGCTTGTGAATTTGACATCTGACTTCGATTGGATAGACACCATCAAGCTCGACGGGCTTTATCCCAGCACTAACTACGAATGTAAGGCAGCACGCTTATCCCTTTGCATCTTCTCACGTTTCCATGTCTAACAGACAGACTAGAAGACGAGAACAACACCGTCCTGCCGTACCCAGCAACGCCAATCCGTTTCCACACGTTCCCCGACCCGCTCCTACACAGCGGCTCGCACTTCCGTTTCGTTGCGTCATCTTGCATAACACCAAACTTCCCATACGTGCCCCTCCAGGGGCGCAGGATAAAGGGCTTCGATCTTCTCGCGGAACATATTTGGCCGACCGAGCAACCTGTCGTGCCTACAGTCGTGTCCGCGTCAGTGAACGAGACAGAAGACGTGATCACTCATGCCAGCGCCACTCTACAGACGGCCTCGTCATTCGAGGGCCTGTCATCTACCTCAAAAGATGTTCCTGCATCCCCAGCTGCTACCGCCGAGCCGCTGCCGGCTGCTGCGAAGCCTCCCACTGAGTTCATGATTTTCATGGGCGACTTCATATATGCTGACGTGCCGGTCTACTTCGGAGACGACAAGGAGGCATATAGGAGGTTGTACAGAAGAAATTACCAGAGCAACAGCTTCAGAAAAGTTTATGAACGGCTGCGTGCGTCACTTCAATCCCATCCGATCCGGGCCATTACTGATATCACCTTCAGCAATATTCCATACGTACGACGACCACGAAGTAAGTCTCCACCGAAGATGATCTCTACAATCCGCCTGATCACATCGCGCAGATAATCAATAACTTCGCTGGCCAAGCCAATGATTCGCTTGCGCCATACCCCAACGCTTCCGATGCTTTCCGCCTCTATAACGCCGATGCAAACTTCGACTCTCCCGTGGAGGGCCAACATTATTACGACTTCCGTTATGGCGACGTCGCTTTCTTCGTCATGGATACTCGGCGTTATCGCTCAGGCCTCGACATCGAGGACCCTGCGAGTCGCACTATGCTTGGTGACCGGCAATTGGCCGCGTTGTACGACTGGCTAGGCAAGGTGACCACTCCTGCACTTCTATCGACCAACATTTACTAACTCTCGTCAACGCGCAGGTCAACAACACTGCGACGTTCAAATTCATCGTCACCTCCGTGCCATTCACGTCTCTCTGGGGCCACGATGCGGCGACCGACTCCTGGGCAGGGTTCGCGTACGAGAAGACTGCGCTGCTCAGCGCGCTGCACTCCGTGCGGAATGTTATTCTCCTCTCCGGTGACCGTCACGAGTTCGCGGCGATCCAGTACGCGAGTGAAACCGGACACAACGTGCTTGAGGTGTCGACGAGCCCGCTGAGCATGTTCTATGTCCCGTTCGTCCGCACGCTCCGGCCGCGGAGTGAGGGCGTTGTGAGGCAGACACGGGATGTCGTGCGCACCCTCGAGAACGGCACGGTTGTGAACGCGACAGAGACCGAGGAAGTGCCTCAGGAGCTGGTGTTGCGCTATATTGCCCCCGGTAACCACAAGTGGTGAGTTCCATGACAGAGAGGTTTTGACTGTAGCTTTTATGCTATGAAACTAGGTCTTCGATTGAGGTCGACACGCGGGACCTCGACCACCCCGTTGCAAAAGTAGATATCATAATCGACGGTCAGGAAGCATACAGGCAAGTGCAAAATATATCTGGCTCTCTATGCAACTGACGATACTGTTGCAGTTTAAAAGTAGTGGGAAACCCGGTGAACCTGCACCCTTCCACCGCGCTAGGCGCACTCATGCCGCGGACGTTCAAAGGTGTGCTGGATAAGATCGGACTATCGCCGAGCCGCTGGTTCTGAGATGTTTCCGAGTACAATGGTATCGTATCTGTAGTATATATCTAGTGTAGGATTTATAAGTCGAATATTTTTAGCTGTGCGGACTAGTGGCTGTTGGGATACACATCTTGCCTCCAAGAGCGCGCCGACGAAGCGATCGAGAGGGCAGTCTTCCTTCCTAAAAAGGCATTTATTCGTGATCTTTCACTCAGGCAGATCCACCGGCGCCGTTGATTGTCTCTTTCGAGAATCGCTGTTGGATTCGTGCGTAGTGCTCCATCTCCGCCTGGGTGACGCTAGGGACCAGTTCGCGGAGTGCACCAGTGAAATCTTCCTCCGAAACCAGCACTTCTGTCTCAGCAGGGGTCGCCAACTCGGCCAGGTAATACTGAGGCGTGAGAGGGTACGGATGGTGCGTATCCGGAGGAGATGCATTGAGCTTGGCTGCAGCAGATTGTCAGACGAAAATGAGCACGGCAATGGCAAAGAGCATACCAATTGTGTTTTCAAGCTCTTCGGCCTTTCTTGACATCGCCTTGAGCAGGGCATCGGCACAGAGCGCATAGAAGTCGGCACCGGTGTAATGAAATGGGGACTGTTCTGCAATGCCTTCCAATCTCAGATCAGGATGAAGGCGGAACTTCCTTGTCAGCGCCTGAAGGATGTTGACTTGGGCAGCATGTGTCGTGCTGACGCCCAGATAGAGCATTCGATCGAACCTACGGCAGAGATGATGAACAAAGACTGAACAGAGGAAGAAGAGAGTCCAACCTTCCCGGTCGGAGTAACGCGGGGTCCAGGAGGTCAGGGCGATTGGTCGCACCAATGACGAAGACATCTGCTCCTGATTTGCCGGTAGACAAACCGTCCAGCTCTGCGAGAATCTGGCTCACAATGCGATCCATAACACCTCCAGAATCGCCGTGGCTCCCGCGTTTCGGCGCCACCGAGTCCAGCTCGTCGAAGAATATGACGCAAGGTCGTGCATCCCTGGCACGCTGGAAGACTCGCCGGACGTTGGCTTCAGACTCTCCGATGTACATGTTGAGCAGTTCGGGCCCCTTGACGGAGAAAAAGTTCAATGTACAGGATGTTGCCACGGCCTTTGCGAGTAATGTTTTTCCTGTTCCCGGAGGGCCATACAGCAGAATACCTGCACGATGTGAGCACGCACAACTCGTCTGAGTACGCTGAGCTCACCAGACCGCTTCTTCAAGCCATCAGCGAAAAGTTCCGGATGGTCCAGCGGGAGCTGAATGGTATCCAAAATGTCCTGTTTGACATGGGCGAGTCCTCCAACGTCGTCCCAAGTTACCGAGGGAATCTTTGGTGCTCCGATGTTCTCAGAGTATGACGCCCTAGATTCAGCCAATGCGATATCAAAATCTTCAGCTATCAGAGGTATGCCGGCTGTGACCAAGTCAAACTCTGCGCAGCCATTCCTGGCACGTAGTATATGAGTGAAAGCCTAGGGTGTCATAGTATATGAGGCGTACGATTCTTGGATAGCTCGCTTCATGGAGGCACTCTCTGCACGAGAGACGAAACTGACAAGGTCGGCAGCCACCAGAGCGGCAGTTTGTACAGCCAAATCCTTCAACGCGACATCTGGAGCAAGAGTGCGAGTACGGAGAAGAGACACCAGGATATCGTATCTCTCAGCTTCTCCAGGTGCCTGAGAGCCACGCAATAAGCAGACAACCTAAGATAATGAAGGCAGCCAATACCTCGAAGATGACTTCGTGTTTGAAACAAGACAGTATACGTGGAGAGACTCGATCAGGATTACTTGTTGTCGCGCACACGATGACCGGGAAACCGGTGAGGTTCCATGATTGCTGCAGTTCGGCGATGCACTCATGGAGTGCGTCGACAATGGTTGGTTCTAGACGCACGGTGTTTGAGAGAAATAGAAGATACCGCTGATTCAGACCCACCCTTTCCTGGTTCAAGGCTTTGCGTTGTCTGCGAAAAGGCGTCAAGGTGTCGCAATAGGAAGATACATGGTGAACATGAGGCAGCTTTCTCAAACCGTGCTCGGAGCGTGCCTTCCGTCTTCACAGGAGTTTCACCCAGAATATCGTAACAGCTGACCTGCAACTCTATGAGTTCAGCTAGACAACAGTAACAGCAGTGACCTACTTCATACAAATGAATACCTAGGCGCTGCGTCACCCAGGTGGCTACAGTATATTTCCCGACCCCGCTAGGGCCTTGCAAAAGAATAGACAGTTGCAGCTGGTAGTCAACAGCATTGCGGTTCAGTGCAGCCGAGGTCAACGCAAGCAATTTTCCAAAGGCACCATCAGGCGAGATAAGAGAAGAAGATAACGATTCTGAACCCATAAGGATCGGGCTGTTCTCCGCACCTGCATCGTGATGGTGTTGGTCTTTGTCTGGGGTGAATACTGCGAATACGCACTGATTCCTAGGTATAGGGCGGCGTCGGGTACTCTTGCATGCTCCACGCCCGTCTGTATGACACGCGTAACCGAAGGGTCCACCCAGCATCCAAGCTCGCCAACAGTCGACCCTACGTAGAGATCGGGAGATGTAGCACCGCCGCGGTTCGACATGACGTTGTGCTCAATATTCGTCACAATGAAGAATATAAATTCATTCGCGTTGTCAGACGAACACGGAGACCTTGTACAAGTGGTCAGCAGGTAGCTAGACGTACTCCTGACAGAAACTAACTCGAGTCCAACGTCCGACCCATCCTCTCCACTTGTGTCTTCTTCTCCTTGGTGTTGAATGTCATCCGTATTTATTTTCACTGTGATCACATCGCCCTGCTTAACCAGACGCGTTGTGCCTTTGAAATATCCTTGTAAGGCGCGTAGGAACGAATATTGGTATGTGCGATCCGTCGAGAACGGAGACGCTACGCGAGCAATAGTGACAGCTCGTGCCATAGGGATGGCAGGCTGGCGACAACCGAATGGGCTTGACATCAAGCAGATTTCCGAGTCATTGATCGAGGCTGTCTTAGAAAGGATGTTGTACAGAAGTTGAGGAGCAGCGGTAACATAAGTTCTACCCAAATTCGTAAGATCTTAACCCTAGACTCAACAGTCCAGAAGAATGCTTACGAAGTCTCCTCCTGTTCTTCATTTACTTGCACACGGACAAGACGATGGGACGATCCATGTCGAGGTCGGACGACAGCCTGGACACTGATCAACACGATGCAGAAGGCCACGAAACGTGCTCCTTACCCAGTCTCCATTCAGCACCGCAATCTTGCTGAGGTCAGAAGTACGGACATAGACTGTGCAATCGTCCCACTGGGGTGAAACAGGCTGCACTAACGGTTCAACTGTACATGTCCATTCCGGCATCGTGATATGGAGCTTCTCGCCGTACGGGTGATCATGCTCAACAGAGCTCCGAGAACTGCTGGGCTGCGGACTGCCTTCGTTGCTGCGAGGAGACAAACCAGGCATGGAATGAAGCACCGAACCGGCAAGGAAGTCTTCGTCAATCTCCACACCATCCTTTTGCAAGTCGTTCCAGTCGGACTCCGAGCGAACCTCGGGAGACTCAGAGAACTGTCCATTAGACATAGAACCGCCCAGTTGATGGGCAGAGATGTAAAAGCGAGTGACGCCCTTCTTGGCATATCCTTGCAGAACAGGAGCAGTCATGGCCAACTGATACGCACAGGCTGACCGCCCTGACAAGCCCAGCTCCTCTGTGACCAATTCGCAAATTGCTCCCCGGCGCAATATCATGCCCTTGCCGAAGAACCAGCTCTCAACTGCAGACTTGTTGGATATAGCAACGGCGTAGGCCTCGCTGGAGAGTGCAGATAGAATGACTTCCGATAGAGGAACGGGACGCACAACGGTGACAGAATGCGTACGGTCAGTGGCTGATGGACGGAAGTCGCTTTGCCAGAAAACGCGTCCATACTGCTCCAACAATCGCAGTGGGACAGCCAGCTCGGTGACCTATCTCGTCAGTTGTGAGACTCATATCGGAGGTAGGTTGAAGGGGAGCATACATTGTTGTCTAGACTAGCCCAGCAGACCAATGAACTCAGTGACGTTGAGAAGTTCGTTCGGCATGGCAAAATCCTGGACACAGAAATTGCCGGCCTGTGATCCGCAGGTTGAGGGAGATTCAACGCATTCCAGAGATATTCTGAGAGATATACAGTGTCCGTGTCAGAGTGTGAGTGGAGAGAAGGCGCGCAGGGTACCGGCGCTGGACAATCGAAGAGAAAGTCCATAGACAACTTGAGAGACGCCCACCAGACTCGGTCGGCAAATTTGCTCTCTACACCTGAGTCTATTCTCCGACCGGCTACCCAACGCTTACACCTCGCAGTATACATTGCTTCCCACACGGAGAGAGTGCTTCAAGGCACCCAGCACACATTGCAACTATTATGAGCCGCGGCGGTAGAGGTTTTGGGGGTAGGGGAGGATTCGGTGGAGGTAAATTGGCGACAACTTGAGTACCACCGTTCACGGTCTCAATTCATTTTCAGGTCGTGGTGGTGGACGCGGAGGTTTCGCACAACGAGATGCAGGTCCTCCAGATGCAGTTCTCGGTGGGTGACCAACGGCTATCTGGATCGCACCTCTTAAAATCAATTTCAGAGATGGGCTCCTTCATGCACGCAGTCGAAGACGAGATGCTATGCGCTTCAATGATGCCCGACAAAGTCCCATACTTTAATGCTCCAATATATCTGCAAAACAAATCCGTCATAGGGCGGGTAGACGAAATCCTAGGGCCGATCAACGAAGTCTACTTTTCTGTCAAAATGGATGCGGGAATGGTCGCCAACAGCTTCAAGAAGGGAGACAAAGTATACATCGCAGGCGACAAGCTTCTTCCCGTGGAGCGGTTTCTCCCAAAACCCAAACTACCTGGTATGTCTTTTCGGTTGACTTTGCCGCAAGGAGTCATACTAATTACGGAATGACTGCGACCGTACAGGCGTCACAAGTACGTGGTATTCCATTTCTCCGTTTAAATTTCATAACTGACACTCCTTACGTAGAGAGGGGCCGCGGAGGACGTGGTGGTGCAGGCGGAAGAGGTCGGGGAGCGCCAGGTGGACGAGGAGGATTCCAACGTGGAGGCGGGCGAGGGGGTCGTGGGAGTGGCAGGGGCGGCTTTGGATTTGACAGAGGAGGACGAGGTGGTGGAAGAGGCGGAGGTGGCCGCGGTCGGGGCGGGAGCTTTGGGGGTGGAAGAGGTGGCCGTGGTGGTTTTCGAGGTTCATAGCTGGTGCGGCATGAGGCCGTACTATTCCTCCTATCTTATTGCGCTCGTTTCACGGTGTGAACGATACGAGTCCGGAGGGTTTTCGTCCCACAGTGTCTGAGTTATAATCCATGTGGACATGAAGAACTACAAAGATACAGACAGGTTGGTCAATCATCATTTGCGTTCAGCTACTCACTTCACAACTTCAACGATTTGATCTCCGTGGCAACATTTCTAACTCGTTCAGATCGTTCCAATTGGACGGGGACAGACTGGCAGTACAGAAAATAAGTCACGGCATGAAAAAGGTAGGGAAGGTAGAAGCAAGACCTGTTTGAGCTCTTCAGAAATAGCGTATACTTCTCGCGAGACCTGCTCCGAATTCTCGTACGTAGTATCTGGTACTGTAAATCAGATAATGAGACGGTATGAACTGCCAACAGCAGGAATTGTTACACACCATCCTCCTTCGGACCTTCATCCTCGAGTCCATCAACATCTTCAGGGAAACTCGCATCTTCAGCTGCTCTCCGACTCTCGATGAGTTCATGCACAAGTCTCTCCACTTCTCTGGGCTTCTCGCGTCGCTTGTCTGCGAGTTCACGATCCCATTTCAAACTCTGCTCGGAGAGAGACCATATGTGCCTGTCGAATCCTTCGTCGAATGGTTCTTCTTCTATGCGCAAAAAATAAGAGTTGCTGAACACAAATTTCATCTGAATGGCTGACCCTGCTCGTCTTCATCCAGCTCCTCGTAGTTGCGTCCATTGATGCGGACGTTGGGTTTGGTCATCTCAAACGTCCTCTCCACGAACTGGGATGACCCTGAGTAATTAGGTGCAGAAAAAAAGGGAAAATTTACCCGCTGAACATACTCACGAAGCACATCTCTGTCGAGACTTGACGTGCGCGCGGCGAGCTGTTCGTCCAAGACTGTTAAGGCAGCATCGGTGAAATTGGCTTTGACTCGCTGCCAGTCTTGAAGAGTATCAACCGATATCCTTGTTATATCTTCTCGTTGTGCATCCATTTATGAGCCACAACAGAAGATGAATGTGGCTTTCAGAGACAGCGAGGAAGGAAGACGCGAAACATTGAAGTTGAACGCAGACACGATCATGTGATCTGCACTGGAAAGACTTGGACCCTGAGATAGTAAATTCACCACTATCATCTCATTTCAGTTGCTACTACACAGTATTGGTCAATGGCTACGCAAAATTACACTACAAATACACGGAGACCTCTGCATAAGGTCAAACAACTCAGCAAATACTACAAGATGTCTTATACCTGGTGCGAGAAATTATATTAGCGCAACAGAGAGCCTCGCGTCTTCCTCAGCGAGTCTGCTATGCCAAGGAACGTCTCCGCAAGTCGGACCTGTTTATTTGCTTTGAAAATGTATGCGGACGAGAATCACTGAGCGCCTTACGGTATCGAGCGCTTGCGAGTATGAAGACAGCACAGTTGCACCGGCTGGTGCGAGAGGATCTCGCGGGGCGCTGTTCTGCGCATCGTGTGCAATCTGTGCCATGCGTCGCAGATAAGACGATTGTGAGTCTTGGCCGAACGACACTGCATGGAAGGAAAGGGGTTTCCTAAGAGGCAATGAGCACACCTCGACATCGTAGAAAACGCTGAGCACGCACCCGCGGCTCACAGCAGAACGGCAAAGGTCTTGCACGATCTGATCCGCTACCTGACATTCACCATCTGAAAGAAAGATGATCACAGGGGTTCTGGCACATGTACCAGTCAATCGAACGTTCGGTTTCTGCTGCGTTGGGTCATACCTCTGAGTACTGAAGTGCTGCTCCATGACAGTCTGAGCCGACCGGAGGGCCGCCGTGAAGTTCGTTCCTCCTCCACTTCCGTATGGAAGGACAGAGTCCAGCAATTCTTGTGGGGATCGCGCAAAGTCATTCGTAAGCACATTCGAGATACTATGATCAAAAAGGATGATGCTGTAAGCATCTTGACGAGCTGCCGGTTGTAGTCCAGAGGTTATGGCTGTGTGACGAGCAGACCAGAAACCGTACAAGGCCGAATAGACTGCGCCCAGTCTGTTGTTCGATTGCCGTCGAATGGTAACTGTCACGGGTGTATTATCCAGAGGTCGCCGGTCACTGGCACTCATAGAGCCGGATCTGGAGATCAGGACTTGTCAGATTGGAAACTTGCGGATGTTGATCAGATACGTACCTGTCGACGACAAAAATCCTGCAATGTCCAGCATGTAGGAAATCAGCGAGACGGACACACAGAGTGTAGCTGGACTCACACGTGGAAGGCTTGCTGCATGACGACTGGGTTGTTGCAGGAGAAGAAGTGCCCATCATTCGACACATAGCCCAGTCCCGTAACAGGCACCCTTGGATCTCTTGCGGGATGGAACATCGGCAGCGTGCAGAATGACGGCTGATTTTGGGCATGTTCGGGTCCTGTGAAGAAGATGAGGCACATCGTCGCAGCATGTCAGTTGACTTGAACGCTACCTCCACACATTGCATCGCTGTAGGTTGAAGGTGAGACAGAGGATTTTAGTGACGACATACTACTACGACTTACCATTTGGCGAACGTCGCCTGGTCATCCCGAGGATAAGGATCTGCAGAAGAGTCGAGTTCAGTATGAATTGGCCATCTGACGGGAGCAATTACCCTTGAAGCCTGGTGTATTTTCAGAGAAATGTTTCGGCGAAGGAACAAATGCTTGAACATACCGGATCGTCTCCAATGCAGGTTATGAGTTATGTAGTCCTTAGGTCGGTTCGGATTTGGAGCCATGCGCGTCGGGATATGTTGCACTTCAGCTCCATCGCAGGGCGTTCCATCTACTGTGCGACAGTAATCGACATGAACATGTCGCCCCATAGCAAGGCAAACGAGATTGCACATCATCGGGGCGCCCTCATCGTTAGACGAGTACTTGCGTCCTCGCAGTTCGACGGCAGTACCGTCCGGGCCGTCGACAACCCAACGAGTTTGTGACATTGATCCATGGCTTGTCTCGTGTTCTTGCTGTGGATGACCTGGAGACCCGACTGCGCATGAGATGTACAATACTCAGCGACGCTGCTGAAACCACGGACCCAATGGTAACGTGCAATAGTAACCACAATTTTCGCAACTGAAGTGGGACCACTGCGTCAGATGGATAATGTCACATGATGTGTCAATGTGACGGACCGAGTTTCACAATAGTGGAATCCGTTATCATCGGCAGTGTGACTGTGAGGCCCTGGATGACTGATCTTACCAGGTGGAATAGGTTTGACGCATTTCAGCCGCTTTGCGACTGTTGACTGAAGGGTGAGTCACAGACAATAACGAATACGGACAGGCAGAGACCTTGCGAGTACTATGCACGACCTATTGGTTAGCCAATGTAGGTAAGCCAAAATTGAGATTACCTTAGTATACTGGAAGGTCTCGTGTCTCCCGGTGAACGTGGCCTCAATGGACTGAGGTGTTGTGTCGATTTGACAGATTCCGGGTGCTTTGCATAATGCAGTGCATGAATGCTCTTGCCTGAGAGTGGTATATCTATCAGAACAGGCAGGCTATCTTCCAAAATTCACATCGCCTACCCGCAGAGATGAATCGCTCCATGCTGCAAACCGTGAAGGTGATCTGTATTCGCGCAGAGACGTTTACAGAGTTGACACGCAACAGGGCACATTCGGGCGTCACAAACATGCTGATCGTGGTCGGTGCCACTGTGGATATACCTCATCAAGAATCTGGTGGGTCTGATCATCACTTCCCTTACCAAGGTATGCAACAGGTTCCGGGACAGGTATGTTGTGCACCATCCGCCAAAACGATACCTGAAAGATCACAAGGCTTTTTGACTTATGGTTAGGCTTGGTAATGATTAAATCATGTGCACACGTACCTCTCCGCACATGTGAACTGAAGCTGCACAAAAATGATCGTCCCCGGAGTGCCCTACAACCTGCGAAAACGTGGTACATGAATAGCAGTCACTCGACACCCGACACGAACTTTTACCTTCGTGCAGTCTTCCAAGCAGCCTCGCTTACCGGCCAGTTTGCAAGGTTCCCCACATAGATGTGCATTAACCACACAGCTTAACTTATAAGTTAGGCTTTGCAAAGCTGATAGAAAAGTACACCACTGACATGTGCTTTCCTGGATGGCCGGCACTGCCGAGACGAGCATTGAATGATAAGAGAGAAAAAGTAAGGTAGGAATCCCCGACTCACGACATAGTGCAGCCCTTCTGCTCCGCTTCATCGAGACAATAGTCACAGGAGTTGATACACTCGTGCGATGTCTGACAACTGTGAGCACCAACATGAAGACGGCTTTGAATGCATAGGAGATAACATTCAGTGCACTGCGCTCGACAGAGCTGCACGCTAGCTCTCAAGTCCACGCTGGCGCCCTCGAACGTCCTTCGCAAGTCGTCCATGTGATTAGCGTGACCCTCTTGAAAGCGAGCAAAGTTAACGGCGATCCACTCTTGAACATGTTCAATGCGCATCTCGACTAAGTTGTTGAGATACTCAGAAAGCTCGGGAACCCATAGTGCATCTTCTGTCTGTTGGCGAGTGCCTTTGTGTTCCCACTGATCGCAAAGAGATCTCAGCACGCGTTCACCATCAGCATCCTGAGATCCAGCTAAGGAGAACCGCGTAGGAGTATCTGGTTTATCTAGTACCACGTCCGTATCGAAATTCTGGACTCTGTGTAAGCCTGGTCATCGACTAACAATGAGATAGCGCTACCTTCAATGGTTCCAATTCTGGATCAACTTCCGCATATCCAGTCAATAGGGCATTCAGGAGGAGTGACTTGATAAGCTGGGCTCGATGTGCTGCCATGGTGTCTTGTTTGGACAGTCAGCGTGCAGGGAAGTGAATACGAGGACTAATCTCGACTCACGAGAGAGAGCGCCCCAGTCATTGGCCTGCGAGTGGACATACATCCATCAGCAAGGATAAAGGTTAGCAAATAGATCGTCACGGACCTTCAACTTTGCCATGAGTGTCTTCAGAATGTTCAAAAATTCTCCTGCGCTATGGTGGGTTATGGCTTGCTGATCCAGACGCTTCTTCAGCACAGGAAACAGTTTGTAAAACTCCTTGGACTCAATGACTGGCCTGAGGAGTATATTAGGAGAAATAACTGTTTCTGATTGGAACTGTATAACATACCATGGAATGATGTCAAGTTTTCCGCTATGTAGACGTGAGATGAAATTTGCATCTTGTTCTGTCTCCACCAGTCGCTGAAACTTCAGGGAGAATCTGAGGAAGAGAACATGAACGTCTTCATGTCGACTAATTCTGAGACAAAAACGTACTCTTTCGTAATCTCTCTCTTGTCAGAGTCAACTACATCCTGATAGCAAGATTTGACAACGATTTCTGAACACCGAGTAAGTACCTACCTTGATTATGATAACCAGAGTGGATTGGAATAGCATAGGGTTGGCTGATGGATCTAGTACGGTCGAACTCGACTGGAACGACTGAAAAAGGCCAGTAATGTCGCGGCTCAGTGCAAAATTGTTGCGGAACAAGACCTTAGAAGAACACTAAGAAATGATACAATACAGCGTGGCACAGTTACCATACCAGATTCGAAATTGCAGTGTTGAACAGAACTAGTAGAGTATCTTCCTGTGCAGAGCGCTCGATGCTATGCACCCCTGAAGACCCATATTAGTCAAAAAGACGCACATGAATCAGGCTAAGGCAAACCTTCGAAGTCCAAAGCGACGATCAATGTATCATCAGTCGGTGTTACCGACATCCAGACACCCTCTGTTGTTCGCATTGCTGAACCAGCAAAGGAGGTATCAACTAGATGGTTCAGTGCAAAGCTTTTGCCAACGGACTGCTCTCCCATGGACGACACAACCTTCACAGGCTATATATTCATTCAAATCAGTTGCGAAGGGTCTGCAAGGGAAAATCCAAACTTACTTTTGAAACCATATATGATTGAAAGATAGATTCATACCATCCGAACGACAAACTATCCACAATCCGTCCAACTTGAGCACCAAGGAGCGACTTCTCCAACTCTGCTGAGGATACGCCATCTTTAAGCGGTATGAAACGGTTCTCCTTTGTGATCGCGATGTGAATCGGAATCATACAAAGGAGATTTACGAGCCATTCCCCCACGCGGAAACGAGAGATCTTTTCAATCATATATTCAATGTCGCATTGAACCGCCATGGCAGTGAACGAGATGCAAGAAATGCAAATACTTCTGAGCTCGTCGCCCGTTGGCTTCCTTGTTGACCTCTCGAAAGCTTGAATCATGCTTGAAAAATGGGATGCAAACGGCTGTTGACCGCTATTAGTGACAAAGGTCAGAGACTTCGAACACCTGCTGCTAGAACCAGAGATTGTATGGCGTCTCACAGCCGGCAGCACAGGGAATCGTGTCCAGACTTCAGCGTGGCAGTCGATGAGACAGTTGTGAACGGTATTATCCGAGGACTCGTGCGTAATGCTTTTGCTTCCCTTTTCCTTGAACATGAATTCTGTGACCTTATGCGTGATATCCAGCACAACGGATTGACACTGGTGGGTTTTGATGTCAAGGGTGATGAGATGGGTGCTTCTACGATTGAAGGATGTCAATACAAGATGGTCTGCGGTTGGAAGGTCCAGAGAGCCCAACGAGATTCCTGCGGTGAAGCCAAATGTACTCCAGTGGTAAGCGACCAGCAGAGGTTTAGAATCGACTGAATAAGCTATCAGAATGCAAGAGCCATCTGGTGAAGAGTATATCATGTCCGGAACCTGCTGCAAATGCAAAACTGCTGGCCTGGATGGGGAGGTGGTCAACAAAGCTGTGCCACGCAGGGACCTGTTAAACCAACACATACCGGAATTGCAGCGTAATTAACGAGAACACGCGAGCCTGGGCGCTTGAATCGACTAACACTACCTCTTCTGCGCCACATATGAATGAGATGTGGCAGTGGGTTATTGATTGATCAGGATACCACGTCGATAAGTTGATTGCGCTGCCTAACGCTTGCAAAGCACCAAAATTTTCATCAAACACAAAGACGTGGAGCTGTGAACATTTAAATGAGGACATATTAACTTGTCTCCTGGCCTGAATATGTGTACCTTCATGGATGAGCATAGTGCAAGCATCCTCTTTGATTCGTCGTAGGTCAACATAAAGTCCTGCCCTATTTTGTCACGATGAAGCAATTTCTTGTACCTTCCACGGTTGATTGCACCATCTAGTTCCGTAACCGCTTCAAGATAAATGAACAGTTTGCCGTGACCATCTGTGATTGCCAGTAGAAGCTTCTCGTTCTCGAGCAACTGAGCATGACTGGAAATATAGTATCAATATTCAAAGGAGCCGAGATTCATATATCCCCTCACTTTATCTCATGATCAAGAGGTAGATGGAACTTATGCGCGAAGCGTTCGTGTACACTCGGTTGCGGCATGAATGATGGGTTAAGCTGCAAGTTGTGCCGATGCTCCGCAGTTAGTCGCAGGATATGAACAACATATTCCAGAGAGGACTGCTCCAGCCATTCACTACGACCACTGAGCCGGTAGAAATCTAGAAAGTGTATATGTTCTAGTTAAGATAGATGATGAAACTGCATATTTTGAATGACTGCACCTTCTCCATATCGTCGTTGTACATCAATTGAATCAATGACGTGTGTGCACCTTCAATAATCAATAAGTGATCAGGAAGGAGGTACTGCAGCAGTACAACGTACGGATCAGGGCTCGAGCGGGACTGATCTTCAATGGTGCTGACGAAATCCTTTCGTAACTTGTCGTACATCTGTTCTCTGCGGCTATAAGCCTCACGGTGGACTTGTTTCATGCAAAAATCCTGCTGGGTGTGACGGACCCCATGAAAGAGCTTCTCAACTATTTGTGGTATAGCAGCTTCATAGTAGCTCTGTGCCAACTGTTTAGCTTCAAGAAAGGCAGGCCGTAGCATATCATCGTCGATAACAAGGCCAGTCAAGAAATCGGAATCTCTAGTACTGCTCGCAATCTCCCGAGCATGTTGGATGTATTTCGTGGAGAGCGACTTTCGATAATCTTTGTCTGTCCAAAAATTGCGCACGACAACTTGAGGTAGCCATTTCGCTGGAGATCTCCATGTCGACTCATTGGATGGTACGTGGTCTTGTTTTATCAGTTCATCCAGCATAGTACGAGCGCCTGGAGAGATGTTGCCTGCTTCCACGACAAGACGGAAGAGTTCCTGGCGCTGGGCGCGGCTCATGTCAACCTGTTCTTGCAGCACCAGAAACATGATGAGATGCTCCTTTTTGCTCCGAAAGTCTCGAGACTTGATCTGTGTGCCGGCCTCGCGAATGGCCTTCTGCACAACATCGTCAATCTGAGGATACAGTGCGACGAGGTCTGCATATTGGGCAAGTCCTGCTTACAAGCTAAGGAGACTGATTCTGACAACATGTGACTCTGTCAACGTACCATTCGAATGCTCTTCTGTCCCTGGAGTAGCATCTTGATCGATATTGAGGGTTCTGTAAGGTGCATGATATCAGCTTACATCTTGAATCATTGTAGCCTGGGAGACGTACGGATACATGTCTTGCAAGGAGTGGGAGACCACGTAATGCAACGTATACTTCAGCTGTTCCGCATCACTCTCAAATCTCTCGTTTATAGCAGCCGCTTGCTGCTTAACTTCCGCATCCATCTCCCGACGAGCACGTTCTCTGCACTGAGACCAATTGTGACTCTCCTGCGGGAAACGCCTTCTGAGACCGCCATCTTGTAACATTTCTATTGCACTGTCGCCCAGCTGAGGGTTGAGACAAATTGTACCCGATGCACTGAAGAACATCGTCAAAGGATACCATAGTGTCAGTGAATGTAACCATACAGAATCTTAGACAACGCTAATCGGCTGAGTGTTGGGTGAATGGTGTCACTCCGTCTGCAAGGTGGTATGTAATTGCAAGTCATAAAGCCCTGCATTACCTCACCAAGGAGTAACCTAGGCATATACTGAACATCAGTGGACGCATGTTCAATATGCTTATCTGCCACACAAATTTGGCCACAAGTCATCTGACAAGACAATCAGCAGCCAGAATATGACAAGGCTTGAAGGCTTACCCGAAAGCCTGGTCGTATTGAAACATTTTCTTCTTGTTCATTTGTCTTTGCAACCTCGAAGGTGAACAGTCTGTCTGACTCCTCATCGTCACCATCTACTGTCATACTCTCCTCCTCTTCGTCAACCCATACCAAAGCCTCAGAATGCTGTTGCGAAATCAGTGCAAATATCTGATCGCATATCTTTGTCAAGTATCTATAAATGCAACTTAAGGACAGACTCGAAATCATGTTGACGCGGCTCACCTCATGAACGTGATCCGGTTGCGCCTCGTTGAGGTAACAGCGGAATCATCCCATGTTGTTTCTTGAGGCCAATACACAACGAATAATTGCCCATGAATATTACCTGTCCTCAGAGGCCTGAGAATGTACAGCCCTGAACGTAAGAATGGCTTCGAGTTATCGGGAGATTCCTTCACGGCAAGTAATAGTGATGCACTAATCAGGTTGTTCAGACAGGATACAGTCATAAGCCAATGAATCTCCTTACATGCGATCATCCACCAAATTGATAGCCTGCATGAACCTAACAATTTCTGCCTTGCTTCCGTAGAGGCCAACCGGCCTTACATCCAGTCCATCGAGAGCTTTGTAGTCTACCTTCGTCAGAGATGAATATGCCCCCGGACATAGAGTATTGATGAATTCTTGAAGCGAATCTTGAGCAATGATAACCTTATCGACTGATCATGAGGAGCATCATCAGTCGCCATAGATACGAAAGCTATTTGAGGTTACACTCACCAAAACCGCCACTTCCTTGCTCACTGATCAGATCTAAGATACGATACATTCCATCAATGGAGTGCGAGAGGTCTAGATCTACAACCGCAGGTGTCTTGAATATAGAAGTACTGCGGTTGTCTCGGCCAATGTCTCTGGTGAAAACAACAGTGTGTGCTGGACCTTGAGATACTGCATTCCTCGCTTCAAGATCTATATCAACGTCGATCTGTGCGTCGAAGAACTAAGACAACCAGCGCAAATTACAATGGAATGTATTGCGGAGGATTTTCAAACACGGACCAGATCGTCTGACGAACTTCCAAGCCTTGACGATGTTTCCTGCGCCTTGTCAGATGGTAAGGTGAGATACATATCGTCGAAAGAATCCCTATCGTCGTCGTCACTATCCATGGATATTTCGACCATGACATCAGGAGTTGACTGCGACTTTACATTAGGCACGGGGTGAAAGATAGCACGATAAACTTACTTTGAGGCCTGCGTCTAAGTTATAAGTACATTCACATTGTCACCAAATTGATACTTCAGAACAACCACAATTCTTGCTTACCGTCAACAGCCATAGGTGTATCAGAATTCTTGCTATCTGTATGCAATTTCAACAACGAACGATGCCACAAAAAAGTGCAACGAGAAACATCACACCTTCAGGAGCTTGTATTCTGCGTCCTTTGTCTTCAGATGCCCCATCGCTGAACACATTCGGTGGCACGAACGACTCTCTCATGTCTGTGAGTTGCAGTCAGGGACAAAGGAGGTGGTAGTGGACTTTATCGTGGTTCGAAGTAAGGGGCAACCGGTACTAGCGCCCAAGTATCGTTGTCGTATCGATGGCAGCCCAGCTTCTCGTTCGGGCCAGAAGCTGAGGTGTGCAAAAGATCCGAGATAGCCACTGCTGAAGCAAGGGTGAACATCCACGTTACGAAAATCAGCGTCTCTTAAGATTATGGACTAGTCGGGGTCAAGCCTCAGATGATTTCGCTTGACCGCGACGCGTCACCCGACGCGTCGCGGTGAAGCAGCGGGCACGACCACGACAAGGCCTTGCGAATATGCATTCCTTCTCAGTACACTACTACTGTACAACAAGATCTTGGGGGTACACCAAGGACCGCAGTCTTCGATGACAATGTTCGGACTTACTCGGGTCGAGTAAAGATCATGGTGGCACATCGCGATCAGGAACGTGCTCGAATAACCGGCACTGCTGATAATGGGTAGTAATGGCAGCTTGAACATCCCTCCTCAAGGCAGACTGGATGATGCATCCTCCGCATAGGTAGCAGAAGTGAGTGTTGCATCCCGGAGACATGCACTGCGACCGTCCGACACGCGTCAGCAGTCAGTTTAACAACGTAGAATCCGCGGGAGCTCACAGTCATATGGTTGCAACCGGCCACCTTCTGGATTGGTGTTTTGCAGCCTTCGCAGTGTCAGTGCACCAATCAATTCCACCGAAAGGTGGTGCAAACTCACCTGGGCAATACTTCCAACCTCTCCTCTTCATCAGATCGTCCAACTCCGAGGACCCGTCGCAAGAGTGTTGGGGACCACCGATGGTGATTGACTGTTGGCAGGCTTTACACCATATGTAGTTACAATTCGGCAACGGACACGCCAACGTCTTGGTGTCCTCGAGGTCTTGCTTATCCACAAATGCTGATCCTTGACATCTACACATCGAAGACAATGCTTAGCACGGACTCGACTACAACACTCCACTGATTCACTTACTTGCGGCAATGTAAAAACACGCCAAACCGAGACATCTCCATTTCTACCCATGTCTCATATTGAGCTTCCGTGATACCGATTTGCTGGAGAAGAGTCTGTGTGACGACTGATCAACATTCCACATCTGTCAGTATCACCGGCTCTCAACAGAAGGAAGAAGAGCTCACCGCAAGGGTTGCCGTTATCTCTCTCTACCATGCAAATTGGACAAAAGACGGGATAACGATGTTCATTAATCTTGGCACTGACGTAGCTACGGATGCACTCCCGGCAAAAACTGTGACCACACGGATCTAATCGACATACCGAATCTTCAGGTTGTTCGTCAAAGCACACACCACATTTGAAGCTGCGTGGAGCAATCTTCGCCAGTTCAGAGAGCTGAAGTCGCAACAAGTAATCCTCTTCATCGAATCGACGCTGTTGTTCAGCGGCAGTTTCCGCGTCAGTGCAGTCTAGGCCTGTCGAACGGCATTCCATCTGGCGCGCGACGGTATGACGGTTGGGGTCTCCACCCAAGCCATACTGGGTAGCACCTCTCTGGGAGTGAGGATGGGAAGGAGAGGTCCAGGCGCTGTGAGAAGGATCACCGCCACCTGAGGTAGATGATGGAGGCCAGGCAGTCGCTTGATCGGCCCAAGAGGAGGGTGAACGTCCATATCCGTCACGATAACTCCAGTTAGAAGACGACAACCTCTGTCGTTCCTTCACATGTTCATCTGCCATAATCTCCATCTCCGTCAATAGCCGTTTGTTCTCGGCCGCTAGTTCAGACTGCTGAGATTTGAGATCGTTGACCTCCGCACGCAGAGCCAGTAGTGTTAAGCTTGTTTCAATTACTGTTTGCGTGAGATCAGCGGAGGTCGAGAGCAACCCCCTCGACACAAAAATGTGGCCAGAGCAATTTGCAAGTAACTGCGCCTGCCACTGCAAGTCGCCGTGCGATAACAGATGACTGTCCACTGGAAGGATGTCGCTGAGAATCACTGCTGTGTCACGAATTGATGAGCTCAAGGTGAACCCTGCACCCTCAGGGTGACTAGGTCTGCAGTGGGAGTCATAGACAATGAATACCGTTTGAGGGCCAACTGAAAGCTTCAAACAGGCGATAATCTCGGGAGGGCGTGTTATCACAGCGACGCAGGACACTGAGATAGCCTTCATATCTCTGGAGAATGGTTAGAATACCAATGCTATCATGAGGGTGAGACTGACTTCAGTAGAGATGCGAACTGTTTGACGCCGGGGCGAAAGTACTTGGTGGAAACTAACTTCAAACTTTTTTCGAACAAAGGTATCTGGGAGATATCTTCGACCTCCAGATGCGATGTGCTCGACCATGCCGCACAGATTGCTGTGATGTCCTACGGATGTGATTATGTCGCATCGAAGAACACGATAATTGTAGAGAGCTCACGAGCGCTGTGGCCTTGTCGAGGATTGCCTTGAGGAGCTCTTCTCCGAACAAACTGTCTTCCTTGGCAAAACCGATTCTGGCGAAGTTGAGACAAGCTAATCCACAGGAGGATGCGCCCAATCCACCGTACTGGCTTGAACCGGGATACGAAACGACATGCTTGGCGCCCTTCAACACTCCCCGAATCACATCTTCCACTTGTCTTATATCCATCTGCGCAATCGAAACCGTGCTGGTACCAGTGGAGGATCTTTCGCACTGCGACAAAATTGGAGAGAATAACGATTGGACAGGGTCGATGGATAGGGTCGATGGATATAGATGAGAGGACTCGAACGTGACAAGGTCCCTTCGAGTCCTGCGACTCGTGACAGTCTTGACGGACGGGCAAGTGTGACAGTGTGACAGTTCACTCTTGACCCTCTACCGCCATCATCCCTCTTCAAAAACATCAATAACGATTCTTTTTGTTCCTCTTGCAACTCTCCTCTCATTCCCCTTACTCTCCTTACCTTACTTTTTCGTTGTTCACCCTCTCCCTCGCGATGCCTCAAACGCGTGCCGCGGCTCGTCAACAACAAGCCCCTATTTCAAGCCCCGCCCCTATCGAGGGCTCTGCACAGGAGCGCTCCTCCTCTGCCCCCGCCCCCTCCCCTTTTCGCATCAAGATTCTTGCCCGTCGTGCCCGCACCCCGCCGCCCGCTTCTTCTCCACTCCCGGCTGTTCCGCCGCGGCCCCGGAAGCGCGTGCGTCGCGAGCCCGTCGCTGAACCACCTCTCCCCGAGGCCTTGTCCCCGTTCGCGGCCTTCAATAGTGATGAGGACATCCCCTGGATGACGCAGGCTTCCGCAAATGCCAGCTCTCCCACGCGCCCTACCCTTTCCCACCGTTCTCGCGAATCCTCTCCCATACAGGCCAACAACGCTCTGTCCACCCCCTCTACCGTTCGCTCATCTCGCGCTGCGGTTCGCGCTCTCCTTTCCAACGCGTTCGCTGACGTTCAGATGCTCTACTGGCAACGTGCTGACGAACTCAACCAGCTGTTCCTCTCACGTTCTGAAATACCCACGGCTAGTGCGACTGCCCATACTTCCAACGTTGCACTGCCCATCTCAGGTTAGTATCTTTCTACTGAACTTCGCATCAGACTTCGCCTCCACGGCTGTCTGCTTTGTTTCTGTCACTTCGGGTTGTCGCAACGCGCACCTCTCCTCTGTATCAAACGCATATTGCAGCGCATATGCTTCTTTTTCGGGCTGTCGCAACGCGCACCCCTCCTTTCTTTCATAATCATGTCGCAGCGCGCATGATTGTCCTCCGAGTTGTCGCAACGCGCACTCCCCTTCTTTCACCCACGTCGCAACACGCGTGCTCGTGCTTCAGGTCGTCGCAGCGCGCACCCCTCCTTTTTTCTATACGTGTTGCGGTGCATACGTCCACCCGCCATGCTGTTCATTTGTTCTACCCTGCCCGTTTTCATTATCTTCTAGCCGTCACATCGTGTTGGCTTGTACTTTCTGCAATTCCGGCTCATGTGCGAGACTCGCTCGTTCTTGTCTCGCAGTCAGAGTTCATGTTGCCAATGTTGCACTGTGTACTCTCTCACTGCTGTAATAGCCCATCTCATGGTGCTCACCTGCCTTTTTCCCGCAGCCACTCGCACTTTCGTGTCGCCTTCACCTTTACTCGTGTTTCTACGCATCTCTTTAGTTGATCCTTCCATTGCGTACATTGATGATCCAATGAGTTATGCCACCCTTGACGTGGCCGAGTTTGTCGCTATTTTGTAATCACGTCACTGTCATATTGTTCAATTGGGAATGATTGTCCTTATTAATTATCGTCTCTGCAGCACGTGTTCATATCTCGGATTCATCGCCAGAAGGTCTTGTGCTTGCAACTTCGCGGCATGATTTCCCTTCGCAATCTGTCCAACTCGCTGGTAACATGTTACCCGACCTTCCAGCCGTTGTCACTTGCATGGAAAAAGGATGGAAACAGTACATTCCTCTCTCATTGCTGACCAATCAGGCGTGTAAAACGGCGGCTTTACGTGCCTCCAAAGAGCATCTTAAGCTTGACAACGGGTCTGTCTCCATTGCGCAGGCACCACTTGACGCTCGCGGTGAAAAGCACCTGACCACCACCGACTTCATGGAAGCCTCTGGACGTTTCCTCAACATAATCTCCGTACACTATCCTGACGTCAGTGGTCGTGCACTCATCCATGACCAGTTTGAAAAACATTTCCACATGATTGTCCGTCGTGTCGATTTCGGACAGTATCCCGGCCTGTATGTTGAGTATGATATTCAAATTCGCCGTCTTCACGCTAGCGGTCGGCGTTTCCGTCCTGCTGACTGGCAACATGAGATATTCACGAATATCTGTGACGAGTTTCTACTTGGGTCGGCCTCCGGCCGGTTCACATCTGCAGGGTACCCTGTAGAGAATGCTCCCCCTGCATTCTTGTCTGTCCAGCCACGCTCGAGTGTGAACTCTCGACCTCCACAACGGACGTCCTTTCGTGCAGACCCTAAGCCCAATGATGCATACAATCTATCGACACTCCTTGCCACCATTCGGTGCTTCCTCTGTGGAGCTACTACGCACGTCGGGCGCAACTGCAAACACAATGTGCTCCCATTCCTCGTACGGCACACTGATGGGAAGATCACCACCCCGACAGGAGAAACCATCTGTTTCAACTACAATTCCAAAGGGTGCTCCGAGTCTAACTGTCATCGTGTCCACGTCTGCTCCCTGTGCGGCAAACCCGGTCATGGGGCCAATGCTTGCACAAAAGCTTGATTTCTGTCCCATCGTCACGCCTTTACGCTGGTCGGTTTGGCGTGACGAGCTCGAGGCTGCCGGCTGCCTTGACTCCTTTCTTGACATTCCCTCAGGTATTCGCGATGGTTTCCACATTGGCGTTAACTCTCTTCCGTCCTCCACATATATTCCGCGCAACCATTCCTCCGCTTCCGATCATCCTGAAGTAATTCTTGACTACATTGCCACCGAACTCCTTGCCCGGCGATACTTTGGCCCTTTCCATCCCTCGCGTCTCGAACAGCTTATTGGCCCCTTTTGGTCTTCACCTCTTGGTACGGTTCCGAAGGCGAACAGCCCTGGCGTATTTCGCATTATTCAAGATTTTTCCTATCCTCGTCACAACCCCGCGATGCCTTCCGTCAATTCCGATATTGACAGCGATGATTTCCAATGTGAATGGGGAACTTTTGCGGCATGTGTTCTTCTCATTCTCCGTGCTCCGCCAGGTACCCAAGCATCTGTCAATGATGTCGAGAAAGCATATCGTTGTGTCCCCATCGCTCCACAGCACCAACCTCTTGTCGTTATCATGTGGAAGGGTCTCATTTACATGGACCACTGTGCTGCATTTGGTACTTCCAGTGCCCCTGGGATATTTGGCCGTATTGCCGATGCTGCTGTTCGCATTTTTCGTCACCATGGTGTTCAAGATGTAATCAAGTGGGTCGATGATTTTGTCTTCTTCCGCTACCCATCAGGAACGGCCGTCGACGGGTCTCACCTATATAGCTATGATGAGTCTCTCTTCTTCTCCGTTGCCGAACGTCTTGGATGGCCATGGTCTATGTCAAAACACATGCCATTTGCTGACTGTTTCGAGTACAACGGCTTCCGCTGGAGCATCTCGATGCGCACAGTCGAAATTCCGCTCAGAAAAAAGGAGAAGTACTTGTCTCGCCTTCAGCCCTGGACTGCTGGCTGCAAAGTCACCCGCAAAGACTGTGATCGTCTTGTGGGTACGCTCAATCACTGCTGTCTCGCGTTACCCGCAGGACGCTCTCGACTACCTTCCTTGTACCGTCTGTCTGCCTCCTTTGCCCACACATCGTCCGAGTATGTGCGTCGCTCGGTCTCATCTGCAGTACTCGACGACCTGCGATGGTGGCATGACCAGCTCTCCTTATCATTCTGCGGGTCCTCTCTCGTGATTCCACCTCGTGACAACAGTCGTACGATTTTTGTAGATGCTTCCTCGTCCTGGGGCATTGGGCTCGTTGTGAACGGTCGCTGGCTCGCATGGCAACTGGTTCCGGGCTGGAAAGACGATGGACGTGAAATCGGTTGGGCGGAAATGGTTGCTGTTGAGCTCGCCGTGCGCTTCCTCATACACGATGATGTCTGCGACTCCCGCATTACCATTCACTCAGACAACAAAGGTGTTGTAGGAGCCTTGGATGCTGGACGGTCACGCGGAGTGCAGCAAAATCGGATCCTGCAACACATCGTATCTATGTTCGCTTCTCATGGCATCTGGGTTGACATGGAATGGGTACCTACCAAAGATAACCCTGCTGATGGACCTTCTCGTGGTCAGCTACCTCCTGATACATACAAACTCTCGTGTCCGTTTACCTTACCGCGCCACCTATTACCTTATGTCTCCCCAGTTTAATCAGTGTATGTAAATGTCTGCCACACGCTCTGTATTGATTTGCAGCTCTAGTTTCAATTGAAATCTCAGCCATGTTCACAATTGCATCCTCCGCTGATCCTCCGCATGCACTCATCCTGCACAATGGTCTCCACCGACCTCAGTGCATCTCTCGACCATTTCTTCGACTTCATCCGCAAACACCCCACCGAGCGGTACCCTTCCAGACATCTTCGTTCTACACCTCTCTGCCGGTTCTCTCCATACCCCAAGCCTCGTAGCACTCACAATGCTCATGGCCCTACCAGACTGGTACTGTCAGCCGCGCAAATCCACCCGGGCGCGACTCTGATGTCCTCTGCCGCCGATGCGAAACTCCTGCATGTCCTAGATGCATCTCTTGCGGACTCCACCACAAAGAACTATCGCTCCTCTCTTAATTCCTTCTTCCGATTCTGTGACGCAGAACGTGTCCCGCCTCTGTTCCGCCTACCCGCCAGCGAACACTTGCTGTGTTGTTTTGCGGCTTCTAAGGCTGGTTTGCGCCCCCGTAACACTGTTCAAAACTATATCTCCGCCGTCCGTGCTTGGCACATCATCCAAGGTGTCAACTGGAATGGTGGCCTACGCCTCTCCTACGTGCTCCGTGGGGTTGAGAATCTAGCACCCGATCGTAAACCCCCACGTCCCCCAGTTACTCGTGTGATGCTTGAGCTCCTCCACGAAAATCTCGACACCTCGATTCCTCTCAATGCTTGCATCGTCGCTGCTGCAAACACCGCTTTCTGGACTCAATCGCGACTCGGAGAAATACTCTCACCCGCTATGCACTCTTACGATCCGCGGAAAATCCCATCACGCCAGCACCTATCCTCTCCGTCCACTGAGCATGGTGCATGCACTCTGCACTACCCCTGGACGAAAACGAAGAAGTATGCCGGTGACAAGTCGACGGTCACGCGCCAACTAGGTTCCTCCGATCCAATCGCCTCACTACAACACCACCTGCTTGTTAATGACGCCCCAGTCCATTTCCCCCTTTTCACCTACCATGACCGTTCGGGTTCATTCGTATGTCTCACTCGAAAACTTCTCCTCCGGGTATGCAACACTATCTGGAAGCAACGCGGCATTGCGCACACCACGGGACACTCCTTCCGCATTGGTGGGACAACTGAACTTCTAATGAAGGGAGTGGACCCAGCCGTAGTAAAGGTGATGGGCCGCTGGTCCTCCGACGCTTTTCTGCGCTACTGGCGTAATCTCGAGATCATCGTTCCCCTCCACGCGCAACTTCTTGCACCGCGTGTACAGCCCTTCCTACCTTCGACTTTAAAGTCACGATCCCGAAAACATGTAACTTTCAAAGTGGTTTGACAACGAAACTACATTTTGTATTATATTACACCCTTCTACTGCTACATATCTGCTGCATGCTCGGCTTCATCTCCTGGGGGTTTGCCAAGTTCTCCGCTCGTCAGAGCCTTCGTCTCGCATTGGGCGATCCTCGCGCTCACCCTCGGCACACCCCAGGCCCCCGAACACCACCACAGAGGTGCACGGGAGCGGGCATACTGCCTGGCCTCACCCACCACTAGCACTTAGCTACTAGCAGAGCCCGTACATCCTCAGTTAGTCCGGAAGACTCAGGCACGAGTTGAGAGGACTCGAACGTGACAAGGTCCCTTCGAGTCCTGCGACTCGTGACAGTCTTGACGGACGGGCAAGTGTGACAGTGTGACAGTTCACTCTTGACCCTCTACCGCCATCATTCCTCTTCAAAAACATCAATAACGATTCTTTTTGCCCACCCACCCACTACCTCACACATTCTCTTACATAGTAGCTTCGTGCGTGCCGCGGGCGATCCTCGCGCTCACCCTCGGCACACCCCAGGCCCCCGAACACCACCACAGAGGTGCACGGGAGCGGGCATACTGCCTGGCCTCACCCACCACTAGCACTTAGCTACTAGCAGAGCCCGTACATCCTCAGTTAGTCCGGAAGACTCAGGCACGAGTCGCGGGTCGCGGCAGGCTTCTTTATCGATGACTGGTTCCGAATGGACGTCACGTTTGATGTTTCTTGGTCTTATTCTTGCGAATGGAGCTTGTTCATCATATGCATATAATCTGTCCTTTGCAAGTCTGGGAGGGAATCTGGCATGACCAACCGAGTTGTTCACAGCCCCCTGGTTTGCCAAATCAGGAAAGTCTCCAAGAAACATGCAGCGCGGCTGATGGCGAGATGAAAGCTCGTACCACTGCGCACTACAGTGCTAGTACTATCTATGGCTATTGCGCACGATCTCAAGCTAGTGCTTAGCGCTCAAGCCCCAATGACAGTAATAATATTACTAGCTGCGATCGCAGGTGCATCCACCGGACTCGGAATTACTTATATACTAGTACTAGTACTATCTCCTCGTTTACAGGCTCATTGCTATGTAGTCCAGCCTCGTCTGTCCACCCAGGGAGGATTAGTGCCCAATTGGGTACTGGAGCGGAGGATTGGTCGCGAACCGTGCCGAGCAGCGGGTGCCGCTGCAAAGCCTCTCCCAACCACTACCTCTTGGCCTTAGGGGCGACCTACAAGGAGCCCACGGTGCGCGAGGTGATTTCAGACCGGCCCCAAAAGAGGCGGCTGTGCACTCGGCTCGTGCGTATTCCAGTAGGAAAGAAGAGGGAGCCTCCTTTCTTCTCAACTAGTATGTGCAGGGTAGGGCCAGCCGTTAAGGCCCCTGATGAGGCCCCTTGGCAAGGGCCGAAACCCTGGTCTCCCTGTACTCATTTTTCCTCGCCACGCGCAGAAAGACCAGAGCCCTATCCTCGGAGACAGGCTCTGGATCTTTCATCGGGTTTTGACGCTTGGCTGGACGTGGTGGCCAGGATCGTTCCTCACCTGGCAACGTCACTAATACTGTGAATGATGTAGCGGTCCTGTACAACTAAGAGATTCGATGACGACTTGTAATCTCAACATTCAACACTAGTCAATATCCATATAATGATCGACCTCAGGCTCGATCAATTGGCACTGACTATAGTGTGCGGTAACAGCATCTTCAACGTCCCTCCGCAAAGGAGAACGTATAATGCTCTCCCCGCACAAGTAGCAGAAATGTGTATTGCATCCCGGGGTCATGCACTGCAAGTACAAGTAGATGGGATAATCAGCTTGAGGCGACAAACAAACAATTTTGACCCAGACTCACAGTGATATGATTGCAACCGTTTACTTTCTCGATCAGTGTGTTGCAGCCTTGCCATTGTGATTGAGGCGCAACTGAAACATAGAGTAGAGCAAACTTACCAGGACAACGTTTCCAGCCTTCCTTTTGCATCAAACCAATGAACTCAGAGGAGCCATCGCAGGAGTGCCGGGGACCATTCAAGTCGATCGCTTGCTGGCAAAATTTGCACCATACGTGGTTACAACCATTAAACGGACAGGGAACTATATCAATATTGTCAATGTCTGGCTTGAACACAGACGCTGAGTTTTGACACCTGAACGACCATCGTATTAGCAGGGTACCTGACCACCGGGTGAAGCCACCTACTTAGGGCGCGCTAGGAACATGGAAATTTGAGCCAAGCCCATCTCTGTCCACGTGCGATATTGAGCTTCGGTTATGCCGATTTGCTGTAGAAGGCTATCACTAACGACTAGGGAGAATCTCGCCGGGCTGAGTACAATATTGACAGTTCCAGGAGAGAAACGAGCCCACCGCCATATTCGCCCTTCCCTTCCTCCGTCATGCACATGGGACACAGTATAGCGTACCGACGCTCGTCAATCTTTACGCTGACGTGCTTGCGGATACACTCGCGGCAGAAGCTGTGACCACACGGAGCAAGTCGAGCCACGGAACCTTCAGGTTTTTCCTCAAGACACACTGTGCAGGAGAAGTTGCGCCGCACGTTATTTACGGGCTTCTCATCTTGCCCTCGTAGGTGCCGATCCTCCTCGTCAAACTGACGCTGTATCTCAGCAGCAAATTCAGCATCGCTGTACCCCCGGAGATCCGCCTCCTTCCCTAATATGCGGTCATGCGTATTGTGATCTGCACCGGGCATGCCGACACCTAAGTGGGAATGGTCAGCTAAGAAAGATGGACTCCATCTCATTTGGGGGAGAAAGTTGGATGGTGTCTTGCAATGCGAAGGGTATTGTGAAGGACTAGCAGACGCACCATCAGCCTGGCTCGACGATCGTCGTTCGAACGCGTCATGAGAGCTCTTGCGAGCAGATAACCATTCTCTCCGCTCCTTTTCATGCACCTTCCGCATGATTTCCATTTCCATCGCTAGTCGTTCGTTCTCGATGCGCAACTCCAATATGGCCAGACTTGATTCCATCACAGTGTGCATCAAGTCAGTCGTGCTGGAGAGCCGGCCCCTCGATTCAAAAATATTGGCGGTGCAATTCACAGGCAATTGAGCGTCCAGCCTTGTGTGATTATACTTGATTATCCATGGCTACCAGTGCAACGAGAGTCGTTGCCGTATCGCCCGGAGACGTGCTCAAAGTGAACCCTGAGCCATCAAGATGAGCGGGCCTGTTATGAGAATCATAGATAACATATATCGTGCGGGTGAGAACTGTGAGCTTCAGGCATGCAATGGTTTCCGGAGGGCGCGTGATGACAGCGACGCAAGACGTAGGAATAGCCTTGAGCTTCCTGGATATTCGTTAGAACACTAATACTACCCAGAGGTGAGAGACTGACTGCAGTAGTAATCCAAATTGCTGGATCGTCAGACGAAAGCAACGGGTGGAAACTAACCTCAAGCTCTTCGAAAACAGAGGGATCTGGGACATCCGTCCAATCTCCACGGGGAAATCACTGGACCATGCGCCACAAATTGCGATAATGCACTTCAGGGTACCCTTCCGACCTAGCTCTTAGCTTCAACATAATCTATATTGTGTAGTGGCTAAGAGCCTCTCAGGTGTCAGACTGACCATGGTACTAATACATGTCCCAGGGCATTATATGGGATTACCCAGGGCAAAGGCAGGGCAAAGGCTGGTCCAATGGCACAATTATCATATGGGATGTCCTATAGTACTAGGGCATTGATATTTATATCCCAGTATTACTGGTTGTCCCATGGTGCCAGGGGTACATAGGGATGTCCCACTATTAGTAAAACATGTATTTTCAGGCTATTGTATGGTAGTTTTTTTATACTTTGTTCCACTATCATATTATCTAAGCCTTAATTATGAAAACAGTGACTATAGTGATATAAACAAGCACTTTATTTGCATATTATATAAGGTGGGATCTCCCATTTTAAGGACATCCTAAGATGTTATTTTAAGATTCACAGATATTTAGTCTCTTCTTTAGCCTGAAGTTTCTATTTAACTACTATAATTATCTAGAGATTTATACTAACAGTTGAATTACTAAGGTTTAAGAGTGACAGGTCCTTACAAGGGATATCCCATCACATAAAGGGACATCCCATAATACAAAGGTGTCATTCAGTGAATGCATTTCTGAGTGTGACTTGACTGAAGTCTTAGGTCAAATGCCTTTCTTTTTTCATTCAAATACAGTATATGATAGGAGACATGACAAGAATATATCTCCTTTGCTAGTATATTAGTAGACTGAGTAGTTTTATTTCTTGAGACACTTGGTGAAAGTTGTAGTATAGCTATGATACATACTATGTGCCAAAGATTATATCATGCACTTATTTACAGTATTCTAGTCACTGTTTTTATAATTAGAGCTTATACAATATGATTGTAGAACAAAGTATAAAAAAACTACCATACAATAGCCTGAAAATACATGTTTTACTAATAGTGGGACATCCCTATGTACCCCTGGCACCATGGGACAACCAGTAATACTGGGATATAAATATCAATGCCCTAGTACTATAGGACATCCCATATGATAATTGTGCTATTGGACCAGCCTTTGCCCTGCCTTTGCCCTGGGTAATCCCATATAATGCCCTGGGACATGTATTAGTACCATGGTCAGTCTGACACCTGAGAGGCTCTTAGCCACTACACAATATAGATTATGTTGAAGCTAAGAGCTAGGTCGGAAGGGTACCCTGAAGTGGATAATGTCCTATCAAGGTGATCGCTTTCATAGAGGAAACACGGGTGCAAGAAAGCGCTCACTAGGGCAGTGCTTCTGTCGAGGATCGCTTCGAGAAGCTCTTCTCCACTAAGATCTCCCTCCTTCTCAAAGGCAATCCTCGCGAAGTTGAGACAAGCTAAACCACAGAAGGAGGTACTAGATCCCTTATATTGGCTTGTCCCGCGGTACGAAACGACGCCAGCCGCATTGGGTTTCGTCAGAACTTCTCGTATCGCGTCTTCTGCAAGAAGCAGCTCGGAATCCTTTTGCGCAGTTGACATTGCACTTGGTACAGCTCCTTACAGAGCTGCAATCTGACAATGCTCTTGTCAACAGCCAAACGCGAGGATGAAGATGGTGCCAACTGTGAAGGCGTATCTTGCAGGTGGCTGTGGGCACATGTGTATCGATAGACGCTCTCGTTTGTTTGGCCGGGGAGATATCGATGTGATGATCAGTACCCTGTGCTTTCTCATCTTGAGGTCATGCCTGCGAGGGAATCTGCCGCCCGCATTGATAGCTGGTCTAGCGTGTGCGTGTGAACGTTGAACGCTTGTGCGACTGAGAGTAGCCTGGCAGGTCAGAGTCTCATTGAACATGAGCAAAAGAACGAGCAAAAAACTGCGGCAGAGCGGAAACGGAGAACAGGTCATAAGGCTACAGATGCGCGTCGTGTCCCTTCTAAGTTATATCACAGATCTACGAATTATCGTCAAGATCACGAACCTTAAACAATTCGGCCTGCGAGCGGCACAGCACCACCGCACGAACATGGGGTCTCAGAGAAGGTGTTTAGGCAATACTTTCCGAATTCGACATCGAGGATTTTCATCAAGACAATTCCGAAAAGTTATGAGCAAGTCCCACTGACAGAGCTCACACGTCTCAGGAGCACCACGGTATGTCCCCGCGTATACGAAGTAGACGTTCTATCCTGAAACGCAAAGATTAAATACAATGTTTGATAGCGTGCTTGACGCACAGGTTCCGTATGAATAATAACTGTGACAATACATCATATTCTGTAGCGTCCAGCAGAATAATCCCTACAACTTGGATTAACCTACACTTTCAGCTTTCCCACTTTGTCTATAGAATGTTTTCAGGATGTAGTCAAAAAGCGAGCTGCACGACTTACTTCCGGATGCGCTTTGAACGTCTCGTAAGCTTCGCGATTGAACAAACTTGCTTCAGTTTCGTTCTCTGCATTGGGACCATGTGAATTTGAACCGCCTTGTCATAAGGAAATGCATGAGAAACCTGGTCTCACCGAAGCCACATTCTGTAAGAGTTTTCGACTCGTCTGTCAAAATCCACTCATCGTGGTCAAGATTGATTATTAAATTTGTGGTCTACTGCCGGAGTATAAGAGAATAAAGCAAAGGGGACGGTAATGACGGACCTTAGCGCCATGTGCTTTCGCGTAGACTTTGATAGTGTCTGGTAGCACGAAGAAATGAGTCGTGTACCTATAATCCTCAATATTTGTGCTTACCGAGAACGAGGGTCCGATACGCCTTCCAACCAGGCTCTCTCTGTACAGCTACGACGCGCATAGCTCACAGCCAGAAGTAGAGCGAAAGAATGCCACAACATGGGTACCTTGACGCGCAATCTCCTTCAATTGACCGACGGTCGTCGTGTCGAGATTGATATTGTGCAGCACGAGACTGCGCTCGGTGCGATACTCAAAGGACTTTATGATGCGAAGAGTGAGGGTTGCGGATGTACTGGGGAGAGCAAGGTTTGTGAGAACGTCTGAGATTTCATCCGACATCTGTGCGAGAGGAGAGAGAAGAGTTCTAGTAGGGAAATCTCGAACCGGATCTAGTTACCTAGCTAATCCAAGGACCGGCCACCGCTATAAAATACTTACTTACAGTCCTAAGGCTATCGAACGTTGTCTGGCACGACACTACTTTATCTCATATTTTAAAGCCATCGTACACACGAACACTCGGCGTACTGTATGCACACCCAGCGGGGCTATTTCTCCGAGAACATCCGTTCCACAACCCACTTCGCGAACTTGCCCCAGCTGACGACGGTCTCGAATCGAACTCAAGTGTACAAGGGGCTTGCTGCGTCATTCTCAAACATGCATTAGGGCATCTGACTGCGATGCTCGTTGCCGAAGTTTTCCCGCTTCTGCTCATCATATAAATCGGCAGGTCTTCGCGCTGTAGCCCTCCTTGCCCTTCAGTGTCGCTCGCTATGGCTGCCCATATGTCGCGGTCATTTTTGGACGCGTCTATCCCAGATCTCGTCACGAAATTGTCTGCAGATGAGAAAATCGCACTTCTGGGTGCCCCGAATTGGTGGAATACCAATGCTGTAGAGCGTCTTGAGATCCCTGCCATTCGGATGAGCGATGGCCCCAACGTACATTTCTCATAGTACTTCCATGTACACTCTCACTGACACCATCGCAGGGCGTTCGAGGCTCTTCTCATTTCGTCTCTACACCAGCACAATGTATCCCCGTAAGTCTTGTGTTCCCTAGTTCGTTCGATACTGCTTCTAACATTGGAGAAAGTGCGAGACGTCCATGGCTGCAACCTTCGACGTGGGCTTGATCCACGAGGTCGGACGTTTCTTGGCAGACGAAACCAAAGTGAAATCTTCCGTGATTCTCCTCGCGCCGACGTGTAACATTCAGCGCAATCCGCTCGGCGGACGTGCATTTGAGTCGTTCTCCGAAGATCCTCACCTTTCTGGTATGCACTTGCACCGCCCTAGCTCTGTAATATTGACAACCGCTATCAGGTACAATGGCCGCTGCATACGTTAGTGGTCTGCAGTCCAAGGGTGTTGCTTCGACCATCAAGCACTTCGTGGCGAATGACCAAGAGCATGAGCGGACGGCCGTGGACTCTGTCGTGTCTGACCGCGCACTCCGGGAGATTTACCTCTATCCGTAGGGAGAACATCGAACTGTTCGTCTCTCTATGCTAAATTGTCCTCCTGTCCAGCTTCATGTTGGCTCAGAAAAAGGCAAAGCCCTGGGCATTCATGACATCGTTAGTGACCTTACAGGTAGATGTCGACTGCCCAGCTGAAGAGAGCGTCACAGATACGGACGTATTGGCGGTGTCCACTGTTCTGAAAACCCTCACCTGCTTCAAGACATACTGCGTAAGGAGTGGGGCTTCGGCGGTATCGTCATGAGCGACTGGTTCGTTCCTCCCCTTTTTCCTTTTTCAAGGTAGTCACTTTCTCATCTCTTGTAGGTTCGGTACTTACAGCGTCGATCTGGGTATCAACGCTGGGCTGCATCTCGAGATGCCTGGACCGCCACGCTGGCGCACGCCTCTCCTCGTCACGCACATGCTTTCCTCCCAGAAGGTGCTCCCGGCAACTCTCGACAAGCGTGTCAAGGAGATGCTCGAGTTCATCCAGCGGCAAGCACGTCGCCACCCCGAGATCGTGTATGGCGACGGCGTTGAACGCACGCGCGACACTGCAGAAGGACGCGCATTCTGCCGGCGGCTTGCAGCGGAGGGCATGGTTGTGTTGCGCAACGAGGGAAACGTGCTGCCGCTCAAGACTGAAGGCGGAAAGAAGAAGGTCGCTCTTATTGGCCCGAACATGAAGGGTCGTGTAATCTCTGGCGGTGGTTCTGCAGCGCTCAAGCCGAGCTATGTTGTTACACCGTATGAAGGTTTGCTCGCCAACGCGCCGAAAGGACTGGAGTTCCATTACGAACTGGGATGCTACGGTCAGTACCGTCTCCTGCGTTGCGGCCGTGGTTCTTGACAATTGTGTGCTGACTATCGTCTAGCACACAAGTTCTTGCCGACTCTGGAGAACCTCCTGACGACAGCCTCTGGCGAGCCCGGTTGGGATTGCGCGTTCTATAACCATGATACCCGTGGCAACGTCACAGGCGGTCCCATTGCCTCATTTGTGTTGCACGACACCCGTATACGCCTGAATGACTTCCTTCCTGAGGGGCTCACTCCAACGTGGACTATCAAACTACATGGAAAGCTCACAGTGGAGAAGACTGCGCAGTACGATCTCGGTCTTGCTGTCGCTGGCCGTGCAAAGCTCTACGTGGATGGTCAGCTCACCATCGACAATTGGACGAAGCAGAGACCCGGAGAATTCTTCTATGGGTGCGTCTCTTTCTCGACGGGGTTGAAACCAAATGTTAAAGAAACCTCAGACAAGGCACAGTAGAGGAGATCGGGACCGTTAGCCTGACTGCAGGCAAAGCTGTCGACCTTTCTGTGGAATACACTAATTCCAAGCCTCCCGCGGGCCCTGAAGCCGACATCTCTCAACCAGCCCTGATGCGCGGCGTTGTACGTCATCTATTATCTGGTACAATCTCTGGACCTTGATCTATGGTCATTATTTCTGTAGCGTGTCGGTGGTTGCGAGAAAATCCACCCCGATGAGGCCATCGAAGCTGCAGCGCAACTCGCCGCATCGTCGGACGTCGTTATCATAATTGCCGGACTTACTCCAGAGTGGGAGAGTGAGGGTTTCGACAGACCTGACCTGAAGATGCCCGGCCGGACTGACGAGCTCATCGCGCGTGTCGCTAAGGCCAACCCCAATACTATAGTGTGCTTGCAGGCTGTAAGTGCTGTTGTCTTGCAAATTATCGCAGTCTGATGGTTGTTGCTCAGGGATCTGCGGTGTCGATGCCGTGGGTGAACGAAGTGAACGGTCTCATTCAGGCGTTCTACTCTGGAAACGAAGTGGGGAACGCCCTCGCCGACGTGATTTATGGCAAGATAAACCCAAGTGGTCGTCTCTCGCTCACGCTTCCCGCTCGTGAGGAGGATATTCCAGCGTATTTGAACACCCGTAGTGAAAACGGGAAAATTTATTATCACGAGGACTTATTCGTGGGCTACAAGTACTACCAAGCACACGGCATCAAGCCGCTCTTCCCTTTCGGGTTGGTAGCTTTCTCATCAGGTCAGTTGGTTTCTGGCTGACACAGATCCCTGGTGCAGCCACGGACTGTCGTACACCACATTCAGCTTCTCGGATCTCACCATCTCTGAACCTCACAGCCAAGGTTCCGCCTTCGACCTCGATGTCCACGTCACGGTGACAAATACCGGGTCCATCGTGGGCTCAGAAGTGGTTCAGCTCTACGTTACCCTCCCCGATGTTGGTGTCACTACGCCGAAGCTGCAGCTACGGGGATTTGTAAAGGCACACAACATTGCTCCAGGCAAGTCGGAGCGAGTGCATATCAAATTGGACAAGTACGCGATATCGTTTTGGGACGTGGTCGAAAACGCGTGGAGCGCACCCCCAGGGATGTATCAGGTCTTCGCTGCAAAGAGCAGCACCGAGATGGTCCTGCAGGGCTCATTCGTTCTGAAGGAGGGTTTCACGTGGAATGGATTGTAGCGAAATGTAACTGTATACTGTATCCAAGTTGCGAGTATACATGTACGATAGTAACGATGAGTTCTTTCCTCACGATCAGCAGCAGCAGCACTCTTATTATACAGTACATGAATGAGTGCAATGATCAAGCGCTCAGCCTGGTCCGCTGAAGTCAGATCGCTTCCCAGCTAAGCCTATGCGCCGCATTCACGAATAACTACTGGCTGTCTAGTAGTAACTGTCTACAGTTTAAATATCGCCACTACCTGCGTACACCTCGCCGTTGCGTGAATGGCTGTGGAAGTCAGTCAGATCGCCTCCAGCTCGGGGACACATGCGCTACGACCTGACCCTCGTACTCTCGCAACCCTGCCGGAGATTCTCTCCTCTCTCTCCTCCGTACAGTCGGAAGAAGTTGAGCTCTCCACGGCCTTATCAGACATCCTGTCCACTCGTGAACCCATCAGCAACTCCCTCGCACGCCTGCAGGCTCTACTACCCCAATTAGATGGTCTCAGCTCAGAGGCGCAGCTGTTCCACAAGACCGTGTCGGCAACGGCCAAGACTGCCGAGCATGTCGGAGGACGTGTCCGCTCTCTGGACGAGGAGATGCGTAGGGTGCGGGAGGCCGCTGAGCGCGTTGGGCAGGTCATGGAGCTGAAGGTCATACTCGTGTTGCTCACATTCACATCTCCGGCCCCTGATATCGGTTCGCAGTCTTCCCTCGCCGCACTCGAGTCGGCTATGGAAAGCAAAGACTGGGAGTCCGCAACGAGGCACTGTGCACGCGCAATGTCCCTGCCTCCAGAAGTGACACTTGGCGCGTTCGCAGAGACAGCAGTCGTGAGTCGACACAGAGTAACATCACGAGGGTGTTCTCATGGGCTGAATGCAGCCTACACCAGAAAGCCACTTGCCTCCATCGCAGACGCTGCAAGCAGCCCGCGAAGAGCTCCTCGCGATCTTCCGCCAAGAGTTCGAGAAGGCGTCGCAGTCTCGCGACGCGACGACGACGAGTCGGTTCTTCAAGCTCTTCCCCGCGATAGGATGGGAAGCCGAGGGTTTGCAGTCATACGCGTCTTTCGTCGTGGATCTCGTCAAAATCCGACCGCCGGCATCCGCCAAGAGTATGTCGCATTTCTGCATTTCCCAGCCGTCTTTCGTTCAGTATGTCTCACGCGGCTGCAGCGTCTTCACCGTTGTACTATGTGACTGCACTCACTGCGCTCTTCGAGAGTATCGCAATGATTGTAGATCAGCATCAACCGGTTGTAGAGAAGTATTATGGACCAGGAAAAATGACCTCTGTCCTGGAACGCCTCCTGCGCGAGTCAGATCGTGTCGTGAAAGACCTTCTTGAAGGCTGGGAAGAGGAGCGCTCCATGAAGCGCAAGGTCAGGAAATGGCCTTCGTCGTAAATTATACTGCTAAACATATTGCGCAGCTTTCTGAGACCGTAGACCTCGCCTTACATGCTCCAGCAATATCCCCAGTCGTTCGTCGACAGAATATGTCGGCCAGCACAGAAGACGAAGACACTGTCGATCCCCGCGAAATTGACAAGGTGATAACGGAGGCAGCCGGCATGAGTGGTCGGTGGAGCCTCTTTCGCAAATTTATTCATGATCGTCTTAAGGTTTTTCAGTTCGACGTCAGTATGGGCATACCAGTTGATACGGATTTCTTTCAGGAAGAGGACTTAGAGGAGGAAGGACCGGACGATACAGAAAATGCGAACGGTGTGAACGGAATCCAGCCGGCCAAGTCAAAACCTGTTACAGAAGCAAGCGAAGCTATCGACTATGTATCTGAGGGTCTGAAGGCGTTGGAATCGTGTACTTCTCGACGGCTTTTCGACGATATGCTGACAACGTATTACATTCCGATGGAAGTGTGGTACGCTCGCACCATTATCTCCAAGGCAAGCCGTAAGTATCGTCAATACTTCACCATGTAACTCTTGCACCGCAGACCCATCGTTTGTCCAATCCGGATCTGTCGCAAACACCAGCCATGACCACCACGCCAGACGATGTATTTTACGTACTCAAAGTGGTACTGTCGCGCTTACTGTCCAGCGGTTCAGTCATGGCGATCCGACGGACTTCCGAGCTTCTGCGGGAGGTAATGGACCGCCAATATACTGCAGTAATCAAGCGGAAACTGGACGACGTCTACCGGACGGGGGGATCATCTGGGCCCGGGCCAAGAGGTGAGAAGGCAGAGCGGGATAACCGACAAGCTTTTATCGTGAGTTGCGTTGTGAGTTAGCGGTTCATTCACGTCACTCCAATGGTTCTGGCGTAGATATTACTGAACGATTTAGACGTCTCGTCCTCGCATATGGAACGTTTGGTGAAAGAGCTGTGCGGGTCGGCATTAGTCACACAGCATTTCTTAGATGCAGAAGTGGAGTCGGTGAAGAACAGTTTGTCCTCCTTCAACAATCTGGTACCCAAGTTTAGGTCCACCCTCAGAGTGAGCCTTATTGTATCCTGTCTCCGCGTCCTGCTGAGATTACAATTACAGGCTGGAGTAGAACAACTGTTCAACCAGCTGATGCGGCCAAAGCTACGCACATTCATACCTGACGTGTACAGGGACGTGTCATATGTCCTCGACGAGGACGCCTACAATGCCTCCGAATATCAAGACGTGGTGCGCAAGCGCTTTATTAAAGCTTGGGAAGGGCTTGCCGAAGGATACAAGGTCTGGCGTGCTGCATGTTCGATCACCCACAAATTGACTGCTTCTTATAACCAGGATGCGTTTACCGAGCGGAATTATCGTCTGTTCTTCGGGCTCGCTTTGGACATTCTTGTGCGACCCTGGGAGCGATACGTAGTAGGGTTGAGGTACAGCGAGGTTTGTGTGTCCGTCAGTGTGCCTGACCCGAGGCTGAAATTCTGTGCCTGCAGCTTGGCGCCATCCGCTTCGATCACGATCTACGGGCCATCACATCGTATCTATCCTCTCAAACTGTTTTCGGGGATGTGCGAGAGAAGTTCGTGCGGTTGCAGCAGATCTCTATCTTGCTGAATCTCGATTCGGTGCGTATATTTTTCGCCGCCTCGGGTTGATCCTGGCTGACTTGTATGGTGACTATCCAGGAGGAAGATGTTGATGAGTTCTACAACGGCTCGGGCATCACATGGCAACTGAGTGACCAGGAAGCGCGCAACATAGCGAACCTCAGAATGTGAGCTTATCATGAGAAGCTCCGTGTCGTCAAAATCCTGGGATAGTACAGTATGCAAGCCAACCAGTGGGTATAAATACATGGACATCAACCTCGCCGCAGTGCGTCGAGTCTAGCTTGTAGTGCGTCTTCGTCCGAAAGACCACCACCGGGGCTATCATCCCCCCCTTGGTTGTTTGATCCACCGGTGTGATGTGCTGGCCCTGATTCGCCGAGTGCAACAGCCTGCCGTGCTTCTGTAAGAGGAGAGGATACAGCAAGACCACTGGGTGCCTCTGCGAGCTGCAACGCAATGATCAATTGGCATGTGGTGTGTACGAATGAACGAGGGCAAACCTGCTGCGACAGATCGACGCCAATTTCGTCTAGCACTTGCTTGAGGATCTTGTCGCCCTCCTCCTCTTCATCTTCGATGCCTTCGTCCATGACGTCGTCCACTGCGTCAGACATCATCTCTTCCTTCATGTCCATCGTAGCGCTCTCCCTCTCAAACTCGTTCATTATGCGTCGAATTTGAGGCAGATTGAGACCGCGGTTCATCGCTCCCATTGCCTAAGACGAAGTGAGACAACGAAATGGCATGAATGAGTGGAAAGTCGTACACGGGTGGCACCGCGCATAGCTTCAGCCATCTGCTGGTTACTCCTTAGTGTTTGTATCCGGAGACCGACAGCCTGGAGCTGTGTGCGCATCTGGTAGAACTTGTGCACGTATCGCCGTGTCCTGACAAGGTCCTTGGCCATGACCTTGCACGCGTTCTAGAAGTTCAGAGAGAGCTCCCCTGCTAAGTGTGCACACGCAAGTCGGAGAACAGTTCGATAAACGTACTAGCTGGCCTGCCTTGGCACTTTTCTTGATGTCCATGACGAGCTTCTTCTCCTGCTGCTCGAGCTTTGTTCGCTCGCGGTCGAGCTCGCGCTGCGCCTTTGCGAGGGCGCGTTGGTGTTGGCGCAGCCGCTCGGCGGGTGTAATTGTGCGCCCAAAGAGCGTTTCCTGTATACGTGAGACTGGTCAGCGCACGGAGTATGGTCAGACATAGGCACTTGCGATGATATTCATGGCGATTAATCGTGCAGAAGGAGAGCGCCCTCGGAAGCCACTCGCTGCACTTCTTGCGATCGTAGTTACCTTTCTGAGAAAAGCATGTCCGAGTCACTTCCTTCCATCGGCGCACACTGTTCCGTCTCGTCCTGCAATGTCAACGACTTCCTCCCAATCCGCTGCAGGTGCGACAAGCTCTTCTGTAGAGACCACATCTTTCCGGACAACCATACCTGTTCTCTTGCCTTGAACGCCCAATCCTCACACTCTACATCGCACGCCAAACTCCAGCGATGCGCTGCAGAGCGCTGCAACAAACCGAGCCTCGAGGCTTTCGTCTCTGACAGCACAGATGTCGCGAACAGGACTCCCGCAACATGCGCAGGCTGTCGACAGTCTTTCTGTGCATCGTGCGTCGCTCTGTTGACCGTTTGATATTCACCGACCTTGTCCGCAGACATCGAGATCCCGCCTCTCACTCCTGTTCGAAAGAGCATCTTACACCCACGGAGAAAAAGAACGAAGCCGCTCATGGCCTTCTCGCCAAACATTTCTCCTCCTCCCAATCTGCCGCAGACCAAGCAAAGACTGTCGCCGCTCGACCACCGAAGGCGCCTTCCAACCCCAAGAAAGCTGCACAGCTGAGGCAAGTCGAACTTATGAAGATGCGCCATCATGCACAACCTGGCGATCCGAAGGATCGAGGGAAGGACGTACCGCTGATCGAGCGCCTCCATGTCATAGTCAAGTGTGGGGACAGCACCTCTACACTGTGGTTCAGAAAGGTGTCGTTCATTTCCAGACCCTATTTATGCTGCCCCTACAGACAACATGGCATAGACTATAGGAGCTGGCAGAGCGCTTGATCTCCTCGCGACTCATTTTAAAGTGACAGCTTCAGACTCATCCGTGTGTCTTGCAATCTACGCATTTTTCCTGCACTCCTGATTCTCCTGTAGCCACTGCGTCTCGCGAAGACACCTGTCGTGGATGACGACGTGGTAACACTGCGCACCGATCAGCCTCTTTCGGAACAGGTGGAAGACGGTTCTCACTTGCTTTTATCCCGTTGAAGGACATTCGTCGCAGATTTGTACGACTAGCAGTTGTCTATTGCAAGCCAACCCAATTTACACCGTCGAATATGCCGTAATTAAATACAGTGATTACAGTGAAATCGAATGGACAACGTAGTAGGAATAGCACAAAAAAGCGGGTATGAGAGAGATGTAAATGCAAGAGCACACTATGCTACCAGAGCAGCGACTCGTCGAAGATGCGGGACGTTCAGGTATGCAGGAACATAAGTCTCCAGGCCCGAGACTTCACGCGGGAAGGGCAGTTCGTACGGCCCGACTTCCTCTGTCTCAGGCGCAAGGAGCAGGTGGTCGTTGCGGTCGTTAGGCATGACTCGTGAGGCCACTACTCGCAAAATCTCAGGCGAAATGGGGTTCTGTTGGTTACGGTCAGCAACTAAAGGATGACAGGTAGACCTGCGTGGACTCATACCTCATAATCAGCAACGTAGTAGTTTGTGCACATGCGTTGGATCTGCGTTGGTGTGAGCATCCAGCAGACGTCGTATATAATCTCTATATCAGCCTGTGTGGCCTGCAAGTGAAGAGAGGTCAGGGTCAGGATGTAGATGTACACTGAAGATACGTGCCTTCTTCAATTGAAGCAGTTTTGTGGCTTGCATCAGATGTTCCAGTTGTAGAGTGCCCTCGGGCATATCATGCGACTTGCACCACTCCTCGATGCGTGTTATATTGTACTGGATCTGCATAGCTGCGACAAGAGGCCATGTTAGTCATGAACCTACAGATGAGTTAACATGCCATACCCCGCTTCCACGAGGAGAAGTTGCGTCTCATAAGCAGGTCGTTGAAGCTCGTGACGCCAATCAGCTTCAGAAGGTCCGTGACGACCTGCTGAACAACCGACTCCTCCATGTAATAGCTCTTCAGACTCTTCCAGACCTTGTTGAACAAGTTCAGGATGTCGTCCATGCTATACGCCGGCTGGGTATTCGAGTTGAGCAACCGGTTGAACAGCCTGCCACCACCGTCTGTCGTTGTGAAGCCGGGTAGCGATTGACTCTCGATCAGAGCTGGAATGACCATCTTAGACAGCCGTTTCTTCGTTTCCAACATCCATGTATGATAGATGTTGTACTCCAGGCTGTCCAGGTCGTGCTTCACCACGGAAACGAGGCGCTCGTAGTCCGCCCATTCGAACGGACGCACTGCGTTTTCCTCCCCCGGTCCGATGCCTTGCAGCATGTCACTTTCGGCGACATAGATGAAAGACAGCATCTCGTGGACGTTCGACAACCAGAAGACCCCGGGTACAATCGAGTCTTCCCCTGCGAAGGACTTGAAACAATATCAGGGTGGATAGCAAACACTGTGAGCGAGGTAACTTTACCATAACGTGCGACTGGATTGTTTGCATGACATTTGCAAGGAATCGTTCGCTCTCGGGGATAAGACCATATTTCCACATCTCGTTGGTGATCAAACTGATGAGGTTTGCGGGGAATAAGATCTCCTTGACCGCCGATGGATTTGTCGTACTTGGAGCAGGAATCTTCAAACCACGGATAAGGCCGTCGAGGACATCCTCGTCCAAGCGTTTGATATCCTGCATCAACCGGATCTTTTCCTCAGCAGGGTCGTACGTATCAGTAAAGCCATTCAAGCCATTGGGAGCACGGAATCGTGGTAAGCCATCCTCGCCGTTGTAAGCAACTGATACAGCGCGAGGATTCGATACCTGACTCCGTTTCGCCATCATCATCATCTCATCTGCTGACGAACGATTGTCCACTGGGCTAATCGCATACACGCCAGCCGAGCTATGTCTCCGCTGGTGCCTGCCGTTAGCGACACCAAGTGCAGCACCGTTGGGACTGGGAACATCCCCGACGCGCAAACCTGTGGCGAATGTGGGTGATGTCGGTTCCCCGCGTGACCCTCTTGTCAGAGCACTGAGAGCATTGGCGCGGTTCACTTGTTCGCGCAGATTGCTAACTTCGTTCTTCAAGGTCAAGATAATAGAGCTGTCGTCTGCATTCCTCACAGGAACGTTGTCGATGGCCTTTTGTTGCGTCTCCAGTTGAGCGGCTTGATACGCCAGCGTATCCGTCAACCTCTGAATCGCATCCTCCTTTTCCGCTGCCTTGGCAAGGGCATCCTCCAAACGTTTCTCCACGTCTTCTTTGGCAAGCAACAGTTCCTCGCGATGAGTGAGTTCCTTCTGTGCGCCCTGCAATTCGGACTGGAACTGTCTCGCCCTGGCATCGGTCTCCTCGTGCCGCGAGACCATCTGCTGGAACTGCTGCTCCACCTCAGCCAGCTTGCTCTGCAGCTCCTTCTTCTCCTCCGTTCGCTTTTGTAGGTTCTGAGTGAGTTCTACAACCTTGTTCTCTAGGCGATATGAGATCTCCTTGAATTTAGACACCGATCGGGCTTCAGTTTTGAGAGCCTTGAGTTCCTTGCGGGCTAACCGGCGACGGATGCAAGATTGTATGAGGATAACACGCTGTGTATCATGTCGATGCGATCTCCGCGCCAGTCTGATGTCATAGAGTCAGTACCAGTCGATTCACATGATGACTGCACCTACACTCCACGCAACAAACTTTGCAATAGGGTAACAGCATGTATCCTTCTGGACTGGGTGAAAAGGCGACGAGCTTGTGCTCCACGAACACCTGGAACATGACGAGATCAATAGCGAACTAGGATACACACGATGTGCCACTCACGGGCTTGAAAACGGACAACTCCTTGCCTGATATCCAAGAATCGTTTTCGCTGGACGAAGCACCTAACACAGGTCTGCAACCGAATAGCCGCAACTTCACGGCGAACAGCTTCTACGAATCTACGAGCCATGATACCACGCCACCATGTCTGGATCTTAATGGTTGCATGTCGGAGAGTCTGGTATTTCTTCACGGCCATACGTCTACGCATGTTCTTCTGGACAATAGTGACCAACGCGTTTAATCGACCAGAACGCAATGACTCGAGAGCGGCTAGCATGCCTGCTCGGAAGAAAATCTTCGTGAGGCCGGGCTGATACTTGTCGGGGTCATTGATCGTCCTGTCTAAGATGAGCGAACATAGCTCCTTGAGCTCTAGCTTCTGAATTATGGGGCCCCACTCCGATGAATGTACGAGCATGTAGTACCTACGGAATCATTAGTTCCAGAGATATGGGCATCACAAGAGAAATGCACACCGTTCTGCGAATTCTTCATATGTCCAGCGAGAAGGGTATCCTGCGCAACTGATCCGAATAGTCTCTAGCACACCGCAAGCACGCAGTTGACCAAGCACCTGTTGAGGCGTAAACTCCCAGGCCTTCTTCTGCTCATTTGGCTTAATGCAACGAATGTAATGCACATTTGTGACATCGAGGGTGTCCATCAGATTCACTAATGAGGCTTTGAATATAGACGCTTGCGTCGGCTTTCGAGCTACGCCTCCTGGACGTTTGGCACCAGATGACACAATAGATGATATCAGAGATTGGCGTCCCGGATCGGGAATGATAGAAGAACGACGCGAGCCTCCACTGGCAGAATCTGAGACCGTCGGTGAGCCAGGAGGTGCCATTTCTGGAGCCTTCGTAGCAGCAAAAGCAGCGTCAAGGACTTCTTTCAAGAAGTGGTTCTTCGTCGCCATCAACAAGGCCATGTGCTCGTCCGGAACCGTGTCTCGATTCTTCTCCAGAAAGCCCTCGACCTCATAGGTGACATCCAAGGCGTAGTGTGCGATAGTGAATGCTGAATTACCGAAGCGTGGCTTCTTGAATACTTTGCTATTCTCCGGCTTCCCAAGCTGGTTGTGCAGCTTCTGCAGGAATGACGCATCGGTACCTGACGGAAGACGAGACTCCTCATCCAAGAGGGCCATGACGCCCAGTTTGCCTTCGATAACATCGATGCAAGGTTGGTTGTCAGAGAACTCAATAAAAGTCCAGTTGATCTTCTCCCGAACATACTCTTCCTGTTCTAGTTTGAAGACATGGGCATTGAACTAAGGCAAAAACAATGAACATAATGATCTCAGCGTCTTGACGTGGACGAACCTCTTGCTGCAGTTTCTCGTTCGCATAATTGATGCTAAACTGTTCGAACGAATTCTGGAACGCGGCGTGAGGGGATGATTCAACAATATCTCACTGACGGACCTTCTTAAAGTGCTCAAACCCATAGATATCAAGCACACCAATGAACATCTCGGCCCGGCTGGCAGCCTCGCCACCTTCTCCTGCTAAGCTCTCGTTGACAATTGCGACCAGCCACTCGAACAGACAAGCGTATACGAATTTGGCGACACTGTCTCGAACAACCGTGGCCTGTGCAGCATTGAGGGAGGTGACAATTTTCTCGGACCGTGTGGTGATCTGCTTCTTGATGGTCCACTTTTTGAAATCTGCCAGAGAGACGCCTAGGAACCGCGTGGACAGTTGCAACGCTGGATCCGTATCGTCAATATTGGAGTCCGAGCGCATCTGAGCGATCTTGACATTTCCGAGATGAAGTAAGGCCGACAACAGCTTGAAGACAGCCCACTGTTTCTCGACACTGATTCCGATGGTGGAAAGCGCGGTCTGCGTTTGCCGGAAATCCTCCGCGTCGTCAATACCAGGTATTGGTGTCGATTGGGGACCACCTTGACTAAGATATTGGAATTTAGACACGTCCGTGTCGAGTCCTAAATCTTTCCGCTCCTTGAGTGGCACACCCGCACATAGCTGATAGAATATGTGATAGTTCCTCTCTGTGAGTGGTTGGAAGACGACCCGGGACCGCTCCAGCAGATATGTCCGAATCCGTGCACCGACGATTTCTTGATCGCCGTCAAACAGAATCTAATGAGGGGTCAGAAAGCAGGTAGTGCACTTTAAAGACACTGACTTGGATGTACTTGCCGAAGCGAGAAGAGTTGTCGTTCCGCGTGGTCTTGGCATTTCCGAAGGCTTCAAGTACAGGATTTGTAGCAAGGATCTGGCGTTCCACTTCACTTGACTCGTCCAGAGAGATCTTAGTCCTCCCTTTGCTCTTAACGTTCGGAGGATTGACCGAGGCAAGATATCTCATGATGAACTTCGCCTGGAGCCACACGTTCATCGTCAATGCAAGTCCATGGCTGCTAGTGTATGCTTACAGATTCGGTCTTTCCTGCTCCACTTCATCACAATAAATAAACGAATGCAAGTATAATCAAGGGAGAAGACTTACCTCTCTCCAGAAACAATGATTGTTTGCCCCATACCATCCCTGCTCATCGCAGTATAGGCGTCCTCGGCAATGGCAAAAAGATGCGGCTCCAGTTCTCCTCTCCGCCGCCCATTATATGCTTGAATGATCTCCGGGCCATAAAGGGTGACCCGCTGGAACGGGTTCACAGCAATCAGTACAATGCCGCTGTAGGTGTATATGCTGTGCTGTGCATAACGGTTCCGAATGGTGTGTAACACTGTAATACATGTGGTCAACAACATGCCCTCAACAAAGATTGTCCATCAAACCTGAAGGCTCATTAAGGTGAGAGAGTGTGGCCAAATCGTCGGCGGTCTCTAATAAAGGTGGATTCCGTAGTGGAGGTAAACTGTCCTTGCCGTTCTTGATATCTTGCACGGTGGTATCGATGGAGATGTCCTAGAAGATATAGGTGCGCCCATTTATTCAATCAAATAGAGCACCAGGTAAAGCACGTATACACACCTTGCCGCGTTCGTCTACGAACACAAGTTTAACGGTGTCGTCAGGATTCCTGATGACCGAGGTGACTTCTGCAGTTATCCAGCCATGCTCCTTGTCGGTGAACCATACCCTGGTACCCTTGCTGTAAATGTTTTCGGCCATGGGCCAGGATGCGGCTTCAGGCCGTCAGACGATGTACGGTGAAATGAGCAGACTTCGAGCCACAAAGCTTGCCTTTTTGTTGCGTTGGTATTATATCCCAAAATGGCAACAGCACTGGTGCGATGCGGTGATCTCAATATTGTTGCCTCCTTCCTAACACCCCTCGCCATCATCTCTCCCTTTCTCTCTCGTTGTATCACTATATATCTGCTTGCTTACATTGCATCAACACACGGGCGGTTCCTGCACCACCTATTGCGGCTTTTCATGAAAGCTGCAGCCATAGCTGCCAGCGACAGAAGTGACTAGGTTCTCTCAGAACTTCTGTTACAGCTGTGCTGTTTTCACCATGTCAATACGGGCTACGAGGAGGCCCTTTTCCAGCCTGAGTGTTGCATGAAAGCGCCGGTGCTTGTTGGTGCCAGGTACGATTCCGTGGTGCAGGTCGCTCAAAATATGTGCAAAGCTGTCGATGCCCGGTAACGCGGTGACGACAGAGAAACGAGATTATCCTAGGGCTGGAGCCATTCAATCCTGTCGTTATTCTGGACGTCTGGGAACGTCGTCGTCATTTGCGCACAGAGGACTTCGTACCCTGGTGATGCTGCGCATACTGGAGTTGCCTAGGCAATCTCCACACACTCCTGAAGGTTGGGAGTAAAGTATTTCTCAAAAGTTGAATTACCTTACAGCTGACTGGCTTAAATCTTGTGTAGCTAAGATTCGAAGTTGTGTTTACACGTACAACTCGTGAGCAGACGAATTTACCTACGAGAGGGTGATTATATACATGGTCCATTGATAGTACAGTTCATGATCATTTTCTTCGTCCTTGCGTCTAACAGCTCACAAGGCAGCATTTCGGTATCTTTCTGCCAACTCATAACCGTGTGCAAAGTGTGCAAGCCGTGCATCGACAACGTAGCCCTGTGTCAGAGAGGTCAGTAAAAAATGAAGAGAGATGGTAATATTTGAACCTTCGCTTCATAGTCTGCGAGGAAGTGAGTGCAGAGCACATACATCGGGCCGAGTGGCGAACACACCTCTCAATTCCGCCACTAATTTGGGAAGCTCAACGACGCGGACATCGATGAATTCTCCTGGGTCCAATTTCTGCACTGGAATCTCGAGCTTGTCCGGTAACGGGACATCCACTATGATGATTTTCATGGTAGCAGTCGTCATCCCTTTGCGATAGCACGAAACATGGCACAGTAAGTGTACTGAAGATCTACGCAAGGACCAAATGCGACAAACCAGGGTCACACACAAGGAGGGGTGATGAGTCCAAGATCTTCTTGCCTTTGAATCCCGTCTCTTCTTCGAGCTCACGTACCGCAGCCTCTTCTGCCGTCTCGCCTTTGTCGATGAGCCCTAGATATAGGACGAGATCTGAGCATCTTCTGCAACAAGCGAGCACCGATTTACCAGCAGGAAGCTCTGCAGCCGCGCGTCAGATAGGAGAACCCATGGAAGAGAAATTCCAGATTTCGTACCAACAGCATATTTGCCAATAGGTGGCCGAAACTGCGTAACAATCACCGTAGAAGGCGGAAACACGTTGGTCTCTGAACGAATCATAGCTAGGATCGCGACCGCTGCAGTAGGGACCCACCATGCCTTGAGTGAAACATGCCAGGCACTCTGAAAGGCTGTGCACTGACCATCGATGCCTGTAGCTCCCGTCGTCTTGCGTTGTGCGCACTCCCATACCCTCTAATCACGCGTCGTCAACCAGAACATCCCCAAGAAGTGATTGTCTTACCTTTTTCCCCGTAGGATCACTCCAATGTATCTTCTTGAGCGTCACCCACCTATGGAAATGAAGAAAGACTTCCGGTTATATGCCAGGTGCTTTCGTACTACCTAGTTCGCACCGGAACATTACCTACTTGGCCTCGGAAACAGGGAGATCCTCAGTCGACAGAATCTTTGGGAGGGTCGACATTGTACGCGTTGGGCGGGAAAGCGATCGCAAAGAACGGAACAGTGGTTGATTTCCTCGTGTCCGTAGTGCGGGAAAGGAAAAGACGACCGCGAGCATGACGTCGACACGCCCAATGTTCGGAAGCCGCATTTATTCGCGATCGAGATTTGAAATATACATCTAGTCAACACATCTACATATGATAGGCCACTTCACATACACCTACACACGGTTCCACTGCGAGACAAGACAACTTGGACTACGTATAGCGAGATATAATTTCAGGTGTCACCTGCGACGGGTTCAGCCGCGTCCAGATAGTGCACCTCAGAGCACGCTCTGAGCCGCTGAGCTGCTTGCTCAGGAGTCAGATCGCGTTGTGGTTCCGCCATCAACTCGAACCTAAAACCCGGAGATGTACTTAGTCAAACCCGCCATGCTGAAAAAATGTGACTTACCCAACGAGGAACTTGCGAACACTAGCACTCCTTAAGAGAGGCGGTGTGAAGTGTAGGTGGAGATGCGCGACATCTCCAAGATCTTGATCCCCTGCCAGAAGAGTGTCGCCCACATTTACGGTGGCGGAGGGAATTGGACGCTGATGAATGCCCATGGAATATGCGAATGAGCAGGAAAATAGATTATCGTATCGTTTGGTGATCTTGGACAATAAGTCCGCGAATGATACCCTCTCAGCACGAGAGAGATCAGCAATAGAGGTAATGTGGCGCGTATACGGGAGCACTGAAGTAACAAACACTTGTTAGACATTTCTGTGTGAAGATAAAAGAGTCTTACGCATGATTTCGAACGGCCAGATAGCCCACCAAGGTACCAGAGCAACCCAATGCTCGTTCTTCACGACTACTCTCCCCGCTTCGTAATCCGCTCCGACCTCAAAATGAGCGTATTCACAGAGCAAGCAAGGGCGGTTCTGCAGGCCTTTCGGAGCACCCGATGGTTGCACGTCTGAGAGCGAGTAGCGTTTCAAGTTGGCCAATTCAGTCGCTGGCAGCGACGGCACTGCCGATAAAGACCACACTTGTCCGTGAGGATGAGGGTTGGAACAGCCCATCATAGCACCTTTATTCTGTAGAGAGCTGAATAAGCACGGACTCGGCATCTGTACAATGAGTTTACCTCGAAGATCTGCACATATTTGATTCCATCCTGCGTTCCTCGCTTCTGGTATATCGCACACCATTCCTCAATGATCCGCTCTATATCCTTGAGAGGCAGCCTCGCAAGTGTCAGATCATGCCTCGGATGGAAAATCAATACGTCGCAACCGCCCTGCACAGGCTCGGTGGTTAAAAGCGGGTGGGGGGCTGGAGGAGCGACCGGTCCAGGCGGCGGTAGCACGGCGGCGTAATCATTCTCAAACACCATCGTATGCTCATAGACCTCATTCCGCTGCCCTCCAGCGCGAGCGTTACCCGGGCAAAGATAACACTTCGGATCGAACTCCGGAAGGCGGGAGGATTGTGGGGGCTCCGTCTGGCCTAACCAAGGACGCTTCGTGCGATGTGGGGACACAAGAACATGTTCGTTCGTCAATGGGTTTACTGTGTGCTTTACCGTTGAAACATGGACGACAGAAGAAGGATAGAAGATCAGACGTACATCGGCGGTGCGGATGTGTGCTTGGGTCGAACTGAAGTTCAGCCATCACGACCTGACAAATCTAAGCAAGGCAATGGTGCTCTGTGAGATGCGTCGGGGGAGCTTATATATCGGGTTTCGAGGTCCAGTCCGAGGATCCATAGAGAGTTCATGACGAACATGTGCATATGGATAACGGTTCTCGTTCTACGGAGTCCGCCGGGCCGAGACCCGTAAGCGAGCACCTTCTTCGTTTGGCAAGCGCAACATGTCCTGATTATCTTCTGTCAGTCTTGTCGACGACGTCGACTGTCACCTCGCCAATATCTCTTCAATTGCAATCCACCGTGCCATGGAATCTGCACCGAAACGACGTCGTATTCAGCGTTCACCTTCTCCGGCTTACAAGCTTGATGATGAAGACGACTCGTACCAGCCTTACGTCCCGGTCGCACAAAGACGCCAGGCGAAACTGGCGAGACTGACGTCTTGGGGTACAAGTACAGATAAAGACAAGTCGAAGGGACAAGAAGAAGAACGCGATGAGCAGGAAGATGAAGAAAGAGAAGAGGAAAGACGGAGAGAAAGGGCGCGGAAAGAACGCACGCTGCTCATGGAGGCGCAGGAGGTTCATGACAAGAGGGCTGCCGAAGGTGTGGACGAGCAGAATCCATCCAATGCATTACATTCTGAAGGCTTATCCTGAAACAGATGCGAAGAAGACTGACGCAGAGAAGGCAGAGGAAGCTGATGCCGAAATTTTGACTGCTATTGCTGCTCGAAGGAAGCTTGCTTCGGATATGGAGTTGGCAAAAGGTGTACAGTACACGGAACCTTTGAAATCATCGTGCGTCTATTTTCCACCATCGTCGTGATAACGTCTCTCAGGCGTTCCTCGTGGTTAGATGGCGACCGCCCAAGTTTGTACGAGACAGGACAGACGAAGAACATCAAAAATTACGAGAAAAACATCACATCCTCGTCGACAACGAGAACATACCTCCTCCCATTGACAATTTCACCGTGAGTTTAGACATCCCACCATTCGTCTATTTTGCTCATGTCCTGCATCTACAGGACATGAAAGTTCCAGACTCGCTAGTCAAGTTCCTCAAGTCGAAGAGGATTACCATACCTACTCCAATTCAGATCCAGGGTATCCCCATAGCGTATCTACCTTCCTTACTGTCCAATACTTGGTTTCTAACATGCACCGTTTCTTAGGTTTGCAGGTCGTGACATGATTGGCATCGCGTTCACTGGCTCGGGGAAGACCCTCGCCTTCTGCTTACCAATCGTCATGGTTGCTCTGGAGGAAGAGGCGAAGCTACCATTTATCCGCGGCGAAGGACCCGTTGGAGTCATTCTATGCCCGTCCCGTGAGCTTGCGACCCAAACGTACGAAAACGTCCTTACCTGGACAAGTGCGGTCGCTAAAGACGGGAAATATCCGCAGCTCAACGTGTTGTTGTGCATTGGAGGTATCGCGATGGGCGAACAGAGCCATGTCCTGAACAAGGGCCTGCATATTGTCGTTGCAACACCCGGTCGCTTGATTGATATGCTCGAAAAGAAGCGCTTCACCTTTGATAGCTGCAAGTTCCTATGCATGGACGAGGCCGACAGGATGATTGACCTTGGTTTCGAGGACGATGTGCGGACTATTATGAGTTTCTTCAAGGTCTGCACGACGTCTCACTTACTTTGAAGCACCTTGGCTGACGCTTATTGTAGCATCAACGGCAAACTCTGTTGTTCTCCGCTACAATGCCGCGAAAAATCCAGGAATTCGCCCAACAGTCTTTGGTGCAGCCTGTGCTTGTCAATGTTGGACGAGCAGGTGCAGCAAACTTGGATGTTCTTCAAGTGATAGAATACGTGAAACAAGAAGCGAAAATGGTCTATCTGCTAGAGTGCCTGCAGAAAACACCACCTCCGGTCATCGTTTTCAGTGAGAATAAGAACGAGGTGGATGGTGAGTGATGCCCTTCATACGTACGGGGTCGGTTATCTCATCTTGTTGATCAGATATACAGGAATACTTACTTTTGAAAGGCGTGGAAGCCGTGGCCATTCATGGTTCAAAGAGTCAGTGTATTGGTGGTTTGAGTGTACTTCTTAGTCATCTTACTGCATTCTGCAGCTCAGGAAGAGCGGCAATATGCCATCAAGTCGTTCAAGTCGGGTGCAAAGGACGTGATGGTTGCTTCTGGGGTTGCATCCAAGGGACTTGACTTCAACGACATTCAACATGTGATCATTTTTTCAATGCCCAAAGAGATCGAGGACTACGTCCATCAAATCGGTCGTACGGGACGTAGTGGGAAGACCGGTATTGCCACGACATTTGTGAATATGAACACTTCAGAGCAGACTCTGCTGGACCTGAAGTATCTACTCATGGAAGCAGGGCAAAAGTGCGTCCTTCGGCACAGAGGCGAATAGCAGTTCTGATGCCTATTTTCAGAGTCCCACCGTTCTTGCAAAGTATCGAAGATCCTCGTGCCGCTCAAGGCGGATCACTCAAAGGATGTCCTGTGTGTGGAGGTATGTGCATTTCCGATTCAAATGTTTTCTTCCTGCTAATATCTGATGGCGTAGGTCTTGGACATGGCATCTCAAATTGTCCCAAGTTGGAGGACACCCAGCGGAGACAAATGGCATCTCACAGAGGGGAAGACGACCGCGGGGGGTACTGAGTGTATTAACATCTGTATGTGTAGGACTGTTCTTATCCATTTGTATTCATTGCACATTCAATAATGCAGCAGAGATGACCTTGGATCTCTTGAACAGTTTCTGTAGGTACGTGATGATATGCAGTGTATGGTGCTGATTTTGCGCATCAGTTTTCCTGGAAAGTCGGGCGAGAGCCTCTATGATGGTGTCTTGCTACACCGTGACGCGAAGTGTTTGTCATGCCTTGGTGAGTCATGATATATACAAAATAATACTGTCATCATTCCATCGAGTTCCACTCTGTGAATTAACGTTGAAGCGAACTAGTGCTCAGCGTGGAAGCACCAACCGATTGGAACACACTGCGACATTGGAGTCAACGTTGTGGCTCACATAGATAGAACGTCGCGTTTCATGTGTGTGGACGAGAGTTGAGATGACGCGACCACTGTTCACGAGGCGGTCGGGAACACTGGCGCCGCTTATGGAAAGCGATCGAAATTGACCCATCATGATTCGGACGTCGAAGGTGCCTCACAGGTGCCTCCACAACATGTCGAGCCATGCGTCTCCTTGAACCTTGGGCTTGTTATTGTGTCTCGTCGTCTCGTCGGTTATGCATTCCTCACTCATCCCGACAAACATATGAAGGCAGAGGTATTGAAGACCCGGTTTGGTCAAGCGTCCAGCTGCATACAAGCGTATGGCAAACAATTCATCTCGAGGCGTTCACTCGCCAGGCTATTGTCAGTATTCCTGTGTTGCCTTGTGGTAGTAATTCGCCCTGTGTCCAAGCTTGGTGGAGAGTTTGCGTTCTTGGTTCTTGCGTTGAGAGAGCTGGTACTCTCCGTTCAAGAGAATCTTGCGCAGCAGTTGGAGCTCACGGTCCTCAACGTTACTGGTGCCTTGCTCGGCATAGGTCTTTCAACACTGGCAAAGTACATAGCTTCTTTGACTCCCGACAATCAAGCCAGGTCGAGGGCGACATGCGCTACGTTTCTTGTAATGATCAGTTTTTTTGGTAAGTTTGCGGGCTTACTTCGCTATCTATCCTCTACAGTAGCATTAACACCGATATTCGCAACAGCTGGTTGGATCAAGAGTCGTATGGTTCGTCTTCAGCTCTCCATGCGCATATCCCTCTTCGTCTCCACATGGCTGTTGACGACCAACATAGGCGTTCGTTCTGTGAGTGGCCCCGAACCGATTTGTGACAAAGACTAACATGGTTAGCAGAGAATCCTTTCTGATTCCGGGGCCTTTCTTTTCGTAACTTTTGCTTCTGCTATAATCTCTCTCGTTTCCCTCCTCTTTGTGATGGCATTGTTGCGGTGGCCGTCCACGAGCTTCGAAGGGGACATGGCAAGAACTTTCGCGTTGCTTCGGCAGTGCCTGTCCATAAACCTTCAATACATGGGCGTCAAGACGGTGGTTTCAGATGACAGCATTACTCCTCAGGAGTATTCACAGTTCCGAGACAGATTACTTCAACAGTCAATCAACCTCAATGAGACCTATTCTCAAGCAGCATTTGAACTTCGGATTGGGAGACTTAGTTGTAAAGTTTCTACTAAGATGTTGTAGGGAGATATTTTACTGAATGTTTCCTGTTGCAGTGAAGTCGATCCGCCCTTTCATCAGCATTGTCGAGCATTTACGGAGAGAGGTTGCATGGGGCCTCCCAATCCAATTCACCGTCGGGTCAGCATGGGATATATCAAATACATCCTCCCAGTATAAGTTGCTTACGGACTTTGAAGCACCGGCTGTCCTTCTTGGGCACGGTATTCTTGCGGCAATGCAGGCAGTGGAACGCCTTATCGTCGTGGCTTTCCAACAAGGACCTTATGTAAAACCATCTTCCCAGACGTGGTCTGAACCCGAAAATGAAGCTATACACACGGCCGAGGAGAAACTAGTTCTGGCCAGGGATCATGCTCGCGAGAAGCTTGCACGAATATTCACCGAAGCAGGCATGCAACATAGAGCGGCGGGAAGTAACATGCCCAAGGATGTTCTCAATGGCAGTCTTGTCATGATTACGTTGCTCCAGGTACATATTGTCTCAGAATTGTCTTTTCAACCCGCATGCTTCCTCACTGCTTCATAGATGGCCCAAGAGATGCGGTTGGCTTTGAAAGACGCGCGGCGAATTGCCTCACGTTATGAAGCATCCGCGGTACGCTTATGGTACCCGCAAATTACCTTGGCATGGCTTGGGGTTCCTCAGGCGTTCTTTATGTCTGACGATTTCGGCTCTACCATGCAACTCACCGGGATCAGCGATGCGGATGAAGATTTACGAGAGCAAGACGCAGAAGAACGACTAACGATTGCCGAAGCACGACAGGCGCTGGCCGAGCAGAGTCATCCCATGGACTCCATGCAATCCCTGACCCGCCGTACATACTTTGGTGCGTCTGTAGAAACCAAATCCGGAGAACCCGGACCTTGGTATTCTCTCAAGTCTTGGTCGAGACGGTCCAAGATGTTATGGTCGCACCCGCGAATGGTTGATGGACGGATGTGGCTCTCGAAGGGCTATAGGTCCATCCAACATTCCAGCCATATACGGCATGCCATGAAGAGCGCCATTGGCGTTGCAATCTTGAGCTTCCCGGCATTCATGCCAGGACAATCTGCAGGTGACCCTCCTTCTGATAATGAGGTTGTCAGTTGATGTCACTGCGGTGTTGTAGGGCGCCGATGGTTCACTACGTGGCATGGGCAGTGGATGGTCATCAGGTATGTGAGTATGAAACGCATGCGGTGAATAATTATCATCTTCCGTAGTTATCTTCGGGTGTTGGAAACGAACACCGGAGCTACCTGGAGGATTGGCTACCTACGGTTGGTTCGTACTCACTCATCCTGTGCAGTCTGCTGTCCGATTAATATCCATCCAGCTGGGCACGATTACGGGTGCTATCTATGCGTATATTGTAAGAGCTCGTATTGATTTCACAATCATTCATCTATTTCGTCTAATGTTGGTGCAGACATGGCTGATCTGCAAGAGAAACCCGTACGGTTTGGTCGTTCTGGTGACAGTGAGTGGTCCGGATGCCCTGGCCGTGTACATTTTCAGACGTATTGCAGGCGGCTGATGTCCCTATAACCTGGATGATCACCAAAACTGAGCTAACTCCTCTGGCTGTACCTGCGTGAGTATTATCGTGTTTACCTGCGACTGCCATTCTCTGAGATACCAGCAGATCCTTGACTCTTCCAACTATCGTTCTAGCTCAGTATATAGTGCCTGAACAGACCATGTCTGTCCTGGGTGGGTCTTTCCGGAATGAATGATAGAGCTGTTCTCTGACGATGACCTGCAGAACTAGCTGGCATTCGTGTTAGTATGATTGCCGCTGGTATTATAGCTGCGTTGCTCGTGAACAGCCTTGTGTTCCCACGACATTGTCGGGTATCACCTCAGTATTGTGCTTTGTTTTTCGTTGAATTCATATTAGTTCAGGTCCTGTTCCTATCTGACACTGGTCGTACCCTTGGTTCTCTCAGTAACCTTTACATGACGTTGAGCCAGTGAGTTGAATCATGCAACGTTATGGCAGTTCACTGACCGATCATCCGCATATATCTAAGCGAGGTGTTCCATGACCAACATATTTACACCCCAGACGAGCGTCGCCGAACTCAGAAATTGGAGCTTCAAATTCGCAATGCACTGCATCGTCTTTCTGGTCTGATTGTAACGATGGGCGCGGAATTGAGCCTCTTACCGGTGAGTTTATAACACCCTCCACAAACTGAAGTAGAAGGCTGAACTCGCTTCAGAAACCACTCCGACATTACCGTCAAATCGTGACGGTCCTGCAAAAGCTGTTAGATCTGATGACTGGGTTGCGCAAAATGCGGACGAATATTCCCCGTGAACAGACCGTTGCTAGCGTCTTCAAGGAACGTCAGGAGTTTGTAAGTTTTTCTAAATATCTCTGACTATATCGCTCATCGACTCTGTAGATGTCTTCCGTCTGCATCATCCTATTCGCCTGTCAGCATGCGTTCCGAACGCGAGAGCCGCTTCCTCAATTCTTGCCTTCGACCCGACAGGCACTCTCAGTGCTGCAAAGCCATGTACGAAAATCTTTACAGCGGGCGAGTGAAGATGATCCGCATTCCATGGGTCTCTCACTTGTTTATGCTTTTGCCGAGCAGGACGTAATGAAGAACCTGGTAGATACCCTGGAGGAGCTGTTGAAGCTGACCGGGAGATTGTTCGGGACATCTGCGTGGTTGACCCAAGATCCCGGATTAACCAGAACAAGCATGCCAGATGAAGGAGATCGTGGGTGGTATAGCACATTCAAGTGGGAGGAGACGTGAAGCTGATACCGAAGGCACGAGTCACTGCGGCACAGATTCTTGGGTCTCGCTTGAAGCACATCGTTGAAAGGCTCCGGAGACTTGCATATCCGGGAAACTAAGTAGGCTTGCGCTGTGATCCATTGTGGTACAGTGTATGGTGTATTTGTTAGCCTTGGGTGTACGGTGCTGTGGAAAGGGTATTTGGGCAAAACGTGACTATCATATGCACGTAGCGCCAGGTTGGACACACGTGAGCGTTATATACAGCAAATAAGTTACCCGCACTTATAGTGACATTCAAATCAACCGTCGCCAACATCCATGATCCATGGACCTCAATAGTCCCTACCTGCGATACTCAAATTGCTGACGGAGATTCAGGACTGAAGGCGGTTTCGACTGCGAGGAGCTAGACAACGCGTTAGAAGCATGCACAATACACAATGACTCCAAATGTACCTACTTGTTACGGCCCGACTCTCGCTGAACATGATGATTTATGCACACAGTCAGAAGTCGTGGTATATGCACCTTGATCAGACCCTGTGGATCAACCTCTGCATCTCTCAGCTGGTTGTTGAAGCTGTTAAGATCTACACGTGTCCCATGAGCGACATCTTTCGTCTATCAAAAACTGGAACGAACCGTTGGGCATGATGGCGCTCAACATGTTCAACGCATAATCATCGAGGACCTCTTCAGGATCAAGGTTCTCAGCGAGGGCAATCTACAATAGACGTGAATATTTGCATTCTTCGCAGAGCCTGCGACATACCTTCTGGCGAACTTGTAGCAACTCCTTCAGACACGATTCCGAAGGATCGACGTTGGTAACCGGATGATCGAAATTCTCAATCACTTCAACATCTGAATCTCCACCTGCAGCTTTCTGAGCTGGGTCCCTGAACCTTGAATTTCCTACCATCGGGTTGTAGACTTCTATAACGTTGTCCATGACATCCTCTTGGAAAACCTCGGCGGTACCAGAGTCGTCCTGATATAAATCGATGGGATCCTCGTCGTACTGAACAACCTTCTCCTTTCTGTTACGCTTTCGGCCTGCGTTCCCTGTGGACGCGTTCCCAGCGGTCACCACCCGTTTCTGGCGTTTGGAAGTGGCAACATTGGCGGAAGAGAGGGCTCTGAAACGCATGACAAGGCTTGAGGGCCGTTCGAGGAACGTGTGAGCGTTACGCCCAAGCTATAACATCCGTAACTATGAGCAGCACAACATACACAAAGAGATGAACTTACCTGCATGTAAGAGTTGGTCCACTCGCTTGATCTCTTAGGAACCTGGTCAAAAATACCCTCGACCTCAAGGTGATCAACTATTCGCTCAACACGTCCTTTCGGCATATCTCTGCCTACCCCGAAGGATTCAAGTTGGTCGTGGCATTGATCCTTGATCCACTTGGTTTTGCTCCCCTTGATGACGTCTACGAATTGATTTCTTGTCATATCTCCATTCCGTAGTAAGCCTTGCGCCAGCCGAACGATGTTGACAGCCGATGTAGTCACATCCTGTTCTTCGATTCCGTGCTCATCACGACAGTTGTCGCAGAAGTTGTGGCAATTCTGTGGGTCGAAGTTGTTTTCGCCGAAGTAGCCGAGAACCTGGGCCCGACGACAATCGGTGTCGTTTTCAGCAAACTGCATTACCCTTCGCAGTTTATCTCTTGCCCACTCCTTCCTGTCCTCGGGTTTGTCCTCCTTGTAGATCTGGCTCAAGGCAGCCGTGTAATCGCCGTACGAGTAGACTACAATCCACACATTGGGGGTCAGCAGAATTCAGGGAACATAGACATACAAAACACGTACATAGGACACAATCGGCAGGACTACTGTCTCTCCCTGCACGGCCTGTCTCTTGATAGTAGCTACCAAAGTCGTCAAGAAGAGCTAGAGGCAGTGAGAGAAGGCCTACCTTTCAAGATCCTTCGGCAAAGAGTGATGGATGACGAAACGAACTGCCTCCCAAGCTGTCAGACACATTCTTCTGAGATCGTGTGAGAATGCCATACCGTTGGATTTGTCGATACCCATTCCGAACGCGTTCTGCGGAGAACATTTAGCAAAGTTGGTCAGACGACGATGAGTGTGATCCAATTACTGTTGCCACTATGACTTTGCACCTTCCGTCCAGCCACATATCTTGGTTATGATGCTTCTCATCATTGTCCATTTTCCCATGGTAGGGGAATGCCGACAAGTGATGAACATTCTGCAACTCTGCAGCAATGTCCTCGCATTTCTTCCGACTTGTAGCGTAGATAATACCGGTCTGTCCACTATAGTTGGTTCGAATGAATTCGACAATGTCTGCGAGAACGCCACCCTTCCGTTTCTGTCGAACCATGTAGTTCAAATTCGTGCGATTATGGGATTCTATCAAGCGGAGGCAATTAGGCATCCCGAGACGATCAATAATATCGTTGACTGCTTCCGGAGGAGCTGTCCCAGTGAGTGCCATGATCGGAACTTTGGGATACTCGATTCGCAAGAGGTTGAGCGCTTTGTACTAGAATTAACACAGAAATCATCAGCAGTCTACACTAAAGGAAGAGGAGAAAGCACGCACAGAGTCTCGGAAATCTCTTCCCCACGTGGAGATACAATGTGCCTCATCGACACTGAACAGCGCTATCGCATCATTCTGATACATCATAGACATGGTATTCCTCATCGCAGCACTAAACTGGAGTCTCTCTGGTGTCACATACGCCAAGCACGGTCTATTCTTGGTTTTGAGACGCGCCATGTCCGCAGCAGTTTCTTTGTTATCTCGATTTGATTCAAACACTACGACGTCGACGCCTCTCTTCTTGAGAGCACCCGCCTGATCCTTCATGAGAGATATCAGGGGGCCGATCACAAAAGTGGTTGATCCGGGTTTACACAACGCAGCGAGCTGAAAACACAAGCTTTTCCCGCCACCTGTAGGCATCAACACAAAGACGTCGCGCCCAGACAGGGCTGCAGTGATTGCTTCCAGCTGATGCTTTCGGAATGAATTGATACCAAATACTTCCCAGAGCTTGCGCTTGATCTCGGGATAGTACTTGTTCTTCGTCAGCTCGCTATTGTGTGCTGTGGAGGAAGAGGACGTCGCGGCCTGACCAGTATGGCGAGGAAGAGATGATGGCGGTGTAGCAGGTGCCGGGAGAGGGAGAGGTCGGACATCTTCATAAAGATCTACTATATCATCATTCGGTCCATTCCAGTAATCGTCGCTTCCAGGTTCAACGTCGTCAAGCGGAGCGCTAGCAGTGCCAACTACCTGCTTCACAATAGTCGTGCTACTGCCTGGAAAACCAATCCCGTATTCGCCGCCATATAACGTCGTTGAAGAAGACTGGACCGCCTCATTTGTCAACGAGGGTTGTTTGCTCGGAAGGAGAGCTGAAGGACGAAGCTGCGCAGTGCTGGGAGTGGAAGTCTGCGAGGACCATGAGGGGGATGGAAGGACGGGCTGGTCACCTCGGTTCACCGCGGAACGGAACGCTAAAATCGAAACAATTCTGTCTCCGGCCAGTTTGCTGCAGACAACGGACGAAGATTCAGTGTTGTCGTCACCATTACGTCACAAAGAAGACCTACTCGAGATGCTGGAGTAAAACGATGTCGTGACTGCGGTCTTCGCCAGTATTATGTTTCAGCATTCTATCAGATATCAGACCCCGCAGGTCAAAGTTACTGTTGAGGATTATGCTGAGATCGGCTTCGGATTTCTAGGAATACGTCAGCATTCTGCGCCGGGGAAGGTAGTTGCAATACTGACCCCAATGAGATCTGACCAGTCCAATGGCAAATTCCGCGATGGTGGCCCAGCAGGAGTCACTGCCAGTGCTGGTCGTGGCGGGTTGGCTAGTATTCTCGAAGCAGAATGCCTGATAGGTGATGGATTGATGGGGTCTGGGGCGTGGAAGTCTAATGTCCGATTCAACGGGAGCTCTCTTGCCTTGCCCTTCACATCAGAGATGAATCTATTCTCCTTGTCCGATGTGGTGTCAACTTTCGGACGCTTTGATGGCCCCGTATGTTCTTGATCTATGTGGGCATCCATGGAAAGACGTTTACTGGGGACACTTGACACAGAGGCAGAGGGAGGAGTGGTATCCGTAGAAGATATGCTGATATACGAGTGGTCTCCATTGGAAGGAAGCGCGAGTGGAGGGGGTTTACTCTTGCCAAAACCGGGTGTAGAAAAAGCAGGAAGGACCGTAGTTGTCTTGCGCACTACGTCGCGATCGTCAGCGATACTAGCTGAGAGCAGACGAGTCATGTTTACGTACCAGTGACATGCTCAGGTGTGCTGAAGGATTTGGCAGGCTTGAACTTGGTAGACTACACCGACAGTCTTGAATCGTAAGCCGGGATAAACTAAGCATGCACATACCTTCTCGTGGCTGAAGAGCTGGGGTGGTGGGCGCGGTAACGGAGTGCCGCCTGGCTGTTTGCGACGGAGTTCATCCAGATTATTTCTTGGCCCCGACATGATAGAGCATCCAGCGGGAAGAAACGAAGATGAGAGGAGGAGGTGAATGTTCAAGTGCAGAAGGCTTCGAAGCCCGATCGAGAACGTTTAGCAGAGAGAGCAGCTGGGCTGGCGGCTGAGTCTGAAAGTCGCGACGCGTTTTGCACGTGACTGACGCGACCACGCGCTTCAACACTCCCTCTTTCGGCTACTGCTGCAAGCTCCGATTTACAGTTATCAATAGTGGTGTTCTCTCATCTATATTCTAGTCGAAGATGGCTGGGCAGTTCTGGTTCCCCTCAATGTCTGTTCCCGAAATCGTTGACGCCTTCGCGGGATGGGGAATTGCGGTTAGCAATGAGCAAGTAGCGAGGCCCTCGTCCGAATTCGTGATGACCATCTACTCCGCATGTCTCGAACAAGTAACGGGAATCACCCAGGAGAGCTTACAGTCCTCTGTAGAGGCCGCTTTGGCCACAACAGAGACCCCAGTGAGCGTAAATTACTACCTGACATTCCCTCTCTCTGATCTTAGGATAGGATCTCTACGCAGAGGCGCTCAGTCAAAATTATCTCATATACCACATGTAAGCGCAATATCTATGTTATGTCGGCTCGTATCACTCTGGAACTGTAACCAGCCAACGCTTCGCGAGCGCAGCTAAAGTCACCGATTTCAACACCAAAGACGTGTATTTCCCCAATCCAGAACGCACGCGGTCCATTTTCTCTGCATTTATCAACTTCGTGAAGTTTTCCGAGCAGTGCGAGCCCTTTATTACCCGCCTACGAGACAAATCTGCCTCTGCCCTCAAGGAACGGGACGAAGTCGGTCATCAGCTAGTTGATATGAAGGAGAAGCTCGCGGCCGTCAAGTGAGCACGCCTTGGTCCTACAAGAAGTTGCTTATCGGATTCTCGTGTGTAGAGCCAAACGTGAAGAAGATGAACCCAAGTGCGCCACTTTGCGGAAGGAAAACACTGCGATGACAGCACAGCTCGTCTCCTACAAGGAGACACAAATGACTCTTCTCACAGAGGTCGAGTCCCTCAAACAGCAGCGAGAGGAGGTTATCTCGAAAAAGGTCTCGCTCCTCCCTCTATTCATGTTATAATTATTGACAATTTCTGATTCCCAGGAAAGTGTAAATGACCAGATTAACATGGAAATGGATTCCATCAATCGGACACGGTCACGAATCGTCCAATCTCCTGAGCGCATCAAGCGCAACATTGTCACGATGGGTGCGACCGCCTCCGAGGACAAGAAAACCGTTGCAACGCACGAGACCAAGATTCGGGACCTCCAAGCGAAGATCGCAGCTTTATTGAACATCGAAAAGGTAGCACATATGCGGTCAATCTCGATCAATTCTAATTGCAGAGATACGGTTTTGGTAGGAAGTGCGCTCATGTGTAGAGCAACTCCAGATTATCGAGAAGGAGATGCATGCACTTGATGTGTCGCAAAAAGACCTCATGGACTTGAAGGACAACCTCGACCGGAAGAAGGGAGAGCGGAACGAACTGATGATGAAGCGCGAGGTCAGTGAAGGGACATCCTTACTGTCTTTCTTCGGCTCAGTCCGCGTTTTCACGATCGATATCCACAGCGTGTCCACAAGCAGCTATCGAACGCACAAGAGAAGCTCGAGCGTGCACAGCACCATGCAGAAGACAAGCGGGTCATGAGCCAGCAAACGATCGAGCGGCTCCAGCGCGAATACGAGGAGATGGCGGTGGAACGGCGAGACAACGACCGTCAAGTCGAGGAGATTCGCACGGAGGCGGATGAGATTGAGCGAAAGGTAATTACTTGCGCACTCCTGCGCGGCATACATGAAATGTATGTCTGATTTATGTGCATTGCAGATGGCGGAGCATATGAAGAAGAGCCAGGCGGAGCTGAACGAGCTGTTGGCTGAATACTGGAAGCTGAGACACGAGACTGGTGCGCCCCTGGTTGCTCGTGTTGGAGACAACTCGCTCACGAAAGCTGGAACAGAGGTCTACATGGAGACGCTCGCAAACAAGTTGCGTATGCAGGTGACGAGTACGTAGCTATCTACTAGTACCACGCGTGGTGTTTGGTTCGATATGTTGTTGGGTTAATATGTTGTACAATACGTAGTGGGGGTATATGGTATAATCTTACATTTAGCCGCGTCGCCTACTCCAAAAATTCAGCAGCAGCGAAGCTGAGGCCCTAGTGCAGCATCAACGCTGCCGTGTCTTTCGTCGCGGTGCTATGAGCTTCTCGCAGTCCCGACAATACCACTTCGTGTTCCCCTCTGGAGCTTGCGTGAGTCCTGCACAGCCAAGGTGGAACTATGGAAGCAATACTGTCAGTCGAAACACTGAAGCTTTACCGCATCGACTTACCCATTCTAGTTTGCATCCTGGATTGTCGCAAGCAATCATCTGAAATTTACAACCGTGTCAGCTCTGCAAGCGACCTGCGAGAGTAACAATATACCTCGCCAAACGATACTTGATTGCAGTAGCAATATCGTGGCTCGTTCGGATCTACGGGCATGTCGACCGCATCGAGCGCCACCGATGCCAAAGGCGGGACAGTGAGCGTGAGCGTCTGCTTCTTCGACGCCGCAGGCTCTTCGGCGTCAGCAGCGTTCTCGGTAGTAGGCTTTGAAGATTTCTTCCGAGACCACTTCGGCTTCCCCCTTCTGCGAGGGCGTACAGGGGCCGGCGGAGCCACTGCCTCAGCGACATGTTCGGGAGGGGGAATACCAAGGTTCAGCCCGCCCGTTTCTGCGGGCTCGACGCCGTGCATCGATTCAATGTCAATTTCCAGGGATGGACTATGTGTGATGCGGATGGAACGTGTCGCAGGTACGACTACATCCGGGAGGATGATCGACGCAGGATGCGTTCCTGGCCGTAGACCGAGAGAAATCGATGTTTCTTGCTCCTTGATAGCTCGATCAAGATCGCGGATATATCTGTCCACCTGCGGAATGTCTGCGGTCAGTAAGATCGCAAGATTGATGTACTGCGTCGCTTACCAGGTCATACGCAAAGCGAGCAACGTTTACTTTCTCGTTCGACGCGCGTACGACTTCCTCAGAGAGCTGTGCAACTTGTGTGAGCAGCCCTCGCGTTGTACTTGGCCTCTCCGAGCTTCTGGTTAGGTGACTGAAGGTCGCATTCGTGACTGGAGAGGTGGTGACGGCGCTCTTCCCCGATGAGGGACCTGGAGTGCTTGGCGGCGGCAATGGTCTACTCTTCCTCGGAGAAGTCACTTCAGGTATCTGTGGAAATTCTGTCGGGTTCACCATTTCAACATCAGGTTCTCCGGAGGCACCAGCGAGCTCGCCGGCATTCTGTTGCTGCTGCTCCTGCACCGCATCGAATTTACCCTCCAGACCCGTTCGGAGCTCGATATATTTTCTCAGACTGGGCAATATATGCGCCTCGTAATCTATCATAAGTCAGTCTTGTTCACGACATAGGGAAAGTTACTGCGTACCGTGCACTTGCTGGTCCAGTTCAAGCATCAACGTAAACGAACGCTGTAGAGATAGGGGAAGTTGCTCGAGCACTAGGAATGCGTGAGTTTCATCCGTATATGCATGGTGAGGCTCACCTTCGTAGTTCTCCTCCTTGAACGCGTCCCATACCTCGCGTTCCTTGTCGGATGTCGCGTCCGCAGCATCCACAGCATCTTCGGGGCCACGTGGCTCCTGTTCTTGTTCTGGCGCAACCTCGACCACTGGAAGTTGCTCTATCACGTTCGCCTCGTCTTCTGGAAACGCTTGAGAGCGACGCCGCTTGCGGTTTTTGCGGTAGGACATTTGTGTGATCGTGTGGTGAGGACTCAGGAGAACGTGACCGGGTCTATGAGGCGCGAGAGATAGACGCCCACCACTCAAGATCAAACTCGCACCACCACGTACTTGTCTACCTATTCTCGTTCAAGGACGACCGATTATCTTCTATTAAACAAGTTCGTCGAGAAATTATCACTTCGCGAGTAAGTATCGGCCAGCCCCATCGTACGTACACTAAAATGTACTCACCGAAGGCTTTCAAGTTAGGGGATGCGCCCAATTGTTGTCGCGGACATTCAGTCCTCAATTTCTCTCAAACGTCCAGTGCTCTTCCTCGACGCTAATCAGCTTTCTTGCCGCTGGCTGTTCATAGCAGCTTTTCGAGGGCACATAACAAGCCTTGGTGGGATCGCCTTCCCTGAAGAGATATGGCGCTACATTCAGTCCGAGATTGAGTTCTCAGAGCCAGAGTGGGTAGCTGTTCGTCCCGACCCTGGTGTGGTGGACGTGGCTGAAAGTCTCGTCGCCATCCGCTGCACCGAGATCGCCCTCTCCGAGATCGTGGACATCATCAAGAATGCAGATGACGTCCACACGTACGAAAAACTGTTTGCCGACACTACGGACGAGTCGATGCAGTCGGACTTTTTGTCAATTGGTGATAGGCCTCTTCGAACGTTCACCGTGACGTATCAACTCCCCTTCGCCTCCGGTGGAGAACAAATCGCGCCTCCAAACCTGACTCCGTGCCTCTTCACTGACATTACCATCCCGGACTACATTTCGCGCATACAGCGCGGAAAATGCTGGGTCTGCGGTGGCGGACGCACCATCTGCCCTGGTTGCACAGAAGTCCCAGATAAATTCGATGCATTCATGGGCTGTGGAGTTGCTCTTGCCTGTCCGCTCTGTATGGGGCTGGACTTCTGCTGGGAGGATAAAACCTTCTGGCAGACTTACTACCGGAAGAAGCCACCGAAGGAAGAGAAAATTTCACATGATAGGCGTGTCAATCGCCGTCGTGCAGAGCTAGGATATCCGCCCTACTCGGAGGAAGTCACTGAGTCTGGGTAGGGAATATTATACGTATATTCTCGCTAATTTTGGACCGGTATCGCTTGTGCTGCAGTGAATCACGTAGTAGTCTGTGGACGATAAAAATTCTCTCCTGTTGATAACGAGCTCGAGCGTTTCAACAATAATGAATATATCACACAAATGTCTACTCGTAAAACATTTCAGACCGCTAACCGCGTACGGGCTGTTTTAGTCACACTATTAGCTAGTAAGTACGACAAGTACTCTTACTGGTGTAAGAGCGCCGCTCCCCAAGGGGTTTTTTGTGCAGCAACATCTTCCACGTACTCCGCTGGTCGTATAAAGTGATTGAGAACAATTTTGTAATCCACAGGAGGATGAGGCAGAACACTGCTGCATCCCTCGCAACTGTACGGAACCCAAGCTTCCTGCCTAGCTGCAGCTGCCACATCGACATTTAAAACGGACGTACCAACACCGATATTAGTGGCACGATGATAGCGAAAGGAAACACGGTTGGGCCGCCGAAGAACGACCAAGTCTGGATCAGCACTCGAAAAACAAAAACTTGCCTCACGGCCGGTGCCACGCAAAGACGGAAAACGAGTAAAAGGTTGGAAGGGGCTTTAAAATATGCAAGACTGCGAAACGTGCAAGATATTGACCCCTATTTTGAATGTTTCTGTCGGTCGAAACCACTGACAGGTATTTGAAGGCGTGATAAGGACCCAATGAAGCTTCTTGTTCAAATACGGGTGGGAACTCACTGTGTCTTCCTTTGACACCAAAGTGCAAAACCAATGACAGCTGCCGCGGAGTAAGGGGTGGCGGTAGAGAGAAGGCCGGTGGTATTATGTCGACAAAACACAAATAAATTTGAATCCAAATTGTCATTGCGAGGGAATGCCCGGACACAGATACTGCCGTGATTTTCCGGGAAAAATAGGGCGAGACGAAAGAACGGCTTGTGGATGAATAACTGACATGCAAGAACAAGCTTACCGCTGGTTAGGAGCGTTTTGCTTCTCAGGGCACGACGTATTTGAGCCGCGCCACTGCAGCCGCTCTCGCGCTTCCTAAAAAAACTTTTCACAGTTGCGACGTAGCGGTAGGAAACTGTAGCACATGTTAAGAAATCGTTTCCAGCAGAGCACGAATGAAAAAGAACAAGAGGAGAGGCTATTGACACGCTCGACGAACTGGGGAGATGGGCAACACCTTTCATGGGGCAGAAAAGTAGGGGGGATGAAAGACCATCACCATGATGCCATCCACATACGGGGCGTTGTTATAAAGCGCTCAGTCAGGTTAGAGAGTAGGTCACGAGTCTCAGGAAAAATCAAGATGGATGCATCAGTCGTCCTCTTCATAAAATCAGGAACCAATTGATTTTCCAAGGTTGAAGGTAGACGGAAATAGGGGACTCACGTATTTGTACGGCGGGCCCAGGAGCACTCTCAATTCGGTAGGCTGCCCTTGTATCATACCGCACCAGAGTCGGAAATCCCCAGACAAAAAATAGAAGGGCCGATGAATGCGAAGCGTAGACAGTCAGGGCAACGTCGCGCGTCTGTGTATTTTACCGAGGTAGTATGGTATTATCTACCAGCGAGGGCGTTGCAAATTCTTCCTTCTTTGGCCAGACGCTCCCGCTCGATCACCGTGCGGCAACCTCCCCTCCACCTCTTTCGACGCCCAGGGCGAAGTCGACGAGTCGTGACGAAGCTACCAGCATCGAATGATGCGGCGTCCGGAATCTTCTGCTCAACCACCAGTACCGCACTCTTTTGTCGTGACAAAACACTACACTCCCATCATAACGGACAGAACCTGGACAGAATATGTCAGTCGTCTAGACAGGCCATCCCCTGCGCAAAAAAAACAACATCGATACTCATCACAACTGCGCCATGGCATGTGCATGTGGTAGTGGTCGACATCCCGTAATTCCGCGACAAAGACAAACCGCTGGAACCTTCGCGACTGGAGGGAGACGGAGAAGAAAATTGAGATCTAAGGAGTGGTAAGCAGCAGACCGCAAGGTTCGTTGTCGAGCCCCTCAGAACGAGGCGTAGCTACCATTCATCGGAAGGCATTCGCTAGTCAGGCCATTCGAACGTACTGTGGCATCGCGGACTTCAGCTCATCGGCATCCTTGGCTGAACTTCCGCCCGGCTGTACCCCCAGAAGGATGGTGTTTCAACTTCGTTCTGAAACGCAGTCCTCGTCCTCGAGTACGACTCCGGATTCACTCGTCGGATTGCCCTGGAACGCCATGCAAGTGGGCGAACGAACCCAGGTTAAGTTTAGGTCGCAAGTCGGGAGCTGTAAGACATTACTCCTAACCTCTACGGACGAGAAAGACAGGCGAGCAGGAGGGCACAAGAAGATGGGGGGATCCGAGGATCGACTCTGTACCCGCTTTCAGTCCTCTTCCTAGCACTCTACAGCGCTCGCCTGTAACACACCCACCGGCCGTAGTGCTTCAACAATACTCGGTGGACACTGCAGATGATGCATCGGTGGCCCACGGTCGGTGCAGGCGAGTAGACGACGCCGCAGATGGATCCGATCCATCATCCCTGCTTTTTCCTATGGACCGGCATCTTGTCGTTCTCTTAGGATACACGCGGACGCCTCGCTGATGTTTTCTGAGGCAAATAGGCCGATGTCCAACATGCGTATTCCGACGAATTCAATCTTCTCTCGTACGGTCATAGCCACTGTGCGGCGTCACACACGAAGAGTCGAGAATATCGCGGCCACTACGCGGTGGATCGTAGGGGAAGAGGGATCGTTGCGCCGCTGCTGAGGAGTATGAGGAGGGTGACGGAAAGATGGGACAGGTGGGAAGCCAAATCTACAACATCGAACGGCTGGAGATGCTAGGGCAACTGTCGGCCACATTCACGCCTTCGCATCTTTTTTTTGCATCGCGGGCCATGAGGACGTTGTACTAGTCATTGTCCCGGCAAGCACTCGAATACCCAAAGGCAGGATAGGCGCCAGGGACCCTGGAATCAGAAGACATGATGAATGTGGCCTTTATGTCGGATATTCTCCGAACGCACTCTAGCGACAAGCCGTTCTGCGGTATTAATCCCGTGTCGTAAGCGACGACATCACCTTGTTCCAATGCAGGAATGGATACACTCCCCAAAATCCCGGTCTGTAGCTCTCAACCCTGATTGATGGCGATGAGGACCGCATCTCTGAGCGGTGCCGTCAGGCCTATCTTCCTACGCGCGAAACCCTGCTGTTGTTTCCGTTTTCGTCACAAGCAAATGTCCCAAGTAAGCGGGTCGCTGTCGACATCGTCAAGGCCGCCGCCTTCTTCTACCGAAATTTTAGGCCTGCCCTCGCACGCTACTATTTTGATCGCAAGGGCATTGTTCCACCCATCGTTCCACCTGCAGAATAGGCCATTTGTCGAACAGTCATGGAATACGGCCGGCGGTGCCCAGGCTGCAAAATGCTTGTCCAACTCTCCGCCGCGAGTGAGAAGTTATCTGGTCACCAGACTCTCAGACTCTGGTGTTATTCAATGGAGAGAAATGGACACTGGGGGAGACGATACGAGCGCCTGAGTGCGCACAGAATTGTAGGCCCGACACCCAGCCGCCAGCGGGGTTTACCCGTATAGCCTGGACGATCTGCACACGACGCGGCGACCAATCCATCTCTTCGAGCGTGACGGGCAGCCGGGCAGACGAAGTACCTCTCGCAGTCGGACCTGAATTATTAAAACCGACAGCGCAGCTTTAATTTGGATTGCACGACCAGCAAGCCAGATTTCGGGCTCCAACCATGGCAATATCGTCGTCGTCGTCGAACTGCCGCTTCCGCCTCCCTTTGGCATGTCGCTGCTGGATACATACGGGACCGACCTCGTAGCGCCATCTCGCTTACTCGTGGCTGCATCATTTGGCCTGCAGGGGGAGCACGAAAATACCCAACAGCTTGCTGTAGATCTTCTCCTCTTCGTCGTCCAGCGCCAGAGATGAGGCAGAAGCAATCTCTTTACTGCGCAACGAGGATCACAGTCCAAGATAGGTCCCGGCAAGGTAGCAGAACGCAGAGACTCAAGCGTCAGACGCAAACCACTCATACGACGGATCCTGGGTGCACAACCGATGAAGTGGATGTCCCGAACGGCGGGGGACATCTATGCTTTCGCTGTCGCCGTAGATTGTCGCTGGCCATGGCCTTTCCCCTACGTCTCTGTACTACCTTCTCCGTTGCCAATTCTCTAGCAACGCAGCAGGATAGAAGATCTCCGCAGTATTCCAGCAAAAGTATCAATGCAAGTTATCGTCCTTGAACGCGTCAGACTGAGATGCGTTGCGCGAAGGTATACACCACTCACTCTACCGGATTTTGCTTCTTCGTTAAGACTTCTTCCACTCAATCAGATAACTAGGTCCGCTTTTGTTTGGCCCTCGAAGCCAGGCGTACCAGGGCTGTGTCAGTCATTGACGGTCCGATGATACGCGATATACATCCGTTCATCCCATGAACAGTCCTCACGGGCCATGACTTCCCAATGCTGAAGGGATTCCCTTCTGACTGTGCCCAAGATGGTGCCCACGATGTCGCAGACTCTCCCGCTGGCCGGTATGCAACCACGACCACTCCCGCGCACCTTGATGGAAGAACCATCTCGTCCGGTGGCTTTCAATATCGTCCGGAAACGTTTGCCTTATCTGTGACCCTCTTCGCAACTTCCCCCCCGCGCACTAATCCACGCTGTCAATGATACGAGAGCAGTGTGTGATAGTCGTGTCGTGTCCGCGTCTTTCCCCGCCCTCCGGACTCAGCATCTGCCGCAGATACGTCAGGGTGTTCTCAGTGGGAGTGCTAAGAATGCAGGACAGATGCTGTACTAGGCCGCGGAAGTAGATTGGGTTCTGCTGTTCGGCTTCGAAGACCGGGATGTATTCATGCGCTCGACGTTCCCTGGGAGATGTGCTGGCTGTCTTCGCCTGGGGTGGAGCACATCAGTCACACTGTCCACCGTCCCGCACAGCGCAGCTTCGCGCTCACCTGTTCGCCTACCTTAACGTGTGCCCGCCAAATCCAAATCTTTCTCTGCGCCAAACCCCGTTCAATCGTCAAGTGCTCCTCCGTGTTTCTACGCGTCCCGGAGACGAGCCTCTGCGCCTCGCCCGAAGAGTTTACGCACCTTCCCCGACTATCCCAGGCTGCAGCCATCGGGGTGCATGATCGCCGGGCGTTCAACGTAGCGCTTTCCGTTGATGATTCGCCGGCAGCAAGGAGCGACGAAGCGCACAACGTCAGCAAATGAGAAAGCCAGTCGCAGTATCGAGACAAGTCAACAATGGCACCGCAGAAGCAGTTCCAGGACGAGCGCGACGGTCATCCACGGCGAACCTTACGCGCCCGACACCCGTCCCAAGGCTGGGTATGCGGGCTTGGAGGTGTACGCTCGCGGGGCAGCGGGCGCCGCGCGCGCGGAGCTGGAAGAGCGTTGCCGCTCTCAGCCCAGCGAACGTCACCCTGGCAGCCCACCCGACCGGAGAGTTTTCGAGCCCCGTGCATCTCCTGTCCTCGACAGCTCGTCCGTCGGTCGATGCAAGATCGTCAGGAACTTGATCGGAGCCCCGAGGACGTACGGCTTTCACTCCACAATTTTTCTCCAACGGATTCGTAGTTGCACCAGGTTCAAACTTCGGTATATTTTTCGACCTCGTAAATATTCTTCGAGACATCCTGCATATTCCAGGATCATGTTACAATATATACATTCCCGAAAGCCTTGCGCTGGCTACGAGATACAAAATACATCAACGACAACGACGAGAATCAACTTTACACCGACGAAACTTTACACGACGAGGCACAACCACAATACACGAAAACAGCAGGAATAATTGAACGGCAGCGTAAATGAAGAGCAGATCGGAACGTCTAGATATTCAACACCTCTGCAGTGTCTCGAATTAATTGGTATTCCTGCAGTGATGCACTTACGCACGAGACGGGCGGATTCACCCAGACTTCCCATGGTTACCATGCACGGCCTCCACCATTCTCCCGTTTTCTCCACGCGCATCCCTCCTGACCTCCAACATCTGGAAGCCGCTGTCGGCGCTCCTCGATGGCGGCTTCGACAAGTACTGCGGCGGCGGATACGGCGCGTAGTGGGGCGGCGCCGGCGGCATCATCATCTGGCCATCCGGTGGACGCGGGATCATGTACGGGGTGGCGTAGGGCTGTGCGTACGGCGCCAGGAACGTGGCGGAGTAGAGCGGTGCATGCGGGAATGGCTCACCATCCTGGCCGTTGGGGTGAGGGAGCGTCTGCGGAGCGTGAGGAACGGGGGCGAGATAAAACTGGGGATAGTAGATCGCCTCGCCAGGCTTGGGGGGCCCGGGCGAATACTGGCCGAAGAAGCCAGGGGGATACCCGACAGGCGTCATGTAGGGGATCGGCGGCGTCGGCGTGGGGGCCGCCATGGCCGCGGGCATGGGAATTGCCTGCGTCACGCCTTGAACGTCGACTGGCGGCTCATCGACGTTGGCGGCTGCGCGATCCGTTGAGTGTAAGAGAGATCGTCACTCCACTTGCTACAAGCAGAACAGCGGTGGGGGATAAGAGAGAGATACTCACTTTTTCCATCGCGCTTCTTGTAAGGCCCCCTCTTGATGCCCTTTTGCCGTTCCTTCCGCTGGGAATCGATGCACTCTTCGGCAATGCCGTACTTGACGCAGCGGAGGCAGGGGCGGGCGTCGTCGCACTTCTTGCATGCCTTCTGGCAATTGGTGCAGGCATTCTTAACCTGTCTGCGCTTGGTGCGGGGCGGCTGAGCGGGGAGCATGCCAGGCGGGAAGGGGTACATGTGCATGGGCATGCTCGAATATGTGATCGGGTGCATGGTCATCTGCGGCTGGACAGCGTCGGAGGGGGAGTGAGAACCATTGTGGTCTTCGGCATCGGGGTTAGAGTCACCCATGGCTGAAGACAAAAGTATTACGAGGGGGGCGGGGCGAGGGGGGAAGAAGGGTGAGAAGATTATGATAGCAAAGAAGGATGCGGTCCAAACGAGGCTTTGACGCCGTTTGCCTTGTGTGCACACGTGTCAAGACGGGTCACCGCTAGCGGCAAGCAATGTGTGAGCGGTACTAGCCCCGCTGGTCCTGCATGAAAGAGAACGGTGAGCATGGCGAGGAAGACGCAGCGAGGAGCGAGAGAGGACATACGGCGCGGGTTCGCTGAGCTGGTGCGCGGGACGTCTCCGACTCAAAGCGGAGGGCTGGCGGGAGGGGAAATGCGGCGTCAGAAATGCGCGGGCTCTGAGCTGGCTCAGCCTGTTCTTATCCGGTGGCACTCCCGCTGCGTCACGCCGTCACATCCTCCCACGCCTCCAAGTCTACTTCCTCTTCACGTAATCATTATCAGCTCCGCGCCGCGTTCGCGGACGCCCTCCCGCCGGCTCCCTTCCTCCTTGTATTCCCCCACCAAGCCCTCTCGCTCCTTGCTTCCGACCTTCACCTCTCTATCGAGTCAAATCACCGCTCTCACACCTTCATTTCTTCTCCACCATCCCCGGATCAGCGTCCGGCAGAATCATCCCTGGCCGCGTCCAGAAACTCAATCCCAGCGCAACAGCTGCGCGGAGTTGGTGCGCTGATCCCCTTCACTCTTCTGTGTCTTCACGAAGTCTCTCAGACGTATATATGACCCTTCCATTGTCATGCGCTCGCCGCATTCCCCTGCCGACTTACCTCATTGCGCTTCACGCTGCCATCCTCTGCCGCAGACACCGTGCGTCGCTTGTTCACCGTTTTGACTTGATGATCATCGCGCGCTATGCACTTTGCTGATCCACCACATACGCATAGCGAACCCCGAAATGGGCATACGTTCCTGCGCTCCAGGCTAATCCAACTTGCGCTGAACTTAGTTTCGAAGCGCTGACGGTCTCTATGGCCCAGCCGAGCATCTGCTGACCACTAATTCCGCCTCTTGTGGACCAACTCCTTCACAGGCCTGTATGACAGCCCTATGTCATCGCCCGTCTTATATCATCCTGCTGTAGGTTTACGAACAAGGTTTGCTGCGTGGTGAGATTCTGTCCTTCGCAGTAGTCAGGCTGCCTCGCATGCATCATTACAGAGGATAGCGTGCGAGCATGCCTGTGCGCGAGGCTAGTCCTGGCTGGTTAGACCATTGCATGAATTCTATCATTCGCATGAAGCGCTGCATCAGTGTACCCACCAATCGGACAGTGGACGAGACGCGGTTATCAAGGCTGAAGGCACACCTCCCGCACCTCCATTGACGGAGATTTGGAAGGTTCATACCGTGCATATATCGGCACCCGGGTGCCGTTGAATGTTCTATAGACAGAGCAAGACAGAGAGAGCTTCGCCGCTCGTTTCGGTAAGTAACGACTCTGTGACACTGGTGGTCACGACCGTCATTGCACCAACTTGAAATTATTGTCACACGAGATACAAATTATTATTTCAACCAGCGGTGTCAACTTGGTGCCCTCAAAGGCTCAAAGCATTACCACCCTCTATCATTTGTCGCGATTCATCTCGTCCATTCCAACAATACTATCTCTGCGGCTTGTACATCGTCTAGAACTTCTGACGCGGAAGTTGGATGAATTTCCTTTCAATATGACCCGACAGCCGCTATCGTCGCTAGCTTTTCTCCCAGTGTCACTGGATCAGCCTACGTTTGGACCTCGGCTGGGGAAAGTATTGCTCGGTCGCTTGGATGGACGAGAACCGTTAGAGATGAAGACTCCGGGACTAATAGCAGCGACGTCTCGCGGTGTTGTGCCGCACCTATCGCGCGACCACGTAAAATCCACTGCGGCGATCCGCTGGGTGCACATCCCATTCGAAACATTGTAAGAGCCGCTCTCCTACACTCTCGCCGCCACTCGGATGTAAGTCCTGGGCGGCTTAGCCTATCAATAACCCCTCATTTTCCACGCACTCGGTAGTTTAGACCACAATCCGCCTGTACCGACAATCCAGACAGGCGCGCATGCTCTGCACAGATTCTTGGGCTTTGTACCCTCGCAGCACATCCTGTCCTTCTCCGCCAGAGACCCGTCCGACGAGAGGGAGTTGCCGACAAACGGCAAGGATTATATCTCGACTTACTGCATCAGAGGCGTGCGTAAGGCAAGGCTCAGTTCACATTTGTCACACGGGCACTCGTATTTACGCTCGCATTAGCTCACTCCCTCGTCCTGGTGCGAATATGCTGCAGCCTGCAAGCCGGATCTAGTGATCGCGCTCTCAGACACGCCTTTCACGCCGCCTCCGCATTCTCAGAAGCGCCTTACAAAGAGCATAGAGCGGTCGGCTGCCTGGCTTGCCGATGTCCTCGCCTGGGCGGTGTCCACCACACCGGGAGACTTACTGAATGCAGATCGGTCGTCGACTGCTGTCTTCCGCTATCCCCGTAATGTGCTTGTGCACATGGCTGGAGGCGTAGAGGTTCACGCCCGTAGAACGTTTGCTAATAGCCTGATAGAGTCCCTCGAAACCAGAGAAGCGGCCAGGCTGACGCCACTGGGTCGGCTCGACGATGGTGTCGCAGGATACGTCTTTGATCTTGTGCCACTCCGCAGGGGACTCGCAGCGCAGAGTGCGGGCCCCTCCAATGCGACACCTGCGGATTTGCAAGATGAAATGCACCAGTTGCTGCGGGCGTCGTTGGCGCCATTACCGCGGATGAAGCCCCGGATTGTCAATTCGACGGGCTCTCCGCACGAGGTGTTGCGCTTGATCAGGCACGTTGGTGTGGATCTATTCGACGCGTATTGGGCTCAGCGTGCTGCGGACATCGGGGTCGCGTTGGACTTCTACTTCCCAGTACCGGAGATACACTGTCGAACTGTCCCGGCGCCTCACGACGCGGGATGTCCCACACCCAAGATACGCCCAAATGGCAAGCGAGATTTGGGGCACAACCTGTACAGCGCTGTGTACGCACACGATCACTCAAGGGTGGCATCAAGTTTGATCGATGCCGCGTCGCACGCGTCGCTCATTGATGCAGCTGATACCTCCTACGCGCTACCCGTCTGTCCGTGCGCGGCGTGCTCCCCTCGCCCGTCGTCTACGCGCTTACATCACAGCGTGGTCGATGTCCTCGACTCGGACGCGGGACCACATCCCGTGGAGCCGCCATATACGCGCTCGTACATCCACCACCTCCTGCACACGCACGAGATGTCCTCGCACTCGCTGCTGGTGATGCACAACCTCGCGGTGCTCGACGCGTTCTTTGCCGGCGTCCGTGCGGTGCTCGCGGGCGCGGACGGGATAGCGGAGTTCGACAGGCAGGTGGACAGATTCATGGAGGTGTACGATGAGGAGATGGCGGTGTTTGAGGAAGCGGCGGCGGATTGGTTACAGGTGGACTTGGCGCGGGGCAAAGGGCGGCTGGCGCGCGAAAAGGCTAAGCAAGAGTCGACCCTTGGGACCGCAGTCGACGTCTAAATGTGTACATGTGAAATGGCCGGGTATGATAGCGTGGTAGTGGGTTCATTTTACTGAGTGCCATCTCATAGGTGCTGCACTGTTCCGGATCCAGTGGGATGGGCCCGTGTCGCCCGCGAGTGACTTCCCTGCATCCTCGAGTTCTTAGCCCCTTATCGGCTCTCAGGCCGTCAGCGAGGACCATTCGCATATGTATTTCTCTTTTAATTTGATGAATGTAGATGCTCGCTTTTGGTTCGGAATAGCAGAGACGCAATTCACGGTACACTTATTACCGTATATGTATGCAAGTATACTGGGCGCTTAATGTGAGCTTGACCGGGCGCCTAAGCAAATGTTGCGGGGAAGATGAGCATCTTGTCCCGTCTTGCGAGCACGTACAAACAGGTCATACTCTGTTGACTGCCAGCGTGATGTACGGCGGAGAAACAACTTGTGAATAGAGAACTCTGTTCTTTGTCGCTGCTTTTCATCTCTTTCCCCCATCGTGGTACTGCTGCGCTCTATCCATCAGGCGATTCGGCATCGGCTCCTGAGTACGACGCGGAATTGACGCGGAAGGTCTCCATACGAATTCCATTCATCTAAAGATTTAAGATGGCTCATGCGAGGGATGCATTGGTGCGTACGCCGTGTTGTGGGTGCCAGACGGCCTGACTAAATAACGCTCTGCTTCGTGGACTCGTAGTGGGAGAGCGGCCATGACGAAACTGTCGAGGTCAACCAGCGCGCACTCATAGACAAGGTGCTAGCGCGATATTCGGGCGAATTTACCGGTGAGTGGACGAGTTACTTGCCCTCCCATCAGAGCTAGAAGCAGAGTGTGTCCAGTCTTCCGCGAGCTTCTCCAGAACTCAGACGACGCCGGTGCCCGAGCCGTCGAGATTCATTTTGAGACCAAGGATTTTTTGGAAAGCAAGAACGAGGATGCTGCAACTGAAGTTTCAGAAGACAAGACCCTTGCACGAGATCAGCGACGCAGTCTGGACAAGAAGGCGGCGCTTGTACGTCGTCCGAGAATCTCGTTCCTGAATATTCAAGCGATTTACTATGTATCTTCAGGTACACCAATGGACATTTAAGAACAATGGGATGATCTTTAGAGATGAGGACTGGAGCCGTCTGAAGAAGATCGGTGCGAAGACTGAACACTTCGTCTTAATGCAGGATCTGATATTGATGATTAACAGCCGAGGGAAATCCTGACGAAGAGAAGATAGGCGCATTTGGAGTCGGCGAGTGCAGTCGCAGTTGTTCGGAAGATTGGTTCTCAACCGTCCAGCTTAGGCTTCTACAGTTTGTTCTCGGTTACGGAAGAGCCCTTTGTAACATCCGGAGGTAATTTGCTTATGTTACCACGCACTTCCCTGGATGCTTAAAATGATGGCCACCAGGGCAATGGATGGGCTTCTACTGGAAAGACAAGAAAGATCAGGTGGCGAACTTCAGTGTCCCTGTTACAGCACGATTCTGACGTTTGTGT